TGTGGTTTTAGTATAGGTACATGAATGTCTTACAACACACGAGAAATGAGCGAAATCTGTGTCTCAAGCAAAGTAGACCGGACCGCTCTTACAGAGACACTCTCTTAAGAGTGATTAAGCGATGTTTTCATTCGTTCTAGCAAAAACGTTGCTTGAACACTTTTTCAATCAGCTTTAAATAAGTAAATATGAATCTTAAATTCTGATTATAAATTATCGGTAAAACCGAAAGAGAGGAACGAAAAAGAAAAGGAAAAATACAAACGAAACATATGCAATGATCGAGAATGGCCTGAAATAAGGCCAAAGAAGCAAAAACACTAAGAATCATTAGATTCAAACGAAAAATACCCATAGCAAATAACGAATGAAAATCGAGAGGATATATTGTCTCAATATTTTCTCTTGGTGAAAATCGATTGAAAGGAACAAATGTATTCAAGTCAGCAGTTTTAGCTTAACAGTTTAAATTGGAAGTCAAAAATAAACCGGAGCATTTTAAAGTTTTATTCCGGGTTAGGATTCTACTGACATTCCATCTGCCATTTTAAGTTGCTGTTTGTTTTGCCTATACCAAAGACAAATTGTTGCTATGGTTTGCATAATAGGTCACCACGGTATCTAGATATGACGTCTGTTGGAAAACTGCATGTCAAACTCCTTTTAAAGCAATTGCATTATTTTACATTTATGTAGAACAGTAAAGTAGGTGCAGAAAATGACTTGCTCCGTTATATCAATACTAAATCTCGTTTCTCTTTTCGCGCGATTTTTGTTTATGTTTTTTTTTTTTACTTTTGTTTTGTTTTGGTTTGATTTATGTTTTTGTTTGTTTGTTTGCTTTTCGTTTTAGTTTATATTGTAAAGAAGAAGAAAAAAGACCGAATACATCGTAATTGTTAGTCGAGAGCCAGCTGTATTCTCTTTGGAGTCTATGATCGACAGATTAGCCCATAGCTTGTCACCACGATCTGTACGAACCAACGTTTAAATGGTCTTTCTTTGCCCTCCAATCAGTTTTCCGTTTCCAGTTATTGGCCGGGTCTCTGCATTTTTAATGAATTTGATACTGAGGCCTTTTAGTGGCACTGTGTAGTTGCAATGAAAACAGGCCTCTATTTTGGAAGCTTTTAAGTTTGGCTGATTAGGTTAAAAACGAAATTAACATAGAACAAAAGGAGGATCACCTCTGTTAAGCTGAAATGAAATACGAAAAAGAACCTTTTTAAAACGCCCTACGGTACATTTCATTTTCGTTGAAATCGATTTTTTCTCAGTTGAGTGACATTTGATTCTTGCAACTTTAACTTCGTGTAATGTGCATTTTGTTCAAAATATGCGTGCCAAAGTATAAATTTCGCATCGATGCTAGCTTTTTATACATCAGAATTGCCATTTTTTGTTAAATTTAGATTTAATTTGTTCATAAATTGTCATTTAATTTTTGTTGTTTATTGCCAAACCAAAAAGAGAGAACAATCTCGTGCTAACAAACGAATATTGCATTTTTTTTATAAGTAGAATAATTACATAAATTTTTTAAAATCTATTTATGTAGTTGTTTAGTTTTTTGTTGTTGTTAGTGTCGTTGTGTTTTCGCATATTGGCCCTCAGTAACACATTTGCTCAGTTTGTAGTAGCGTCGAACAAGAATCTGGGAGGTAGGGCCACCGATCCTGTTCAAGCCTGAATCATTTCAGTCTCCTTTATCAAGTAAAATGTGTTGAAAAAAACTTCCACTCTCGTCTTCGGATGCAAGTAATTATAGATGGTGAAGTTATGACACTGTAAGCGTTTAAACAAAATTATTACTTTCGAAAAAGAAAATGGAAAACAACATATTTTTTCAACAGGTGCTTTATCAAACAAAAATATTATTGACGCACTGTTATTAATCTAATTCTAATCACGTCTGCCGATGATGATGTCAGAGCTAATAGAGTTTCGCATTGCTTACAATTTTGGCCTCAAGGATATTGAGGATGCAACCCATTCGATTTAGAATTTTGAATTTATGCATGAACACGGCGAGGCCATACAAACTCTGTTCCGTTGATCATAAAAAGCTTTTAACCTTAAATCATCAAAAACATTCTCTATCCCTTTATATCGAATGACAGTTGATTCTTTCTTTTGCTGTCACGATAATGAACGCAACGAAATTAAAATTCCTTACCAGTTTCCACATCTCTGTTCAAAATAAAATTTCCAAAAAACAACAACAACAACAACAACAATAACTGAGCATTTTTGCTGATCGAGTGGATTATATGAGAATTTAAGGGAAACTTTTCTAAAGTTCTTTTCGTGTGCATCTGTTCGTTGCAGATGTTTATTAAAGTAGTGTAAAAATACTCTGACTCTAAAGCTCCGTTTAAAAGGGAAATAACCGACCTACTATGCTCTTAACTGCTACTCTTATTTCCTTAATCTTCCAACAGTAAAGAAAGGGGTTTAAAGATGAATTGAGAAACATTAAAGTTATCGTTATTCCCCACGCGGCGTCGAGCGCCGATGTTAGCTCTTTGTAGGAAATTAACCCAATAGTTACGATGAGCGGCAAGTAGCAAATAGTCAGTGTCAACTGAATCCAAAGCACACTAGAAACTGTTTTCTTGTACCGTGCATTATTCAAAGCCACGCTGTCTGTACAAAGAGTTCCGTCATTATTAATTCCCCCATTTATTTGCACGTGTCGCTGATGTTGACGAATTTTCCAAATGATTTTGGCGTAGCAAATAGAAGATATTGCAAGATTGCCAACACACATTGCAGCTCCTACAAGCATCTCAGCTTTGTTGTAGTCCAACATCGGATATGAGGAAGACACAGACCCGATGGATACCACCCACAGAAATAAAAGAACAAGTGAAGTTCGTTTAAAGGTTACGATCTGTCTGTAACGTAAACCTAAGTTAAGAGCTAGAAGTCTGTCTATGCTTATCGCAGTTGAAGTTAATAACGACACCAAGCACAAAGTGTTTGTGGTGATATTATTAAAGGTTGCTGAGTAAAAGCAAAGATCTCCTCGCCAATCTTGATGTTTAGTCAAAAGTGACACCATAAATAGGATATACAGAGGCTGTGAAATACAACCAATAAGCAGATCAGTTAAGGCCAAACATCGAAACAGAAGCTTCGAGGGCGGATGAAGCGCCGATTCTTTGTGAAGGGCATATAAGATCAACGTATTTCCCAGCGATGTAATAATGGACAGCAAAGCATTGATAACCAAAAGGACAATTATGCAAAATATTTGTAAATCATTAGAAGCAGCGATACAAACTTTAGCTCGCAGGCTGAGGGGATTTTCAATGCTGTTATTCAGGGCCATGTTTGAATCAGTTCTGTAGAACGTGATGCTCTAGATAAACAGCTTCTTTGTATTTATATATACATTGACAGCAGAAGACAAATATACACTATTTGAATTAATGCGATGCTATCATCATCTAAGATTGCTTTATCGATAAATGACAAAGAGCAGGCGCCAGGCTTCGAAACTAAACGACTTTATGATGAAGATAACAAAATCATTTTTTTAAAGGAATTGAATTAGCGAATTTCTGGGTAAAGACGTTTTGCACAAGTCACAAATATAGCATGATTATAGTTTATGAGTGATTAAGCGACGTTTTCATTCGTTCTGGCGAAAACGTTGTTTGAACACTTTCTCAATCAGCTTTGAATAAGTAAATACGAATCTTAACTTCTGATTATGAATTATCGGTAAAACCGAAAGGGAGGAACGAAAAAGAAAAGGAAAAATACAAACGAAACATATGCAATGATCGAGAATGACCTGAAATAAGGCCAAAGAAGAAGCAAAAACACTGAGAATCATTGGATTCAAACGAAAAATACCCATAGCAAATAACGATTGAAAATCGAGAGGATATATTGTATATATTGATATTTTTGTCGTTTATTGCCAAACCAAAAAGAGAGAACAATCTCATGCTAACAAACGAATATTGCATCTTTTTTATAAGTAGAATAATAACATAAATTTTTTAAATCTATTTATGTAGTTGTTTAGCTCATAGGAAAGAGTGTCAAAGGTTTTTTTGTTGTTGTTAGTGTAATTATTTTTGTTATTACTGTCGTTGTGTTTTCGCAAATTGGCCCTCAGTAGCGTATTTGCTCAGTTTGTAGTAGCGCCGAACAAGAATCTGGGAGGTAGGGCCACCGATCCTGTTCAAGCCTGAATCATTTCAGTCTCCTTTATCAAGTAAAATGTGTTGAAAAAAACTTCCACTCTCGTCTTCGGATGCAAGCAATAGATGGTGAAGTTATCACACCGTATGCGTTAAAACAAAATTACTACTTTCGAAAAAGAAAATGCAAAACAATATATTTTTTCAGCCGGTGCTTTATCAAACAAAAATATTATTAACGCACTGTTATTAATCTAATTCTAATCACGTTTATCGACGATGATGTCAGAGCTAAACGAGTTTCGCATGGCTTACACATTCGGCCTCAAGGATATTGAGGATGAAACCCGTTCAAACTAGAATTTAAAATTACGCGTGAACACGGCAAGGCCATACAAACTCTTTCCCATTGATCATAAAAACCTTTTAACCTTAAATCATCAATTACAATCTCTATGGTCATTGATTCTTTCGTTTGCTGTCACGATAATGAACGCAACAAAATTAATATTCCCTACCAGTCTCTACGTCTCGGTTCAAAAGATAACTAAGCATTATTGCTGATCGAGTGGATTATGGGAATTTAAAAGGAGATTTTTATCAATTTAATGTGCATCCGTACATTGTAGATGTTTATTAAAGAAATGTAAAAATACTCTGACTCTGAAGCTCCTTTTAAAAAGGAAACAACCGACTTACTATGCTCTTAACTGCTACTCTTATCTCGTTAATCTTCCAACAATAAAGAAAGGGGTTTAAAGATGAATTGAGAAACATTAAAGTTATCCCTATTCCCCACGCGGCGTCGAGCACCGATGTTGGCCCTTTGTAGGAAACTAAGCCAACAGTTACGATGAGCGGCAAGTAGCAAATAGTCAGTGTCAGCTGAATCCAAAGCACACTAGAAACTGTTTTCTTGTACCGTGCATTATTCAAAGCCACGCTGTCTGTACAAAGAGTTCCGTGATTATTAATTCCCCCATTTGTTTGCACGCGTCGCTGATGTTGACGAATTTTCCAAACGATTTTAGTGTAGCAAAAAGAAGATATTGCAAGACTGCTAACACACATTGCAGCTCCTACAAACATCTCAACTTTGTTGTAGTCCAACATCGGATATGAGGAAGACACAGACCCGATGGATACCACCCACAGAAATAAAAGAACAAGTGAAGTTCGTTTAAAGGTTACGATCTGTCTGTAACGTAAACCTAAGTTAAGAGCTAGAAGTCTGTCTATGCTTATCGCAGTTGAAGTTAATAACGACACTAAGCACAAAGTGTTTGTGGTGATATTATTAAAGGTTGCTGAGTAAAGGCAAAGATCTCCTCGCCAATCTTGATGTTTAGTCAAAAGTGACACCAAATATAGGATATACAGAGGCTGTGAAGTACAACCATTAAGCAGATCAGTTAAGGCCAAACATCGAAACAGAAGCTTCGAGGGCGGATGAAGCGCCGATTCTTTTTGAAGAGCAAATAAGATTAATGTGTTTCCCAGAGATGCTATAATGGACAGCAAAGCGTTCATAACCAAAAGGACAATGGTGTAAAATATTTGCAAATCACTGGAAGCAGCGATACAAATTTCAGCTAGCAGGCTGCGGGGATCTTCATCGCTAATATTTTGAGCCATGTTTGAATCAGTTCTGTAGAACGTGATGCTGTAGGAAAACAGTTTCTTTGTATTTATATACACATTGACAGCAGTAGGCAAATATATCCTATTTGAATGAATGCAATGCTAGTATGAGTTCATTAAAGGTTGCCTTATCGATGAATGACAGATAGCAAGCGCCAGGCTTCGGAACTAAACGAATTTATGATGAAGATAACGAAAACTATTTTTTTAAAGGAATTAAATTAGCGAATTTATGGTTAAAAATGATTTGCGAAAGTCACAGATATAGCATGATTATAATTTAAAAGTTAATAAGTGATGTTTTCATTCGTTCGGGCGAAAACGTTGTTTGAACACTTTCTCATTCAGCTTAGAATAATTAACTACGACTCTTAACTTCTGATAATAAATTATCGGTAAAACCGGAAGAGAGGAACGAAAAAGAACTTGAAAAATACAAACGAAACATTTATAATGATCGCCTGAAATAAGGTCAAAGACGAAGCAAAAACACTAAGAATCATTGAATTCCAACGAAAAATACTCATAGCAAATAACGAGTGAAAATCGAGAGGATATATTGTCTCGATGATTTCTCTCGGTGAAAATCGATTGAATGGAGCAAATGTATTAAAGTCAGCATATTTAACTTAACAGTTTAAAATGGAAGTCAAAAAATAAACTGAGACATTTTAAAATTATATTCCGAGTTAGGATTCTATTGACATTTCATCTGCCATTTTCAGTTGCTGTTTGTTTTGTGTATACCAAGGGCAAATTGATGCTATGGTTTAGAATATAGGTCATTGTTGGAAAGCCGCATGTCAAACTCCTTTTGAAGAAATTGCATTATTTTTCATTTGTGTAGAACAGGAGAAAAGGTACAGAAAATGACTTGATTGGTGAAATCAATACTCAAACTCATTTCTCTTTTTGTGTGATTCTTGTTAATGGTTTTTTTTACTTCTGTTTTGGTTTGGTTTGATTGATGTTTTTTGCTTGTTTGTTTGCTTTTCGTTTTAGTTTATATTGTAAGATAAAAAACCCGAACCAAATTGCAGTTGTTCGTCGAGAGCCAGCTGGATATCTCTTCGGACTGATATCACTGTCAGCAGAACTCGTAGGCATTGTCCATTATTGCAGACATACTCTTGTAACAATTGGAAACGGTTGAAATTGTCAGCAGAAAATATCGTGCTAAATAGTATTATTCTGAATACAGGCGATAGAAAAGTTGAAGCCTTTTGAACGACTCAAAAAATATATTTCGTGATTATTTTCACAGCTCCAAAGGCGCAAGCTTTTATTAATGTTTATTTTTAGCGCACTTGAACACGCAACGTTAATTCAAACACAGCTTCTAATTTGGATTCGAATAAAATAAGAAAAATCACACTATCGGTGATTTACAGATGCAGATGCGTGAAAAATAATAAACTGAGCTAACAATTATTTTTCATGCGGGAAATGATTTCATTAGAGATAAAGCAAAGAATTGGTTTGCCTTTGATAGATGTGTGGTGTTTGCAATCACCTGCTGAACATGATCGTGATTATTTCTTGTGCGCTGGCAGGTAAGTCTGTTTGTTTCAGCAAAAAAAAGAAAAAAACGAAATTAATACTGAAGCGCCGGTAAATTGTGAACTAGAAGATACTTTTCTAGTTTCTTCAAACTAAAAGTTATGGACTCTAATTTAAACACATGAGTTGTAGTGATTTCATGGTCTTTTGTTTTTGTTAGACTACTCGACTCGAGTGATTCAAAACTTTGATAAACAAATGGGATTTTTAATCTCTCATTATTTGAACTATTTCGGCCTAAGTGGTTCCTTTTTCGATTCCATTTTGACATAATGTCACTCTGAAAATAAAACGTTTTAATCAAATTCATGTTCTTGCATAATCACTAGCAAATGCAGCGAACAAGACAAACGTTCAACGTGTTTGAATTAACTCCGAAAAATGGAACATTCTTCTGCCAACGGAAGCCAGAATTCACTTCGATTTCTTTTCTGCGTGGAAACGCCATTAAGATTTCACCGAAACCATGTCATATATCCAATAACCGTGGTTGCTTTTCTATCCATCACGGCATTTGTTGGTAATGTTTTCATCTTAATTGCTCTCAACAAGATATCTTCGATTCACCCGCCATCCAAACTTCTGTTCCGTTGCTTGGCTGTCACGGACATTCTCGTCGCTCTTGTTGCAGAGCCTCTTCATGCCGTTTACTTGTTTTCGATAAGAACAATGACAGAAGAAGGAAACATTGTCTGTTTATACACAGCTACATTCTCGATCACCATCGCTACGACTTTGTGCGGTGTTTCGCTTTCCACATCAGCAGCCATCAGTTTGGATCGACTAATGGCTTTGGTGTTAGGACTCCACTACAGACATGTTGTAACATTCAAACGAACCTTTTCAGTGGTGATTGGCTTATGGGCACTTGGCATCATCTTGACCGCTGTGTCCTTTTGGAGATTTACTCTCAACAAAAGTATGATCTTCATCGCTTTAGCAGTATTGGTCTTTTGTGTCACAGTGTCTGGTGTCGGTTACACCAAGATAGTCCTTATACTTCGCAATCATGAAACTCAAATTGCAAGTCATTCACAAGCAGCATTCTCACCAAACATTTCGCGTTTAAGAAAAGTTGTTTGTAGTGCACTATGGGTACAGGTGATTTTAGAAGTGTGCTACGTCCCTTTCCTCGTTGTTACCACGCTATTTATTTTTAATGAGAGTGGGAGAACTCAATCTCTGTTTATCGCCTGGGAATTTACGGGAATTTTGATTTTCTTAAGCTCGTCACTTAATCCATTTCTTTATTGTTATAAAATCCCGGAGGTGAGACAAGCGGTAAGGAACACAATTCGACAGGTGTTTCGTTTATCAAACGAGGCTGATGCAGTGATAAATTCTACCAGATAGTAAGAATCTTGGATTGGTAAACTGTATTCTGTCTAGCTTAGAAATGGATATTTATCTCGATGTAACAAAACCCACAAAATTATTAAACCTACCAATATCGAATGTGTGGCTCACTATTAGAATTAGTAGTAACTCGTTTTGTTCGATCGAGTGGTTGCAATCTTTCTGCAAATATTCTAAGTGGCGGATCCAGACCTTGAGTAAAGGGGGAGACCCATTTTTTTGTCGCTTGCCCTGCCGGCTTTTCTTCCCTCTGCGATTCTTTTTCTTTTACTCAAAACATCCAAAACATGGGGGGGGGACGGACGGGCCCCACCCCTAGATCCACCTCTGTATTCCCATGACATCTAGATCGAAGTGAGTCAACCCGTGGGAATTATGTTAGTCAGCGGGATCCAACGCTTTCGCATAAAATCGAGGAAGAAAGACCGGAGGACAGTCAGTCAAAGATGACACCAAACCCCTGGATTTCTTGCAGCATCCAGAAAGAAGCGACAAGAACAGTATGCGTTCTCTTAAAGTTGAACACCATGAATTAATGCTCGTATTCATCCCTGTCCAAATGCAGCCAGCTGACGAAGGATCATTTTAAAACATTCCACATTTGGAAAACCATACGGGCACCTGACACAGCGGGTAATCGAAGAAGTAATTCAGAAAACCCTTTTAATCAAAACTTATAACAGCAACGTTCGGAATGGGTAGCGCAATGGACAATGGAACGTCATCATCAAAAATTAATTGGAGTCATTGAAAAAGGAAAGTTTCATTTATTTACCTATGAAAATGAGAACAAGGGTGTTGAAAAGCGCTATTTGCAAAAATTTTCTCTTTTCATATATTGCTTATACCTAAGGAATCCTTTCAATGCCAGGAGCTACCAAAAAAAGAAATTCCTTTTCAAAATATCAAAATACATCTTTCAGACGAATAGCGATGAAAAGAAAATCGGTAAAGAATACTGTTTTACGAAACGTCAAACCCTAAGTCCTAAATGAAAGAGAATTGAGTGAAGAGCTGGATCTTGGAGGTCAAAGGTCAAAGGTCGAATCCTCCTATGCCAGCACCTTTCTAAATAGACCATATTAAAAAAAGTTAAACTTAGGGATTTTAATGGTTAAGCGCAAAGTTTATCTGCATTGATTCAAAGAAGTCAGCAACTAACAAAATGAGACAATATGCCACAAAATCAAACACATACTTAACATCAGTTGGCTGTACTTCTCTTTGAGGATTTAAAAAGCGCAAGGATGATTGACAGTGGAGATAAAAATAGATTTTGATAAAGCTAGCGAGATATCGTTGCAAATTAATGACTAAGGATCAAACCCAAAATCTATTGAGGTGTCCATGGAGTTTCTCTTTCCAGCTCGTTGGTGTGTAGGCAGCAACCAAATTCCTAGTCGTCTTGCCTTCTCCTCCTCTGTTTTGGAGACGTTGAAAAGCATCATAGCTTTTTCACTAAGGACAGAAAACTTCCCTCGTGAAGCTTGGCCAAGCGAATTTGTAGTCAAGGCTGAAAGGGTTTAGTAAGAAGACATACATTAGAAAATGTTCAATTAATATCAATCGATCGATAACTGTTGTGTCCTGCTTGTCCTATACCCGCGCGCTCATGAAAGCATCTACCGAGGGTGAATACCAGACGGCTTGTTAAAATGATTTGTAAGGAGGCAGAGGTCTGATCGAAAATCCTGGAACACATAATGATAAATCAACTTGTAGAAAGGCCTTTCTATACGAGATGTCATCCTCTGAAATCGTTTCGATATCTATCTAAGACAACTATTTTTTCACAAAATCTTGCAGAGCAATACAAATAATATATTTCTATCTCGTCGAGAATCAAATTATAGCGTTAACTTTATCCTTGTTATCAAAAAAAACCTGGGAGGACTTTTTGGAAGAATTTAATTTTCCCCTATTTTTGTTTTTCCTCTATTTGTCACAGTCTGTGGATGATGATGACAGAAATAATGATGATGATCACTATGATAATGATGATGATAATAGTAATAATAATATGATAATAATTAAAAATTGTATAGACCACACAATTGAATAGTTATTTTCGTGCAAACTTATTGGCTAGATCGGAAGTGAATAGCAAGGACTATTCACCTCCGAGCAGCCAAAGAAACAAAACCGCGCTTCTAGAGTTAAATTTTCGACCATTTTTCGTTGTATTGAGAGAAATAAACTATTTTTTCGGCAAGTGTATCTGTATCTGTATTATTTACCTTCAGTGTCGGTTAAAGTGGTTGATATTTTTCTTGCACTTTCGCGACCTGATAAATATCCACCATTATTCACCTCCACTTTGGTGAATAATTGTTTATTATGATAACAATAACAAAACACAATAACACTGATAACTATGATGATGAAAACAAATACGGTGATGACAGTGATAATGATGAAACAACCGGCTAATTACCTCCAAAACGGTTTCTTATCCGCGGTCTCAGTGGATTCTGGAACTGCACTCGTACCCCTCCCGGTAATCTTAAGTTATTCAAAACTGCTGTTGTACGGAGCTGGTTTGTGCCGGGCATGGGTGTAGTGACGGAGGGAAAATGAGCATTCATGTGATTTATACTCCTTCTTTGCCAGTCTGCCCATATCTTATCTATAAAACTATGGTGCAGCATAAATTCAGGGGCAGCAGCCGAGTCGAATGAACACATGGTGCCTCCAATTAAGCAGTGTACAGTGTCATGAAGATTTATTCGCAGCGCAATCTCGAAGGAATCAAATTCCGAATGAGGAATCCTTAACACCTCTGCGACTGCAGCGGAATCAGGGGTATTGTCAGTTAGATTAAACTGGCGACGGAGACAGCCACCCCCGGCTGATGGCACAACATTCCAAACTCCTCGCCTAAACGGACCACTTGTCACACACTGTTGAGGTGTTTGTTCTCCATTCCCACCAAAACCACTATTTCCTGAGAACCACAAATCAGACGCTCTACCGCGCCATGGAGAACGTGATACCTGGCTCCAGTCCCAGTAAGGTACTGTCACTGTACAGTCTACGCGTCGAAGAAGGTTCTCATATTGCAGTATGTACCATCTATGCCATGGTAAGAAAAAATCTCGCTGGTGAATCCCATCATTGAATATTGTTCTATGTTGGGTTATTACTCTGTCATATTCTGGTTTGTATCTGGGGTCTGTTGACAAAGTGCGGACAGTTCTGACGTATTTTTCACGGTCAGCTCTTGACATGGCTGTAAATTCCCGTCTCACACGAGTGCACTGGACAAAGCGACCACGTGAACACCTACACCGCTGGCCACATCTATCGGTTACTATGCTCCTTTCCACACAACCTGTGAGGAAACCATGGAAACATAATTATCAGATCTCTAGACAGCTAAAAAAACAAACATTACTTTGATTTGAGAAAGCTAAAAAACTTCCTTTCAGTTAAGATGATACAACTTTTCTTCAGAGGCACAAACATTCTCGCTCTAATATCTTAAGTTGCTTTCTTAAGTAACATTGACATCCTGAAGATAGCTGTCAAGAATTGAAAATAGTGAAACTGAAGAAAGAGGATTTCCTCAACTGTCTTTGTCTACACTGAGAAGGACATGAGGATTACATTTCTAATTCACTGATAACTATCACTTCAATACATCAAGAACATTCTCCAAAGTGTTACCTGGACAGCGCTTGGTATTGCATGAACGGACTAAAAGGTTCCTTCCTGGACATGTGGACCCTCCATTTCTTGGAGGGGGGTTGGTACATGTCCTAACTCGTCGCTGTGATCCACCCCCACAACTTCTGGAGCAGGAGCTCCACCGTCGCCAGCGTGACCAGCCTCCATTAACTAAAGTTAAACAGCAACAAAGATACAAACAACAATTAAGAAAAATGCTGCCATGTTCCTTCTTGTTATTACCACTTACGCGTTGATTTATATAGTTATATAGAAAATATTGTCGTTAATCGTGGTTTTATTTAATAACCGTTTGTCTCATGATGTAATAGTCCGGCTAATCAATTGTATCGTCACGTTTTTGATAGATTATTTTCATTTTCGTGATCATAATGCTTCCAAAAAAAATCCGCGTTATTCGGAATTACTTCGGAATTTTATGGTCACAAGGAAACTGCACATTCAGAAACTACAAACTGTCAGGTCCATTCGAGTTGCAGATTTTTCTTTAAATTTAGATGTCTTTAATTACGTATTCTGTTGTCACAAAAAAGCCGCTCAGTTAAAATTAGTATACCGGGGCATCTCTTTGAGTTGCATCTCCTTCTTTGAGTGCTTGATCCTCGGCAGTTATTGCCACCATTTCTTGGAGCGGGGTTGGTGCATGTTCTGGTCCTGATTTGTGTTCCTCTGCCACAGCTTCGAGAGCATGTGCTCCATGGCCGCCATGCTGACCACCTACCATGAACAACTGCAAAGGGATTTGTAGAACCCATGAAAAATGCGAGATGTTTTGCTCACTGGGGTGGAGGGCACAAACATCCAAAGTCCCCCTCCCCCATACCTTTGGATGAATTTTTTTTTAATTTGACAACACTATTATGATATCGATATTCCAATACTGGCATATTTTTCCTTAGAAAAAGCTAATTTTATTTTGAAAATATATATGTGTCAGTAGGAAATAGTTATATTGCGTCGGAAAATCAATACGGAAGTCAGTAAAAAAACCTTCAACATAATTAATATTCTTCCGCCATAGTCAAATGATATGCAAATTAAACGACCCGTAGTTAGACTCTGGCTTTTTATTTCCTAAGATTTTTTGTCAAATTCCTAAATAATAATTTTATATACCAACGATACCAAATAACGAAAAATAGGAAGGATAGATGTATTTGACTGCGCAGTTCCCCGTTGGTTTTACTATGCACCGTTTTTTCCCGACTACTTCTGAAACATTTAAATAACTTTCAAAAAATTCTGCGTTATTGATTTCGGAATTACTTCAGAATTTTATAGTCACAAGGAAACTGCACATTCAGAAACTACAAACTGTCAGCTCCATTCGAGTTGCAGATTTTTCTTTAAATTTAGATGTCTTTAATTACGTGTTCTGTAGTCATAAAAAAGCCGCTCATTTAAAATAAGTATACCGGGGCATCTCTTTGAGTTGCATCTCCTTCTTTGAGTGTTTGATCCTCGGCAGTTATTGCCACCATTTCTTGGAGCGGGATTGGTGCATGTTCTGGTCCTGATTTGTGTTCCTCTGCCACAGCTTCGAGAGCATGTGCTCCATGGTCGCCATGCTGACCACCTACCATGAACAACTGCAAAGGGATTTGTAGAACCCATGAAAAAAGAAAGATGTTTTGGTCATTGGGGTGGAGGGCACATCCCTCCCCCCCCCCTCCCCGTAGCACAAACCTGTTTGGAATGCCTAACCTGCATGTAGCTTGTCACCAAAACTCGTCTTTTTAAGCCGAAATGTGAAAATGATACGTGAAAATGAATCATATTCAATGAACGATCGATTTAAAATTAGATGCTCATCTAATCTTTACATAGAGCCTTCAATCTTCTGAGGTAAAGGAGTAGGATAAAAGGGGCATGGTATTTGTAATTTACAGTTCAGATATGTGATTTTAGAGACGCTCTATCAGTTAAGCGTAAGGTAAAGAATAGCGAAGCACCTACCTCTACCTTGGCAGCGGTTGCTGTTGCAAAACTGCGTCTGTGAGTTGGATCCAGAACACCTTGCACCACCATTGGCTGGTGGAGGATTGGTACAGCTGCGTCGACGAGTTCGAGTTCCACCATTACAACTGGCGCTACATGAGCTCCAACGAGACCAGCTCGCCCATTTTCCATTTACTGATGATGAACAAAAAAAAAATGAGATGTGTTTGATTTAAAGAATCTTACACTGACGAAATCAAGACACAAGCTAACTGAAATCGGAATAAGGCAATTCTGAGGAAGATAGGGGAAGACAGTAAAAATTTGAGAAATATATTCATCGTATCCTTGGGAAACAATTGTCGAAACAAGTTTAGTCAGCGATTATAGCTTGATTCTCTATTTCATATCGATTTACTAAGTATCTCACCTGGGGATGAACTTTGAACCCTGTACACGCTGCCAGATCCCATCCATCCCAGTCCTCTGTAACAGTACAAGCCACGGCCATATTTGCCATAATCTCTTTCAGCGCTTGGACCCCAGCGACATTCTGCGAAATCCTGAATAGAAAATATCCGATATCCTCGGGCGGCAGCCGCAGAGGCACATGATTGTATGATATGGTTACTATCAGACCACCACCTTGCAGGTTTAACTCTTAAAAACAGAATGGGAAATATCCTTTGACTTTGGTAGTTCACACTATCTTGGTAACATCCTAATGACGTGACTGAAACCGAACCTGAAAAATAACAGAAAAACAAAGTAACATTTTATTGAGATAAATGCAACGTTTGTGCTGCAAACTAACTTGTACAAAGGTAGAGATACAGTACTCACGCATTTTCTCCGACGATCACAATTTATGACAATCAAGTTAGCCAGGTCACCACTGCAAAATCACTTGGAGTAACCATCGATAACACACTCGATTGGAGCAGTCAAATCGATAAACTAACAAAGAAAGTCGCCTCTGGCATTGGGGCTATAAAACGAATAAGGCACCTTGTCGTTCAAGCGACTTTGCTTCTACTATATCAAGCTCTGATCACAGCCACATTTTGACTATTGTAATATTGTTTGGGGAAACTGCAGGATAACTTTGCAGAACAAGGTACAGAAACTACAAAACAGAACAGCCCGTGTTTTGACTTATTCAAATCATGATGCCGATGCTGGTCACTTGTTTGAGCTTTTAAGATGGAAAAACCTAGCTTCCCAACAGCAAATACAAAGATCCATAATGGTCTATAAGTCTCTGCACGGTTCAGCTCCAGATTGTTTATGCTCTAAATTTGAAAGGCGAGAAACTGCGTATAACCTAAAACTGTTACAAAAATAGCTTTAGCTATAGCAGCGCCACTCTTTGGAACAGACTTCCTCGTGACATAAGACAAGCAGAGTCCCTTGGGTTATTTAAGCGTTTAATAAAAGAAGTACGTTCAAGCACGGCATTCGTGGAAAGCAGCTTTAGTTAGGTTTGTGTTTAAGTATAGTTTTTATCGTATCTTATCCATTTAATGCATGTTTATATATTTGAATGTTTTTATGGCTGATGAATTGTCCATAGGTAAATAAAGATTATCTATCTATGTATGAAACCCTTTACTTCAAGCGGCGAAAAAGCGCAAATCCAACGAATGTAAGCGGCCTAAAAAAGTGTCCCTTTCAGTGAATTTAAGACAAAGAAAATGTTTACAGCAGCAGCAAACGATTTGATTCTAGCCGATCATCTTTTATTACTCGAAGAACTACTGTAAAAAAAATAGTAAACATATATTTGGCTCACATTAGTGTAGATATTTTCACTGTTGTTCACAAACGGTTGAAAACAGATCGCAATAAATTCAGCTTTTGCTGACTGTTGTTAACGTCATGCTTAGATTCTCTGAAGGAAAACAACAGCTAAAGGCGGTAAGCGAAGTTTCTAATTAAGAGAGGGAAAGAGACTGTTTTTATGTAAGAATTGTGAGAGACACAAGATGTTAGACTCATTGGCGTTTCAATACGATGCTTCAGTGGCGGTCTCGTAATAATCTCTGCAAAAATCAAACCCACAGCCCATTAGATAGTTTTAACATTTATTAAGCCCGGTGTGAGCAAAATATTGAAAATTTAATTGCAAAAGACCAAAGCTGTGATGGACGATTCAAGAAGAAAACAGAAAGATTTCACTCTTCAGTTCTAATTGTATCAGCTTAGTGGATATTAGTCTTCAGGACGTAGGAATTCGCCCCATTTAGTTTGTTGGTCTTCATATCAGGAAAAAGAAAGTGGAAGACTTTAAAAAAGTAAGCTTAGCAATGATTTATAGCTTTCTAAGCTAACTTTTGCTCATGAGGAACGTATCTAACCACAGGCTGCAACCTCAAATGTAAAGTTCTTAAAATGGCATGGAATATCATAAAAAAAAAAAGTGTTCGGATTTCATTTCCATTATGTTAAAATAACTCTTCGTCAATGTAGACTGAATTTCGGTCACGTCAGTGTAAAGTCACAAAGACGGAGTATTTGACGTTAATACTGGCCTTTACTAGTCATCGCAACTGTCATTTTTTCCAGATTTTTCTAACTTTCATTTATATTTGGTATTTTGCAGTATGAGGTAAACTCACAGTGTCTCAGTGGGGGAGTAATTCGAATAAGTTAAATTTGAATTTAGCCTGACCTCGCCCGAGGATGCACCAAAAATGTTTGATTGTCGAGATAAAAAATTAAGGCCATTCATACTTACGCATAATGTTCTTGAGAGACACTTTAATGACTCAAGTAAGCTATAGTGCATGTCCCATTTTTTTTTAATGTGGCAACACGATTGTGATATCGATATTCCAATACTGGCATACTTTTTCTTAAAAAAAAGCTAATTTTATTTTGAAAATATTTATTTGTCACTAGGAAATAGTTATATTGCGTCGGAAAATCAATACGGAAGTCAGCAAAAAAACCTTCAACATATTTGATATTCTTCCCTCACTGTCAAATGATATGCAAATTAAACGACCCGTAGTTAGACTCAGGCGTTTTATTTCCTAAGATTTTTCGTCAAATTCCTAAATAATAATTTATGTACCAACGATACCAAATAACGAGAAATAGGAAGGAGAGCTAAATTTGACTGCGCAGTTTTCCGTTGGTTTTATTATGCATCGTTTTTTTTCCAACTTCTATTGAAATATTCAAATAACTGTCACGCACGCATTTAAATAACTGTCACGCACACCATCCGGGGTACTTCTAAAGACATTATTAACTGTAGACTTCCTTGTAAAACGTAAAGAGACTTCTTATTAGCAATTTCTAATTTCGTTGAAAAAAAATTATAATATAATCGGGCGTCATTCCACAATACAAGATTGGAAAATCATTCAGCGCATTGGAATATCCGTTTATGACATTAAATAAATACTGTATGTTTTAATTAACATTGGCCTTTTTAACTAGTAAAATATCGTTATCCGATGACTAATTTTTGGATCCTCATCGTTAATTAATTGAATTGTAGAAGCGACACGAATCGATTTTATTATGGCCCTAAACCTTACCTTATTTTGAGAAATCCTAGCCTAGTTCATAATTTAGGTTTTTTTATTTTTCCTCATTTTTTTTGCGATTTGCTTTTCTTCTTTAAGCTACTGATATCGTGTCGAGAAGTGTTAGTTACCTTGTCTCTTCGAATGAACGTTTCGGCAGTTTACGAGAAGAACCAGGAAGATGTATAACTTTCTCCAGGCTGTCTCATGGGCCATTTTGTGGTCACTGCACCATAAAAAAAAAATTAATAATAATTAGATTACTTCGAAGTTGCAAATTCTTAAGCCCTTATTGCTTCAAATCACTAAAAATTCTGCTTTCAAATGCTTTTTCTTTAGTAAAGCTACAATACTTTCACGACTCGATTCTAGAAATTAGAAATAAACAATTATTTACATTCTGCGGGAGAAAACCGTTTACTTTAGACGAATTTATCTTAATAAACCGTAAAAAGGTTGTCCTGAGTAGAAATCTGAACGTTGCCGGTTAGATTTTGTCATAATGTAAAGGTGTATCACAAACAATATTTAGCAACCCAATTAGAGCTAAAACTTCCTAATTTCTAGAGCAATGAAATTAATACCTTGTACTCGTATTTCTAAGACAGAGCCATCTTTAAACAACATTATAAAGAAAATATTGTAATAACGAATGAACTCTTACCTGTACAAGGTTTAGATGAGAGAGCCTTTTCAACACACGAGAAATGCTGAGATGTGCAGGCACCTCTTCATTACTTATGTCGGTTAAAATACAGCTTTAGTCATGGATCAATTAATAATCGGACGATAGACCGCGAACTAGGGGAGGATACCACGTCCTTTATAGGGCATTGTTGACCGCACTACTCAATTTTTTCGATAGCTTTTAAGTACGTGCTTCATTTTTGACGCAAAGAGACATTGATTTCTATGACCGCAAAAACGTTCACGGCGAGGGCAATATCACACAGTAACCAATTTAACAGTATTGGGCTCTCGACCGGACTGGTGGTCATATCGGATATTGATTAACCTTGGCTGAGGTTGAGAGGGCTCGTCAAATTGAAGCTATTTTTTGAACTTTATTTAAGGAATTGACCAAAGGGCTTTAGGAAGCACGAAGGACTCCCTTCCACCAAGCTAAGCTGGGTGATATTTCCTCTTATGATTTCCTATATTGCTCTTCAGACCGCATGGAGCGTATGTTCGCATTTTCCCGTTTTATTTTTGGACCAAGTTAAAAAATTGAACAAGGAAATCTTTGCGAGAGGGTTATTTGGTTTGCCACTGCGTAATTTAGAGTACGAAATACGTGAGGTCTTGAGCGTTTTTGTAGGATGGGCGACGTTTACAAAATACAAATTGCATTGTAAGTTCCTGATCTTAAGGAAGATCAACGACTATTCGACTTTGGTATGTTATGCGCTTGAATAACTTTACAGTAAAAGCATTCCGTGCCTTTGCAAGAAGTTTAATTAGACGAAATTACTGTAAGCACATATTTAGTTAGCATGAAATCGTTGCTTAACCCCTCAGATCTAACAAATGATTCGTTCCGACGAGTTGTGACCGAGTAATTTGAATAAGTAGATTGAAATCTATTGGGCTATTTCGAAAATCATTCACGCTCAAATCTTATCATGCCAAGGAACATGTATGTGTTGGACTTTTTACGTATTGTATGAGATGTAAGGCATATCTGGTTTCCTTTTTTTTCGACTGCGGCGTATTAGAAGCTTATTTATCCGAACGTCATGAATAATACAACAAAGAGTTATTATTAGCAATTTTACTTGATGTGCTCTATATATGACGCATCTTTACTACTTGAGAATTCTCAGCTAAGAGATCATTAATGATACTTTGACAGGAATGTAAAGATATATAAATAGATTTCGAAAATTTCATGGTTTTCGGGGGCAACGGAGGGGATCAGTCGTTGCCAACAGAGTATAAAGGGGGCATGAGGAAGGGGAGGGGGGGGGGGGGTGGAAGAGCCTTGTTGGGTTCGGTTCGGTTAAGTCTTTATCGTGACCTAACCAAAATCCTCGATCCAACCCCCAGTTTATGGATTATGATCAGTCCATTGTGCGCACATTGAGGATTGGACGTCTTTGACGTCTTCCAGACCCACTCCCCTTTAAAAAAAATTCAAATTGAGAGCTGAGCCATTAGTTATGATAAAGAGAATAATTAGATATATATTTTTTAAGGTTCCTTTTCACAAATGTACATGAGATTTTCATCACACTGAAAATCGTTCCAAACTCCAATTTGCGGTGGACCGTCAGGCCAGAAGACTCCATTGGCAATTTCACCGCAGTCCTGTTCGTTATCCTCATCATTCGGCTGTTCATCGGCCCAGTTTGTGTAGTCTGCTGGTGTTCCATCTGTCCAGACAAATTCTCCTTCCTCGAGTTTATCCGTGAGTCCAATCCATGCCTCTCGATTTACCTCGCCTTTAGGGACTTGCAGGAATGTCCTCAGCAAAAAAGTGTTTTCTTCCTCAGAATCTACCTTGACCAAGTGAGAGCTTATGTTTCGGCAGTCATCATTTGCAGCATCCCATGTTTTCTTCTCCGTGAACAGTTTGTAGCAATTAGAATTCTCCCCGGGTGTTTCCCATCCTTCTTCGCATTCTTCAAAGAGAAAACAAACAAATACACAACTAAATAAGCCAAAAAGATTTCCAAGTGACTGTGCTACCACTGACCTGGCTTTCTTGCCGTTTACCGTGAATTTAACGCTTACCTGCAACACAGTGAGCGATAAGTAATGCCAAAATGATTCCATCCAACCTCATCCTTGAAAAATCCTACAAAAGAAGCAACTTCAGATGTTCTAATTTTCCCCGTGTCGTAAAGTACTTGTAAGCAGGATATTATTCTTATAAGATATGATCTACTTTTGAAGGAATCTCAAGAGCAATTGTAGTGTTGCTCTTATCGCGCACCCCCATCCCCTCCCCCACCAAATTGGCATTTCAGTTGCAGCCGAAGTAGTCATGGATAATAAAATCTCGAGGACGAAGAAAAGGGTACAAATGAAGGCCGTTCCTAATTATCTTTAACCAAACAGTTAAGTGATAAATTATATAGGCATACAATTTTTAGTCACTTTGCAATTATGCATTAAATTTTAACAGTGTTTTTCTGTATTTCAAGTCGGTCGCCCTTAATTAGGGTCAAGTAAACATCGATGTCTTCTCAAAATATTCGAGCTTGTCCGTCATCTTTTAGAGTTCTTTTCTATGAAGAAAAAAGTTTTCTCTGGTACAAAGGCACGTTGGGGATCGAAATATCACTGCCAAGCACAAAACGTTATTTAGAACCGTGAGACTCTTCAACGTTGAAACTAAATCCTTTTTTACTTCCAAAAGGACACAGGATTTAAACGGCTATGATACTCTAAAAACCTAACTACATGAAATGATTAAAAGTGTTCGATTAAATAAATGCTTCATTTCAGTCACACAGCTGCATGTTCACTTTGAGAGCAATTTGGAATACTCTCGATAGAGAGGTCTTGCCTAATTACCTGCTACCAAAAAAAAGACGCACGCTCGTATCCTTTTTCGCTTTTTAACTTCCTATTAATACAGGGGACTTTTTTTCTCAAAGTCTTTAAAAGTCAAACTATCGCTTAGATGGACGCAACTATTTCTCAAAACTCTATAAAGAAGAAAAAAGAAAAAAAGCAACTGATTTAAAAGAATATAATATTGTAACACCCACGCAATAAGGTAAAAACAAGCTGGCAATTTGAAATACTACGACACCTCATTTCATGTGTTTGAATGTAACTCTATGCAGCACACTTACCTCCTCGAAAACACCACTTTTCTTTTCGGGAGTTAATGGCCACGATCTCTCATGAAAGCAGAATTGTAAATGGAGCCAAGCATAACATGGAACGATTTCTTTTGGTCTTACAGACATTGATTCGACTATGTCATGAATCGAGCCACCAGATCTCTGAACAAAAGGAAAACCCAACCTTCTCTGATTCTGTTAAAAATTTTCGCACCTTTCGTAAGACCACCTGTTCAGACAAGAAACTGAGGCGACCATTTGGAACAGCAATGCTGCATCAGCGGTCAGATAAATGCAATAAGAATCGATTTCATAGCCATGTAAATTGCATTGTTCTGTTTCCCTTTATTATGGGCGCTTAACATTGAGCATCAAAGATTTGAGAAAGTTCTTACATGCATGATGTTAACAGCTTACCACCTCAAACGGAGGGTCGGCTAATTTAATTTTAATTTTAAACTCTCACCACGTTAATATTCCCTTGTAGTCGTTTGACAATTTTATCGGTAATTTTTAACAGATTTGAGGATGAAGATGCACTTCGAGCAACGTCCGGGAAAAGAAAAAAAATTCATTTTGATAAAATAATCATCACATATATGGATCCTACAGGGACTAATGGAATGATTTCCTGAAATCCCGTTTCTTTTTGATTATATAGTTCTCCGTTTTGCTTTAATTTAATTTTCGAAGTTGTGCGGCTTTTTCTTCCTCAGATTCCCACTGTTAAAGAAAAAATCATTTGAGGCATTCTGGTCAATACTTTAATTTATGATAGGAAAGCAAACTCTTACAGTTCTCAATCAAAGTGACGTAAATAACATCCTTAGACCTGGCACAGCCATGGCCTGTAACAGAGGTTTGGGGAACGAATTAATCAAGGGGCTGAAATACATATAATTCGCGATTAAAATCTCCATAATGAAGTTAATAACGATGATGACAATAGCCAAGCCGATAGCAATAAAGCTTACAGACTGTTGGGTTTCAAGGTTAGCGTGTGCGAGGACAGATTCACTTCAACTTCGGTTACAAATAATGATGTCTGTGTAACGTGAGAAACACAGACGCGACGTAGGCATACGTTCGAATCATGTAGCGTTACATTGATAAAGTCCTTCAAGAATAAAATCGTACCTTGAACACAAGCATTTATCAGTTACTCCGCCTTTTCACATATAAACATCAACGCCTTGTTACACTGGAAATCATTCCAAAGTCCAATTTGTGGCAAACCTCCGGGCCAAAAAACACCATTCACAATCTCGACGCAGTCTTGTTCGTCATCCTCATCATTGGGTTGTTCGGCGGCCCAGTTTGTATATTCTGGTGTCGCACCATCAGTCCACACAAAATCTCCTTCCTCTTTCTTATCCGAGAGTCCAGTCCAAGCCTCACGATTATTATCGTTCGGTAATAACTGCAGAAAACTGTTCAACAGGAAAATGTTTTCATCAGCAGATTCAATCTTTACCAAGTGGGCACCAGTTCCCTCGCAGGACGTCTTCGCATCATCCCACGACTTTTCTTCCTCAAACATTTTATAGCACTTGCTGTTAAACGATTTCCATCCCTGGTCACATTCTGAAATGAATAATCAGCAAAAATATTTCCAAGATTCTTCGACGGATAGCGGAGGCATCTTGGATCTTGGAGAAGTCTATAGTCTTACCTGCAGAACAACTCCTCAGCATCACTAACATTGCTGTGATAATTCCAAGATACTCCATTGCTAGCTGCTAAAAAAAATCAATAAAATGTCAATGGGGCAAGTAGATACATTCCATATTATGCTATTCTTTATTATTCGGTTCTTTAGCTTTAGTCTGTTCTCACTAAATTCGTGGATTTTCAGGTAACAATAAAGCGTCGAGTTGAGTTCTTTTTTTTTTTTTTACGGCGAATCAAAGTCAACAAGAGGCTGACCTTGGTCTGGGGCGATATTAAATGTATATAATATCGTTCGTCAGCGGCAGGTTTCCCGAATGATTTCAGTAATTTAGTTATCAGAAAGAATAAAGTGTAGGCAGGAGTTAAAGAAAAATTTAAGGAAACAAGCAAACGAAGACAAAATTAAACAAGAAGCAAAGCTAGCAAACCATCACTGGTAATGAATTGATTTTGATGGTTCGCAAGGGATGACCGGGAGAATTGGCAAGACAGTCTATGGAATAGTAAGAAAGGCATAGGGAAATTTTGAAAAGTAAGAAACAAACAAACATTCTAAATAAACAAACAATCTAAACAACAAACAGGAAAATACACTTGTCATCGAATGTCACGCGAAGTTGTAGTATATATTATATAATTTAGGAGCCAAAACATTGCTCTTAGATAAAATTATCGATCTGCCATCTTATATTCGATAAAAGTCTGTCAATCGAATACCAAATTCATTGTGATAGAGTTCACTTAAAGTCACTTCGAGCGTTAAACGATATTACAATAACCTATGGCATAATAGGATAACAGGAAGAACATTATTGTAAAGTATGCTCTCTAATCAAATTTTCTAGTTGATCACTTTTCTTTCGATAGTTTCATGTAACAGCTCATTGTTTCAATTAGGTAATTACCTTCGATGTTTCGCTCTGAGGAGTTCTGGTGATCTAAGTGAACAAAGCGATCCCCCAGTAAAATTTAACGTTAATTTGACTGTGAAAGCTGATGCGGGTAGGCTTCGACACCACCTGTAGAGCAATTATTAAAGAAACACGCCCCTGCTGTTTTTGAGGAGGTCAGATCACCACTCATGAATAAGGCCACCAGAGCAGCGCAGTCGTTTGAATCATTTAGTTATTGCATGGCTCCTTATTGGAATTCTTGGGAAGAAACATGGAGTAAGTTGTTAGTTCTCAAAAGATTTCACTTAATGATCGGAAAAAATTTGATGCATCAAGATAGCTTTTCACCTCTGTTTCATATTATACTTGTTGGAGTACCCAAGGGAGGGAAAGAAAGGCGAGATCCGTAGGCATTTGTCTACGCGGTATTTTGGGCTTCCACAATGACATTTCCCAAGTTCTCCAGGAACAATTTCACTCAATTTTGGACTGTAATGAAATAATGAGTAGATAAAAGTGACCTTCTTTGTTTACACTTGACCCGTAACACAACAGATAATAGTCTCAATATGAACAAAAGAGTTTCTGGTGATGTATCTCATGCATTACATTTGAAATGCAGCCTTCATATTGAATACAAACTTTATTTTAGGGTTGTAAAATTTTGGATGCGTTTACCCGGTTAGGCATACACTCATAACTTTACCAAGCGCAACAAAATACTGTAACAGTTCATACTACAGCAGCACCGTAGTAAGTAAATCAGTAAAGTCAGCGGATGTCAGAGAAAGTCACCCATTTGCTTGGTGACCACTCGTGCTACTTAGTAACCGTTCGTCACTTGGGCGCCGCCATGTTTTCTTTGTTGATCACAAAAGTGATACCTTAAGTTTTTTCATAGATGCAGTTCTCCGGCCATCCGCTAAAGGCGGACCAGGCGGTTTTCCCAAGAATAAAGTTTGTTTCTACGAAAACAATCGGTCCTCTTTTCGTCGAAACTCATTTGCATGTCACGGGTGCGACGCTAAAGCGAGCAGCTAAACGGAAGTTGCGTGACATTACACTTACGCATTCACGTTTAAGTTTAATAAAAGTGAAATAGGAGACGTGATGATTGAAGCGACAGATTTTTAGGCGAGAGGGTACAAATTTCGCGACGTGGTGGGTGTCGACGATAAACAATAAAACAGGATTTGACGACTGAGAATAGAGTGTACCCCACAAGTTCGGTACACAGCGGAGGTATCACGATTGGCTCATGGCGGTAGTAGATTATAAATTGACCTACAGTTAAAATTATTCAATGGAAATAAAGGTATTGCTTTCACAATCAAGATCACTTAAGTCGCTTCACTTTGGTCACATCTTTTGTCTTCTGATAATTTTTTTTTCTTTAATTTTCATTATTATCGTCTGTTGTAACCGATAATTTGCATCAACACTTGGGTCTACTGAGCGAACCTCTGTAGTATTTAAAGATGGAACGACGCTGCAGCCGTCCAAAACTCCTCTGCACACCATAAAATCTATTTACCAATGTCACGCCCATCATTTATTAGATTCTCTTCTCTGCTAAATATTCTAAACGGAGTTCATTACCGAGCAGTAGTTTTTTTTGTCTTTTTGACTAAAAAATATTGGCTTTGGAATAACCAAACGCTCTAAACACGCATGCTATGGAAACAGGGCAACTTTACCACCGCAATGAAATTTAGGGTTAAACTCTACTTTGTTCAGGAAACAAAAACAACTTTTAATGGATTCAACTTTATTTTGATATTCATCACATACTTAATCGTCAGATACAATTTATTAATTCAAGTGATATTGCAAATTAATGAAAAGCTAACTAATACAACGGCTGCAACAGCTTCTCCAATTCTTTTGCACGTTTCACTTCAGATGGCTTTAAATGGAACACCTTTATTATCTTTTCAGTGACACCAGAAAACTGTCTCCGTGGAATATGATGAAGAGCACTGAGACTTAGTCCTACAGAAGAAAATCAAACGAAACAGGCATATAATGATAAAAATAATGATAATAATAATAATAATAATAATAACAATAATGATGATTTATTCACAGCATATCCACATGAAAAGATGAAGAGGCGATGATTACCGATATCATCAATGTTCCACAAATGTTATCTATTTTTGTATATTTTTTCAAGGTCCAAAAATTTGGAATTCCTTACCCAATGTTATTGGGCAATCTGAAACTTCTTCGAAGTTTATTACTGAATCTACAGGTATACCAACTCTTAAGATTGGTGGTTTGGCGAAGAAAATGTTTCCTGTGAACGCGTATCGCTTATAGGCATATATTTTTTCTTTTTGTTTTAGCAGGAAGGACTCCCTGGTAGAAACCCCATGGTTTCTTGAGGCCCTCTTGCCAAATATTAATATATCGTTATTAACAAGTATTTTAAACTTAGTAATTTTGTTATGAAACCCATCTTTCCATCTATGAATGGCGAATAAAGTCTGTATTGTATTGCGCTATTATAACATCACATTATGCGGAGCACTGAGTATGGTTGCCACCAAAACTCACGACAAACTCATTAAACCTGTGCATCACTACGAACCTGGAAAGTTTAGACTGTTTGGTTTTTTTTGCCAATGAGACCACAAATTTTTGAAAACTGCATGTTTATTGCTAAATGACAAATAAATCCGATTAAACAAAAAAAACCTTCATTTATACGTATTGCAGATATTTTTTGCTTTTTCTCCCTTTGAGAATATTCCCCTAATGATAATTTTACCTAGAAAAGATAACATACCCACCTCTTAAAAGAGGTAATAAATTGGCGGCTTTCCTGGATGACTGATATTCTACTCGAACACCTCCCGGCTGCGACAAAAGGTTGAGTACGTGCTGAGGTAGCAATTTAGATCCTGGCATAACCTCTTTGATACCAGGAAAGAAGGCATTCTTATGAGCGTCACTTTTCTTTTGCCACTCGTCCCAGATCTTGTCAATAAATCCGTGGTGAAGAAAAAACTCCGGGGCAGCAGCTGAGTCTATCGAGCACATGGTGCCGTCTATCAAACAGTGCACAACGTCGTGAAGATTCACTCGGAGCATAAGCTCAAAATCAGTGAAGTTACTCGCTGGTATTCGTAAGACTTCTTGAACTGCCACAGAGTCAGGAGGGTTCCCATTAAACCTCCGTGCTAAACACCGAGGACCTGGCTCTGGTAAGGAATTGGCTGGAAGTGGCACGATGCTCCAATTGGCCTCTCTGAATGGTCCTGTCTGGACACAGCTATACGGCCCTATGCCGTTCCCGCCGAAACCAGTGTTCGCGGTGTGCCATAGGCTTTCTCTTTTCACCGTGCTGAAGGGATTTCCAGACACTGAACTCCAATCCCAGTATGCTATCGTAAAATTGCAGTGTACTTGACGAAGGAGGTTCTCATAAAGCAACATGAAATAGCGATGCCATGTAAGGAAGTGCGTTCGTCCATGAATTCCAGAGAAAAACTTATTTCTATGCCGATTGATTAACTCATCATAGTCGTTCTTAAATTTTGGGTCAGTAGAAGCTGTTAATATGACTTTAATGTACCGTTCTCGCTCAAGAAATGACATGGAAGTGAATTCTTTTCGAATACGAACGCAGTTAACCAACTGGCCTTGAACACAGGTGCATCTCTGCCCGCATTGATCAAATGAGGTACTTCCTTCTTGGCAAACTAGAGATAAAATCAAGACAATTACGCTTTTATTATAAAAATAACCATTATGTTACATATCATCGCATAAATTTCAAAGCTTTACAAATGTGACGAATCCTCAATAAAGATGCACAGAAAGAAACAACTGCTACATGTTTGTATATCTACAAGATATACGAGGGAAAATATCACCAAGGCAGAGTCAGTTATTATACAGAGTTACCATGAACGCCTGTGGCTAAAATCCTCATATAAAGTGATGGTTCCAAAACTAATAAATGTTTAGTGCGGAATTTGAAACTTCTCAATGGCTGAATTGTAGCAAAACAGTCTTACTCAGTTTGTAGTACTTCATAATGTTGATTAGCAGACCCATTAACTTTTATGATGGAAGACTAAATGTAAATACACATTATCCTCTAGAAAAAGCCCCTTTGACGGAATCATACTGCGACTGACACTAACGAATTGTTAGACATACATGGACACGTGTTGTTGTTACATGCTTGGGACTCCGAGCTACTTCCTGAACAGTTGAGACCACCATTGGTTGGAGTAGGACTGGTACAAGTGCGACTGCGTGTTTGTGTTCCACCACCGCATGTTTGTGTACAGCTGCCCCAGGCTCCCCAGTTTGACCAACCACCATTGACTATAAAGAAATAATTGACGCTTGATAGGTTATTGTAAATGATATCTATATATTTCACTTTTCCAAGAAGAACTGAATCAATCACAATCTGCTTGAATTACGTCGGCTTAATGATATGTGTGATGAACTTGCACAATGCTAAAAATATCTTGGAATTTTGTGAAAATTCTTAACTCCTACGGTAACTAATCAATGATCACTTCAGCTGCACAGGTGATGCTAGATAGTGAAAAATGAAGTCGATCTCTACATGATTGGATATGCGAGAAAAAGTGCTAAAAAATATTTTCTATGCGGTTATAGGCACTAGTATTACTTAACAAAAACTGTCCTAACCGTAAAGTATTTCCTCGTCATATAATACACGATTTGCTAAACAGGGGGCATTAAGTACAAAATCTTTTTGTCCGTATCATCCTTGTAAGGAAACTTTTACCTGGACAACCATTTTTATAGCAGAGTTGAGATTGAGATCCAGGTCCTTGACAAGCAGCTCCGCCGCTTTGTGGTAGAGGATTGCTGCATGTGCGCATGCGTGATCGAACTCCACCATCACACGTTCGACTACAAGTGCTCCAAACTCCCCAAGTAGACCATCCGCCGTTTACTTAGAACGAAAAGAAAATTTTACTTTACATCTGTCTGTTTTCAAATGGATTTAATAGATATTTGATCCAATCTCTTATTTAGAAATGAATACGTGTTGCAAGGTCGTGACTGGTCACTGTCTCCTTGACAACTTGTACCACTTCCACTCGGGAGAGGATTGGTACAAGTAGTCACACGTATTTGTGCACCACCACCACAAGTCTGACTACATCCACCCCAGATCTCTCACACCGACCATTTACTATGAACTAGAAGTAACAACTAGAAGTTGAAAAATTTTACATCCGCAACTCAAATTATCTCTTCCAAATCTTTATTCATTTACTTTCACTTTCTTTCGCGTCGAAAGGTTGGAATCGAGAATCGCTTCCAAGGCAAGTAAGAGCACCTATACTAGGCGGGGACTGGAGCAGCTGCAACCGCTCCAGTCACGCCAGGCTAAACCATGCGCCATTAGCTAAAATTAAAGAACACTTTGCAAGTTCATTATTGCGCATTTTTTTAACATTTGATATGAGTCAATCTTTGACTAAAAGCTAATTGCTTCTTAGCGCGATTCAGTAGTTATAGAGAAGGCCTTATGACGCATATGCAAACGTGCCTATTGCATACGTTGAAAATGAAGATAAAAAGAAAGGGTAACAAATCTTGATAGAACTCCTTATCTAACCTGGGCAACTGTTGGTGTTGCATGAATGAACCTCAAGAGAGTTATTCCCAACGCATTCGGCACCGCCAGCAGCCGGTGTGGGATTAGTACAGGTCCGTATGCGTGTTTGCCTGCCGTTACCACATGTTAGGCTGCAGGCGCTCCAGGCTCCCCAGTTCGACCACCCACCATCAACTTAAAATATGAAGACAATAATCAAATTTCTGAGGAAGAGATCTGCTTTATAAGGTATTAATAATATAAGTGACGTTTATGGATGCAATAGAAGTGGACAGTGGACCTTGGGAATTTGTAGAGGTAACGACATGATTCCAAGTGCAATTTTGATGTAAATAAGCACGAGTAAATTTTTCAAATACAACAAAATGGATGTTTCATAAGACAAGCTTAAATAAGACCCGAGAGAGTCACAACATTCAGCTTGATGTGTTATGTCTACATTTTGTGGCGCTTGGTGTCCTCTTAGTATTTCTTCTTTATCCTTAGAACACAAGAATAACACAAAGATGTAAATTTTCCTCAATAAACTAACCCCGAATGAAAATGTCTTTATGTGAATATTCGAATTACACAAAGATTTCTGCGGCATTTTTTTGAAAAACAGACTGCTTTGACGCTTTTTTACGTATAAGTAACTCATAGTTTTAATCAGGGCTGCGACTTAGTCACCTTTCGGTCTCGAAATCTTGAAGACGGAAAGAGCCGACGGACCTCCGATGGTCAGGAAGCATCCAGACCCTTTTGTCCCTTTACTCGCAATTGTGAGACCATCTGGGCCCCAGGAACATACTCCATAGTTCTTGATGGCAAAGTACGAATAATTTCTCTTGATGGCCTCTTGAGCACAGGCCTGAGTCACGTGACTCAAGTCAGGTAGCTTTGTCCAATCGATACGGTGCCTATAATCTAGATACGCTTTATAGAATAACGAGTCGTAGGGGGGTTCTGAATAACATCCCAGGTAGGACACGTGAACTTGGCCTGATGCTACAAGAAGAAGAGTGAATGAATTATATTATATTAGTATCCGTTTTGTTCTTTTCTCGTAGTAATGCCCTTTGACTCCTTCTTTCTAATCCTTTTTCTTCACGCAAAAAAAAATTGAATAAAAGAATATAAAAGAAAAATGAAAGAGCCTCTTGTACCTTCGTTACAGCAAATCGGTCGTGAAAAGAAATGTGAGTCGCTTAGTTTCAAATGGTGATTGGATTTATATATTGAACCACCTGACCACCTGACCCCATAAACTCCACAGTTGTTAGAGTGTTCATAACGAGCTTTTCTACGTAGTTACTTCATTTGATGATTTCTGAACAGTTCCACTCGAAATACTGCCTTTTTTTTTCAATTTCCAACTTGCTAATCTTGTCTTTTCAAGAAAAAGACATAAAAGATCAAAGAAAGGTCCACTCGCGTTTTAAAAAAAATAAAAGCAAACCAGGCGTGATATGAAGTATGTCATCTAAAATATTGGACCACCCCTAACACAATACAGAAAATCCTGAGTAACTCTACAGGTGGTTAAATGTTAATAACCCGCTATTCTACTAAGTTCTTTCATTATTTAATTTCTAAACTTAAGGATCTTAAATTAAATGATTCATGCAAAAGCGAAACCTGCAAATGTGCTATAAATTTTTTCCCGTAATTTAAAGTAGAAATCCTTACCTTCAACTTCACACCAAATTAAGAGCGTCACCACCAGAAAGAGAACAAAAGTTCTCGCCATTGTTATAAATGAGATCTGAAAAAAGAATGAAGTTATTTACTTCATACCACAATCAGCTTTTAAACCCAATTATCTCTTCGGTCACCCAATTGATTCAAAAAGAGATATTTCAGCAAGTAATATGGAATACTCTGATATTTCTCTCAGCCAGCTGGGGGCGATCAGAATCAAAATATCATTTACCTTGACGGAACAAAAAGAAAACTAAAACTATAGAAAGCGCAAATCTAAGATGATATTTTCAAATCCACTAACCTTCTGTAACAGTGAATCTTGGTAAAAAGATTACTAAATATACTGAAACATACAAAAATAAATGGATTAGGAAAATTCATTCCTCTTTTTTTTCTTTTCACATAATACTTTTATATCGTTGATGGACTGAATTTTGATATTCTTTTTTTTTTAAATCATCCCCGACGTCTTTGGTAGACGTATAAAAAAGGAAGTAATTTCTTCAACAAGTGATTAAAAACACTGTTACCTGTCGTATCCAATTCATTTTTTTAGATTAGCCAATAATTACATCAAAATGATAAAAACTAATTCGTTCAATCGCACCAGATGAGCTATTGAACAAAGCAGGACACCACATTTATTTTTCTGCGACACCATTGCGGCTAATAGTTATTTTCAGATTTTCGAATTTGTTTAAACAAACCGTGAGATTTTGATAAATTTCATATCAAACAGAATGAAAGAGTAAGATGTTTTATAATAAAACAGAATTCAGATATTTGAAATAAGGGCGAAGTACTACCGCCAGGATACATATGCAGTAGCTTTGATGATAATGGAAAGTTTTCTTAGTTCTAGATTTAAAATCTTAAGAAAAGATATTGTTAAAAACGACACCTTAGAATTAGTCTACCATTTTACTTACAGCGCGTTTTGTCTTGAACGCCGTCGAAGCACTACTACTGGCAGTGGTAGCTTATGTATAAGTCCTTCTTTGTTAAATTTTTATAAAGATTCTTCTCAAACAATGCACCCATTGACAACCAACCCCAAATATCAACTCAATATAGCCCTACTATATCATCATTTTCATCATCATTTTTCATTGTATCTACAAAATTGGAAATATCCGTTGAAAACGCCTTCTCGTCCATATAACGTATCTGAAGAGCAATGGGTTCTAAAGGATTGAGATTCTTTCTGTAAGAAAGCCACTGATCAAATCCTAGCTTCATTAATTCGTTACAATTTACGAGAGAAATAAAAGAGATTTGTAGTCGAGAATGCTTGAAAGTCGTTTTGAATAAGAGATTTAAGGAGTCTAGTAAGTTTGGTCGAGACAGTTTAGAATGTAATTCCCCTGCTTCAATGTCGGACATCTTGTTTAAAACGTACTTATTGCCTAGGTGAGAGGGCTAGACGGTAAGATATTTTGCTCGAAGATACTAGCTACCGGATACTGGCTGAGGATCATGGCTGAGGGTCAAAACTTTACCCTGCCAGCCCGACCTAACTCAGGCAATAATCATTTTACCATATGAACGTGGCATTTAGGTAGGCCGTACGGCTTTTCGCGGCCCTGCCATCGCATACAGCCCTCGTCCAGGGTTTTTTTTCTTATTTATTTCAATAAAAGGGGATAAATGTACATATAACAATGTACAACCCACGTACTCACTTCAATAGAACTCACCCGGCACTTTTTTAAATTTTATTAGGGCACTTTCCAAACTCGGTTCATACCACTGAGTTGTCAATAAATTGCAACTAAGTTTAATTTCGTGTTTTTCATGCAAATCATAAAAGCTCTTCAAAATAGCTATTTAAATGAATTCGATATAATCCTGTTAGATATTGGATTTGTAATCCTTTTTCGCAGGTATAACGCAAGATATTTATCAACATAAAAACTCCATCATCTGAAAATCTGATATAAACCAATTTTCCGCTTTGTTTTTGAGAAAAGCACAAGGCTGTAGTAATCTTTTCATCTCTGTCGCTCTTTTTACTTAAGATTACTTTGTACGAAACACTCTGATGGCCTATACACTGAGGAAAGTAAAACGTCTTCGTTGACTCTGACTCTGCCCTGAAAACAAAGGGATATTTGATGGTCAGTCAGGTGTCTTATAGCTTACCATTCAGCTGCTTAATTTGTTACACCGTTTTTCAGTAATAGATTAAAGATGAAACCAAAATGTGGTAAAAGCAAAAAGGCGGCGGACGAGGTGCAGCCGGGTGTCTCACTGACGTTCTTGTCGCATTTTAGTGTCTTCTGTGATCTATTTCCTGTAACATATATATATGTTCGTTAAAAAAGAAAAAAAATCAAAATGTTGTCAATAGTGACGTCATCTATGTATCTGTCTTCCAATAGATCATAAGTAGGAGTCAATGAAAATGAGTATATAATTCAGCTCATCACATAGATACCTGATAGAGGTCTAATGGGCTTACGAGATGGCTGGTATTCCACCCGAACGCCCCCCTGGCTACAAGGATAGATTAACCACCTCCTTGGGTAATATTTGAGTTCCTGGTGGAAACTCGATTACAATAGGAAAGAGGTGGGCATCACTTTTCTTCTGTCAGTCATCTCAAATCTTGTCGATGAAGCCATGATGCGGAGAGATCTAGATAGGAGTTTGAACGGAAGTTGAGGTAAAAAAATCTTCCCACCACATTCTGGGGTAGAGCTGTTGCATTGTGCGCTATAGCTTTTCATTCATTGAGTTTCCTTAGTGCTTAAATTCGTGAGCCAATGTAGTATTCATGACATTTCACACGTATTGATTTCGTTGCTCTTAAGGCCACAGTCATCGCTTTTTCAACTCCGATAAACCTTTACATTCAAGTCCAGAAATCGACCGAGGCATTGTGTTTTTTTTACTCATTTTGATTTTTTTCTTATTAAGCCGGTTTTTTAGTCTGTCGGGTAAATATTGATTTGCAGACTGGTGAGAAGGTTGAGAAATAAGAAAATCGTCCACGGTAAATGTACCACTTTTCTACTTTTTTCATTAGTTGGTTTCGAAACTAAGGAGTTGTTGATATTGAGCTGAATGATTCATACAGGAAAGCCTAACCTCTAAGTATTCTATGCACTTTTTGTCTCTTTCCTTTTCACTAAAAATCCTTACCTTTCATTTTACACCAAGCTAAAAGTGTCACCAACAGATAGAGAATCATAGTTCATCGTTCTTTTCATAAAATCTTTCGATAGATTCATCTCCAACAATGCACGCATTTATGACAAAATCCCAAATATCCAAATATCAAATCAATATAGCCTTTCGTAAATCCATTTTCATTCTCATTACTCATTGTGTCTGTATTGTATTTTACCGAAAGATATTTGAATATGATATCTAAAATGTTCCCTCTTCTTTGATATGGTTGACAATTTATATGAATTGTAAAGACTCAAATAAATCTTGATTTTCTCTGTTACAACTGCTTGTTCAAATCATAGTTATCCAGAAGAGACATTCTGATCTTCACTCCTGAGTATGATGCATGCAGAGCGTTTCTTTAATCGTTCAGTTATTGGAATTTACCATAGAAAAATGTACTCCTGCTTAATTTTCTAAAAATTTCACGAGATGAATCATGTCATGAATTATTCAAATTCCACACCAGAGAAGTGATTTCATTTCGTATCAATAATTTACGTTTAACTTTAACTTTTTGCCTTCAAATTCAACGTTTTTAGCTGAGAGTTGGGTACATGATCATGAATTCGCAAAGCACGATGGAAAGGCTGATGGCAATACAACTGAATCCACAATTACTTCTCCTTGATTGGCAGCATTTGCTGTGAATAATATAGAATTGGCAATCAGGTTTGTTGATACACTGTAGAGCAGTTTCCACTGAGTGTCGAATAAACAAAACCCAGCTATTCTTAGCGACCTATCAGAACAAAGGTTAATATCATCATCACTGAGAAAATGAGGACATGAAGTAAAACGAGCAAAAACTTCTTGAAGCGAGAAATGCAAATGACCAAGTCCCGATTGTTTCAAGTTTTCATCGATCTGATTGGTTGAAAGGATGGCAGGAGTTTTCTAGACCAGTCACAGAGAGAAGTAAAGTAACACCTGTGCAATCTCGGTTTAATTTCGATACGCATTAAAAATTGTTCAGAAAAAGCAAGACACAAGCACGGAGCCTGAATCAAACCTTTGAATTAAGTTCGGCAAGTAATTTAGCTCGACAAGCTCTGCTGTGTTACTCGACACTGGTACGACAGTGATTCAGACAACACACCCCTGCCGTGCCAGACAAAATTCACAAATCATACTAATATATTTCGGCGGAATTGCGTTACTGCGGGGGGGGGAAGAGGTCATGAGAAAATTTCTCCTTTATGGAGTATGCGCTGAATTTTGAACGACATTAGCCCGACGTCTGAATCAGAGTAGTGCTTCCGTCGTGCCATAGTCGAACCTAATTGCAATTAAGTTGAGCGCGGAAGAAGATTGACGTCTGAACTGGGACTAAGTGTAAATATTTCCTTCCATTTTCTGTTCTTTTTTCGAATACCAGAGCGAAAGATTCGTAGATGCATTGTAATTTTTTTTATGAAAGTACATGTATTTCCATTGTTCCAATGTAGAAGAAAATTCATTCAAACATTTGTAAACAAAACGGTATCAAAATCATTTTCACTTCAATAAAACTCAACTCTTTCTTCATCATTTTTATTAAGTTACATTCCACACCAGTTTATCCATATCACCAGGTGATGAATAAGTTACAGCTTCCCTTACTTTTACGTTTTCACGATTTCATATTTTCCAGTTACTATTTAAATCAGTTCAAGATTATTAGATACTGGTTAAATTCGTAACTTTTCAATGCAAGTACAAAGCTTAAGATTGATTATAATGAATATTTAAGTCATAAGTAAATGTGATATAGAAACACAATTTTTCGTCGGTGCTTCTGTGTTTCTTTCCTCGGTGCTCGGTGCTTCAGCTCATGGCTGTATCATCTTTTCCATCTCTCTCGCTTTTTTAACCTCAGATGGCTTTACATGGAACAGTTTGATGGCCTTTGTACTGATAGAAGAAAATCGCCTTCGTTGACTTTGTCCCTTGCCTGAAAACAAAGAGATATTTGATAGTCACATCTTTTCAAGCGTTTTTTATCATTCTGAGCTACCCTGTTGTTCGAAGTGGTGATGATGGTGTGGGGGAATTGGTGGTGACTGACATTTCGACGACCTTTGCAGGGGTTATCATCAGACTTAACTCTGTTGATGACCTCCGCGAAGGTCGTCGAAACGTCCGTCACCACTTCCGGCAACAGCCCTTCCCAGGTCTACCTTCAACTGGACGATCATAGATACGACCAAAGATAACTTAGACCATACATATACCTGATAGAGGTCTCACAGGGCTTGTAGGTTGCTGGTATTCTGCACGAACGCCTCCTGGCTGGGATGAAAGACTAACCACCTCCCTGGGTAACACCTGAGTACCTGGCATAACCTCGTTGATAGTAGGAAAGAATGCATTCAGGTGAGCATCACTTTTCTTCTGCCAGTCATCCCAAATCTTGTCGACGAAGCCATGATGCAGAAAAAACTCAGGCGCTAAAGCGGCGTCAACAGAGCACATGGTACCACCAATCAAACAGTGAACTACGTCATGGAGATTAAATCTGAGTAGCAGCTCAAAATCTGTGAAGTTAACCGGGTTTATTTGCAAGACATTATTCACTGCAACCGTGTCTGGAGGGTTTCCATTAAATTGTCGCCTTAAGCATCCAGATCCAGGCGAGGTTGGAGCTCCCGATGGAAGGGGAGGGAGGCTCCAAACGCTCTCTCTGAAAGGACCCGTCTGTACACACTCGTTGGGAGGAACGCCATTTCCGCCAAAAGAAGCATTGCCACCATGCCAAAGGTCTCTGGGATTCGTTGTTCGAAAAGGATCACCCGAAACTCGAGACCAGTCCCAGTATGACACAGTGAATCTGCAGTCAACCCGTCGAAGAAGATTTTCGTAAAGCAGGATAAAATAACGATGCCATGTGAGAAAGTGAATACGCTCATGAATTCCCGTCGCGAAGAGGATCCTATGGTCATTGAGAAGGCGGTCGTAATCGTTTTTGAACCTGGTGTCAGTTGAAGCTGTAAGAATGGTTTGAATGTATCGCCTTCGCTCTGTCAACGAGAGGGATGTGAACTCTTTTCTAATCCTTACGCAGTTAACGAGACGCCCACCAATGCAGTCACATCTCTGCCCGCATCTATCAAACGATGTTTGTCCCGCTTGGCAGACTAAAACTGGAGAAAACAATTCATGTACATGAAAGACTGTCCTGTTCCTCCATCATTCCATTATCAAAAAAGGGCTACACTGTCTATCTGACTCTCCTGTTATGGTCTTTGACAGAAAATACGTCTCTCAATATCTAAAAATTCAATAATTTCTGTTAAAAAGTTTATGCTTGGGAAGCTGATTCTGCCCCAAAAAAGTGATCTATCGACCTAACAGAAGAGCATTCAAACAAAACTTTTGCTGTTCATTAGGAGAAAATACGTATTCGTTTATGTGAAAAGGCGAAGAGTTGCGTAAAATTGCATTCATTAGCGAAAAAAACGATCATTTGCGCGTAAATCAGATTCAATGACGATTTTTGGCATTTTAATCAGCAGTCAATAGAAATTATGGGGCAAAAATATACTTTCATTTGCACTAACCTTCAAGTCATGAACACCTTCTTGAATGCTGATAGAGACAGTACACAAATATTATCGTGCAGAAACCATTCATTCACATTTTTAACCTACATGAACAGCCAAAGGTGTAGCTCTAAGACTTACTGATGAAAAACTAATGAAAACAATAACCTGAAGCTCTCTGTATCCTGTAGACTGCAGCATACCGCAGTCTGCCGACGCCATTGTGACATCGATTTCTGTATTTCCTTCTCCGGGTGATGCTAAGTCCCTTTCGTCCCCACGTACACTGACGCCATCTTTTGATTGCAAAGTAAGAGTGCTTTCTCTTAACGGCTTCACGAGCACAGATTTGGATCATGGAACTCAAACTGGGTCGCTTTGATCGATTACTGGTTCTTCTGTGACCGAAATACACTATGTTAAAGAGGGCGCGATTTTTATATTCTCGGTAACATCCCAAGTAAGAAACAGGCGTATTTCCTGAAAGAGGAAAAATTGGGTGATTTCACATGATTTGTAACTGAGTTTACAGAACAAGATACAAAGTCGAAGTGAGATTTTGAGTCATTTGTAAACAGAATCTTACTCTGATAGAATTGAAAAACAAAACGGAATATCTCGATAAGTTTCACATTATGAAATGAAAAACTTGTTTTTAGATCTGCTTCTTTTGTTGTTTATTATGAGAAAATACGCATTCATTTGTGTGAAAAGGCGAAGAATTGCGTAAAATTGCATTCATTAGCGACAAAAACGATCACTTGCGCGTAAATCAGATTCAATGACGATTTTTGGCATTTTAATCAGCAGTCAATAGAAATTATGGGGCAAAAATATACTTTCATTTGCGCTAACCTTCAAGTCATGAACACCTTCTTGAATGCCGATAGAGACAGTACACAAATATTATCATGCAGAAACCATTCATTCACATTTTTAACCTACATGAACAGCAAAAGGTGTGGCTCTAAGACTTACTGATGAAAAACTAATGAAAACAATAACCTGAAGCTCTTTGTATCCTGTAGACTGCAGCATACCGCAGTCTGCCGACGCCATTGTGACATCGATTTCTGCATTTCCTTCTCCGGGTGATGCTAAGTCCCTTTCGTCCCCACGTACACTGACGCCATCTTTTGATTGCAAAGTAAGAGTACTTTTTCTTAACGGCTTCACGAGCACAGATCTGAATCATGGAACTCAAACTCGGTCGCCTTGATGGATAACTGGTTCTTCTGGGATCAAAATACACTCTATTAAAGAGGGGGTGATATTTAGATTCTCGGTAACATCCCAAGTAAGAAACAGGCGTGTTTCCTGAAAGAGGAAAAAATTGGGTGATTTGCATAATTTGTAACTGAGTTTACAGAACAATATACAAAGTAGAAGTGAGGTTTTGAGTCATTTGTAAACAGAATCTTATCGTGATGGAATTGAAAAACAAAACGGAATATCACGTTAAGTTTCATATTATGAAATGAAAAACTTTTTTTTTTTAGATCTACAGGCTATACTATGAACTACCCTACGTGATCCATTGTCATAAATTTGCCAGATGGTATGAAGGGTGAAATCATTACCTTGGGTCCCTCCAATTACGGATAACGCCAGCAATGCTCCCGTCAGCACGAGGAACATACTGCTGTTAGTTCATAAACCAGATCTGAAAAAGCAAAGAATGATAAAGTCATAAGTAGAGGTTTTACAAAGTTCTTCGATCTCGCCGTTGTTTTAGTGCTAAAGTAAATTGCCCTTTTACTTGCTCTATATACAGTAAAACAAAAAAAAATTGAAACATCTGGTTCCCAAAGTTCCTCTGAGGCTGAACTTCTGAACTTCTGAACTTCTCATGCAAGAATTTGAAGCTTCGTTAGGTTGCAACACACCATTAATGTTTATGTTTTATGAAAATGTTCCTTGAAGAGAACGATTTCATTGCCTAACAAAGTTGTTTTTGTGTTTCAGGAATTAAGGTTTTTTGCCACCAAGATTTGACACTTAGTTGTGTAAAAATACAAACTTAGTTTTCATTCATCACTTTGTATGTTCCCCGTTTTTGTTCTCTCATGTGGCTCAGTATGGGACCCTGGACAGATTTCATTACGGTAATTACTAAAAACATTACAGGATTTTTGGCGGAATTTGGGTGCAGTAAATACCGAATCGAACCTTTTTGGTAAGATTTGGCTGCACATTAGGATCAGCTGGGCTCACCCATGGCTGTTTAAATACGATTCATGGTTAAATTTTTTCGGTTTATACCAAAATTCGAAATTCCGACAAAATTTGGAAATAGAAGGACGTGCCTATTCGTCTCTTTGAAAACACCCTAAAGCAGTGAAGCGTTTAACTCCAGGTAAAAATACTTAACAACTTTACAAAAGCTAGTGGCACTCACCTGATGTTTGGTCTCGATGGTTGTATAAACATGTCGTGCTCTTAGTTCCTTAAATAGCATTTTTCAGACAATGCTTCCAATAACACTTAAACTCATCGATGAAAATTTCCAAATATTAATAACGATTTCCTGAAAAATATAGAATTATAGATTGCAATGTAAATAGATTTTAGCACTTGAAATAAAGATATGAGGCATCTTGTGCCAGTCTGTTGATGAAAATCTTGCGTTTGGATTTAAACGTATTCTAAACAGAGTGAGGCATTGGCTTTGCTAACAGAGTTGTTACATATGAGCGCCAAGTACAACACTTTGCAACTTTAGAAGTGACCATAATAGTTTTTAAAACTAAACGTATCATTGTTTTTCTGGTAGCTTCCACAGTTGTCTAAACCATATCATATGCTCACATTTACATTCTCAAAGCGCGACGTGCACGTTGTAAATATTGCAACTATCAACTATTTTTGATGATGAGCGGTGTATGTGATATATTGGCGTTTCAGCACACTGAAATCAAAGTTGTAAAGTGCAATTATCCACGAGAGGTCAAAGTTCACCAAAGCCGAGTCAAAAGAAAGCTGATAATTGTTACAATTTGGAAAGAAATCTTCGTATTTTCTCTTTTGTCCACATTTTCTTTAAAGATAAGTTGTTTAATGTAAGCAAGAAATCGTCAGGCGGAAGCCGAACATTTTGCAAGATGTAAACGATACATCGTGGAGCTGTGATATAAAGATAATATTAAACGATATGGCGCTCAGAGTATACGACTATAAATCGTAAATAGCTCAGGGATGTACATCACCGAAACATTTAAGGTTTGAAAAATAAAATGTTCCAAGTCAGAATTGAATTTGACAGATCTGGGTGGTCGTTTTCAATTCGGAAGGCAATCTTCGTATTTGCACTTTTTTCCAGATTTTCGGAAGGATACGTCGCTCAGTGTAAACGAGAAATCGTCAAGCTTACCGGATGTAAATGATATATTATTTGATTTGTAAGTGATATATTTTTTCCAAATTTTCCGAAGGATACGTCGTTCAGTGAAAAGTCAAAAGAAAGAAATTGTCACTTTTTCTCCAGATTTGCCTGAGGAAGCCAGTGCAAAGATATTTAGCTGGATGTAAATGATATATCGTGGAGCTGTGATATATAGATGATATTAAAAGATGTGGCACTCAGGGCATATTGTAAATCGTAAATAGCTCAGGGATATAAATCACTGAAACATTTAAGGTTTAAAAAAAAATAAAATGTTCCAAGTCAGAATTGAATTTGACAGATCTGGGAGGTCGTCTTCAATATGCACATGAATTTTCATCGGTTTTGTTATTCACTACTACTTATTATTGTTACTTCAACTTATGGATCATAGGCTTAATATCATATTATAGTGCAACGATTGTTAATCTCCCTCGTGACCACTTGTCCTTGGATTTACCTCATTTAGATCCTGACTGATTAAAATAGAAAATAGCCAGCCTCAACGCAACTTCTTTTATAAAGATATTGCTAAATAGGTAAGATTCATCTCATATCTTCTCAAAATAGCACTTATAACAAACACGTGATATACCTAAGAGTACTTCTCGACCAATCGTAATCAGTAAGCGTGACCCTTATTTTAAACTTCCAACAAAAATCATATCTGTGAAAAGAATGAGAAAGATGGTGTATTTTTTCTCTAAAAATCATACTTCTGGTACTTTATTTATTTCCATGGTCCTTGAATCTTTCACATGACTGTTTCGTTTGTTCGCAATTGGTCTCATTGACTCAATTTCCGGCTTCACTTCGTCTGGATTCTTTTCTCTGTTTATGCTCCTTCAAATCTTTGATGTGACTGTTTCTGTTTGCTAAAGAAAGATGTTTTACGCCCTTTCCCAAGCGTGAAACGCGTCATTTAACGCTTTAGAAATTGCTGATCATAGTATTGATACAGGAGGCGTGTAAGACAAGAAATTAATAATGGCGTAGCAAAGCAAAGAAGCGAGAAATCCGAGCGTCTGAGGCGTCATTCTTCATGGCGACTGTAAATTTTTATCTATGTTCCGTGCTCGAGACAGGACGAAAAAAACTTCCTTTGGTCAACTTTGTTACAACCTCAGTTAATGTACAGTATTTCATATTTTCCCAGTAAGTACTTTCTTCATAACAAAATCAAGTTACTCTTTTGTTGTATATTAAAATTAATAGAATTTAATAAAATTGTAAGCCAAATTCCAAAGATTCTCCCAAGTTACGTTGCCTTGAAAATTCACCGACAAAAATCGGTTCTTTGAATTTATCGTAGCCACTGTTGAAACATATGAATCTTTTCATAAAAGTTTGGTTGGGAATTTCAGTAAGCTGAACAGTATATTCAAAGGCATGGTAATGTCTATGAACAAAATATTGCATTCAAAGGCACGATATTGAATTCTAAGGAGATATCTAATTTCAGCCCGCAACATCTACTTAGGAAGTATATTGGGGTTTCAGCACCCTTCATCGCACACTTTTGCTGTCAGTTAAGGTTCTATCAGCGCCGGACTCTTAAAGTAACCTTAGTTACATAAGACTGACACAATTCAATTATGCATGGCCTGATATCAATTGAGTATTTTCCACGGCCTCCTTTTTCTGGGCTAAAATTACGATGAAACATCCAATATAACGCTTAAACAGGGACACTTGTAAGTAGCTTGAAATTCGCTGTGGAGAACAGGAGTGAATGCTATAAAAAAAAAGTGGCGTTAATTACTTCACCGAGAGAGCTTATGGTTGGTGGCGACTTTCTACAATAGAACGGCCGATATGAAAGTTTTTGGCTACATGAAAGTCTGAATTCACTTTTTCGCCATGTTTTGTTCATCGATGACGTCTTTATTGGGTGTAAATCCGCAAGCAAGTAACCTTTTAATGTGTCCTTTTACTGACTTTGCGATTTAACAAGTTTGTGACTCTAGGTATAGATTCATGCAGCTTCGTTTATACAAGGAACTGCAAATAAAATGCATTGCTTTAAAAGCGGAAGTGGGCATTGAGGAATTTTTCGCTTTTATATATCAAAGTTTGGGAAATGTGCCTAGCTTCAACAGGGTTAATTTGAACTTTTAACACCGCGATCTTTTCAAGGCGTTGCCTCATGTTGACAGATTTATTCGATGACAAGAATCGTGATTGACATTAATTCAATAGATTGATTTTAAAAGCGTTAGATTATTATGTTTTAAGTCAGTTTTTCAGCAGAATCGAAGTGAGAAAGAAGTTATTTTGTTATAGTTTTTCTTAATCCAGACAGTGTAATTCGTCCATTCATGTTTGAGCCGCAACATAGCTCGTCTTCAGGAGAAGAAGAAATTTCTGTTGACGAAGAAACTCAGGAAGATATACAAAGAGAACTATCTACGCGCTCACGTCCCAAAAATCGCGAGTGGAGGTGACAACAGAAAACGAGTGTATATGCTATCAAGAAATTAACGTACTAGGTGATTGACTCGATCTGGAAGGTAAACAATTCTTCTCAAATAAAATCTTTGTTTCTACAGTGATAATTTTTTTATTTTTTTACAAAAGAACAGCGTAGTGCCCTCGACGGATTTATTTCACACTGCTAACTGGGTGAAATGAACTATCATTGAAATTGCAGGGAACAATGCAGGCTTCAGTGTATTACTGAACACGGATCATTTGGACCCGCGTGTTTACTAGCTTAAGAACAGCCCTTGTTGGCATGCACTAAGTGAGAAATGATAGTCTTGAGGATTATCTGTCAAATGAGTAAGCACCGACAGAATAAACATTTTTCACAAAATTCACGCAAACAGCCCTGTCAGCCCTTTTATTACAAGTGATGTGGTAATCTTTGGTCCTAAGGGTGAACTTCACCGCAATATTAATTGTATATAGACCTCGTGGGTTGATATACTTTGTTTTCCAAATGGAGGTAAATCATGAGTTAGTATGGACGTGAACGAGACAAAATTGAAAGAAAGAGTACCTAAGACAATTATCACATTACCTACTCTGGGAAAATTAAAAAAAGAGAGCTCCACTATTCCAAATATGTTACGTGTAAACAGAGCCTCACGTTCAACGACGAGCGTCAGGAAGTCTCCCGTGTCGAGCAATGTTAGCTTAGGATTTTGATCTCAATACAAATGGGCGCCTGCTCCGCGAAGTAGAGTTTTTTTTGTTTCAAATGCATTTGTCTGGGTTCCGTTCCGACCATGTATCTGTGTATTTTGTTTTTTTCTTAGGAGTATGCGATTGGCAGGTTATAGACAGTCTACTTAGTGGACTTATAACAGTCTTGGTAAAGAGAAGAAAAGCGTGATTCTTTCGTGTGTTGGGGCATCAATAGGAAGCAATTACCCAGATGCAGCCTGAAATTATTCAGTCTTTAAAGATGCCAAGGAGAATGACTTACGGCTGGGATAGTCACGTTTAATCAACAAAATTGTCTTTGTATTCATTAAACATTCGAGGAAGTCTTTCTAAGACGCTGCAGGGGTATCGACTCCAGTTCCAATCATTAAAATACTTTGAACGGTCTGTTCCAAAAGCATAAAATTAACAATGTAAATGCTTGTGGCATATTAGGCGGATTATTCAAGTTTTGTATTTCTGTTTTTTTCACTAGCTTAATTTTTTTTCCAAATCTGGATACATGCCGTGAGTGCGTTGTTTTTTGGGAGTCAGGGAATGTATTTTTGACAAACATTAGAGACACTAACGGTTTTCTTTATTGTCTTCTTATTTACACATAGTTACTAGTATGCATTTTTACGGTGATTCAAAAACTAATAAATATTCAGGTGCCTTTTAATATAATTATAAATACTACTTTGTAAAAATATTTGGGGAAAATGCTTGGGGAAAAACGGCGAAAGTCACCTTTGGTCGCGACCGAATTTACCACACGCGGTCACTCACAAATGCGAGTTTCAATTTGTTTCGCTTCCATTACAGTGGTTCTTTTTAAAAAAATTAAAGAAAAAACACATTTTGAATATGTGAAAGGTAAACATAGCTTTCAGTCTGAAGTAAAAGTCAGAAGGCACAACTTTCAACCCTAAATATTCCGCTCGAAGTCTTCCTCGATATAGTGATCCGAGTAGACGTAGTAGTTCGTGGGTTTCGGCAAACCGTCCACGCGATTTATTTTTGCCAGCCAGATTTTCTTTAAATTTTCATTTTCGTGTCGTTTGTGGAAGCTTACTCCTTTCCGTTATGTATTTTTGTAAGTATTATGACAGTTAACCACAAGACAGTTGACCATAGTTTAACTGTCATAAGAAATACTCTTCGAAAGGGTGAATCTGGTCAAAGCGTTGAGCGAGGTTTACTATTGCTACGTCATAGCTGACGTCATATCCAAGATGGCCTTTCACTAGTCGCCAAAGTTGTAGATAAGAGCAACTTCAAAGCGCTACTGTCACAATGGCAAGGCAAACTGGACAAAACGGCAATTATTTTCCAATTCCTGAGGAAGAGTTCTTTCAATAGAGGTAAAATGTTTCCAGACCGTACTTTCCCTTTAATAGGGATGAGGAGAAAATGAGATGTCAAAAAACTTGAGTGATTTCTAGAAAGTAACTTGTGAAATGAAATGTTCCTTACAGTGCGCAATAATCATTTGAGTGAATTATACTCAGTTCATGTGTCGCAATTGTGCGTCAAGAGAACCTCATTAACCACACAAAAGTAATTTTTTCTCTAATTTATTCACGATATTGAAATCCTTCATCCAACAATGTGCTACTGTTAGGTTAGAAAACATAATGCAAATTTTCACTTGCTACAGTTCTTCATGCAATGGTGGTAGAATTACCGTTCCCGACTGCTACATCATCCCACTGTACATTGAAATCGAGACCAGCCATATCATGGAACTTTCCCTCGAGATCAAATTCGTAGAGAGTCTCGTCGGTGAGTATGTCTATAATGGTTTTGACATATGGCCAATCCTGCTTCATTAGGTTCCATAACCAAGGACTGTCACCTCTTTGACTCGCCTGCTTCAAGAACTTATAGAAGGGTACCTTCTTTGTGCCAATTTGGTACTTAAAAATAGGCCGCTCATCGGAGCCTCGATAGCTCTCGTGGTAGTTGGGATTATCCCCATTGGGACCTCCTCCCCAGACAAGGAAGCCATCGAGGGTAGCAGTGAATTGAACTTTTATGGTGGCTTTGTAAGGAACGTTGACTTTCTTCTGGGAGGTAGTTATTTGATACGAAGAACCTGAGTTGCCTTCTGTTTTCTGCGATTCCTTCACTTGCACAATATCCCAATTAATATCACCATTTTCATTTGTGTTCAGCTGGGCACTTTCCCTTCCCCCTGACAACGTCACAGATGCCTTGAAGGTTCCCGTGGCAACCTCGCCCACCAATCCTGGAGACTTGTAACTGAGAGTGATGGAGGCACCCCAACCTGATTTGAACCTGGTGGAAGACGAATGAGTCACAGTGCGGACAGTCTTGATTTGTCTTGCTATCGTACTTTTCACCGTTTGGGAATCCAGATTCTTTAACTCTCCTACATCTTGCACAATGGGCTTCATTGACTCAATTTCCGGCCTCCCATAGTCAATGTTCTTTACTCTAAACGAAAAGTTGTCGTAATTGATTTTCAGACGAGTCGTTGACATGTATCCGTTACATCCTCGCTGGTAATGTGACCTCCAGGAGTCACCGTCCCGTACAAAGTCCTGACCAGCAACTCTACCTCGACAGCCACTCGCCCAACCATAGCCGAGATAATTGGCCAACAAGGCCAGGTTATTTTGTGTAATATCCATGACTCTTGTCTTGACGTCTAATACTGACTTGAGCACTAACGGCTCTGTCGAGGAAAAACAAATAACTTACTTCCAAAAAAGGGGCATCACGTGTAAGGCAAACATGACATAACGTGACATCCTTTCGGGGGGGGGGAGGAGGGAAATTTCCAGCCATCTTGGCAAGGGAATGCCAAGATGGCTGGAAATTTCAAGTAGTTCGCTTTCAAGGGTTAAATGCAAGTAACGCCAACAAGATAGCCTAATTTCACAGGATAGCGTGGCAACTCCTTCATATCACCTAGCGCGTTTAGCGATGCCTCAGTTTGATGGCGTCTGGTTTCATAATTCATCAATATCAAATGTATGACGGCCAATAATTGAATTAATTATTTCGAAATGGAATCTATGTTAGCCACATGGTCGCCTAGCCTCAAAGAGATACCTACTATCATACATGTTGCAGCATCTAAGCTTATTGATGCTGGAAAGCTTTTCAGAGGCACCTCTATGAATTCCCACCACATAATAACCATTCCTGGTGCACTTCATGCCTTGCCCAACGTCTTGCTCATAGCATTGTTTGTACCAATGAGGATGAAGTGCTGGCTTACAGCATGTGGCCCACTTGATGCTCTTCAGTTCATGCCTTTCGCCACGATGAAGTTCACGAAGGAAATGCCCTGATGGACAAATGGCCCAGCCCTCCCTTCGAAGCAAATAGAAGCACAGACGAGCAGTTGAAGTGGATTGGAATGCATGAATATTACCAACACTAACTTCAAATTGTGAACAGATGTTTAGAGGTTATGAAAGTAATAGAGCTGCTTGAATGGGCCAATGGGTAACGTAATGGGTAACGTTAAACGCTTCTTTTGCCTGTCTGTTTGCTTTTTTGTGTGTTTTTCTTTTGGACTTAGCAGACACTAGAATATCGTTTAAACACTGGTACAAGGTAAGACAAGGCCGAGTAGTTAAATAAGGGACACTCAAAAAAAATCCATCAAACGCCTCAAAAGCGCGCAACACTTAGTAACACTGTATAAGACTACAACAACATTGCGTTTGGTTCAGTGATCATGGTTAGCAAACGATTGAAAACTCGCCTGGATGAAATGATAACTCCGTTTCAAAATAACACACCTTGAAAAACTCATGTCCCAGTCAGCTGACGTACACGTGTAAGGCTTCTTTCTGTGCTCTAAAGGAGGCTGACAGCAAATATAAGTTCTAAAGTCCCTCAGATCATCAGTTCCTTGCTTCCGAGTAAATCCAGCCATATACAACTTATCATCTTTGTGTGGACAGTAAGCGTATCCTTCCTTGGCCATTTCAGTTTCCATATCTGTGAACTGGGTACACGCTTGTAATGTTGAACTTGGAAACGTGCAAAGTGTCGCCAAAAACAGCAACAGTCCAAAGGCGAGTGATGCCATTCTATATATGGCTAAAATATATAAAAGTAAGACGAGTGATAATAAAATAAGATCAACATTCCTTCCTCTGCTGTTAATCACAGAGGAAATCAAAGAAGAAGAAGATAAAATGGAAACGAGTTCGCCAGAAAATTAGGACTATACTAAAGAGAAAAACGAGACAAAGAAAAATTTCTTGTTGTTTTGGAAAAATAACTCTCTTGCTTTCGAGAGATTAATGTTTAAGAATACATTGAAACATCGAGTCACTTTCCACCCAAGAAGAGACCGAAAACAATAAACTGGAAGTATTTAATTTTATACCAAACGCAAACAAGAATTAAGGGGGTAAGTTTCTAAAGAAGCTGAAATGCTGCGTCGGTGGGAAAGTATAGCAGGTAATTTAGTGTTAACAACTGAGTTGAAAACGTAAATTGGCCACCGTAAAGAGTTAAAAGCCTTTTAACTCTTTACGGTGGCCAATTTACGTTTTCAACTCAGTTGTTAACACTAAATTACCTGCAAACAAGAATTAATGGGTAATTAGTTGTGGCAAAAAAACAAAGTATTTTCAACGTAAGTAAATTTTGATGGTAAGTCCTACTTCTTCTCTCAAAGTTATATATGCTAGACTAAATGGTCTTTGATAGCAATTAGGCTAAAGATTTACCTTTTTGCGCTATCAATATTTCTTAAATATCAATATTCAGGATACAGAGATCATAATTCCATAATCAGTGCTCACAAATTGCGTTTGAGAAGTTGTAAAAGATAATAGTGGTTTATGAATGATATTTATAACAGATAAACCAATGCGATCTTGGAAAACTACCTAAAAGTGGCAAGAATGGCAAATTTTATCACAACCCTACAATAAAATCTTTATAAAGACATTCCCCGCAAACACGTTTTGTATCCCTTCTCGTTTAAAAAAAAAAAAAAAATTGAGACTAACGGAGAAGCGAATAGGAAAAGGAAAAAAATAACACCTTTTCAGGCACAACTTACCCAGCACGACTCTTTGGTCCGTAAAGGGAGGAGTATGGTAAAAATTACTTATTTCATGGATCACAAAGAGCTTGTTACATAGTCAGTTAGTATGTCAAAGGAACCATGAAAGTACTCTATGAATTATTAACCGGGGGATAAGCTGAGAGTGAAATTGCTCTTTGTTTTTGAGATAAGATTACACCTGTCCCAATAAATTTTCTACTTAAACCAGCTAAATTGAAAGTGTTTCCTTCAAGATGCATGCACCTGTTACATGGAAAAACCAAAACAATCACACAAGACTCTCATCTTGATACAACAAAGTTAGCTTTTATTAAGCAAAATGTTTCGCTGATTTACAAATAATCGCAATAATAGCTATTACTTTTATTTTTGAACTGAAATTTAGAAATTTGGCTTTGGCACACCTGGTCAAGATGAATCCAGACTTTAGGCGCACCTCAACGGAAAAATGTATATGAGTTTAATTAACTCACTTAGCCATAGAACGTGAATGAAACGACAGGCGACTTTTTATTATTTTGCGACATCCACGGGTGCCTGCCTCAGTCAAAATTTCTTTTTGCGCAAGGTGCACTACAAAATAAAGGCGCGTGTTTGCAAGGGATACTGCCAAGTTTTTCAAGCACAAATCGGATGAATGGGCGCACCTGTGAGTAAAAAAACAAAACAAAACAAAGCAAAACAAATATAAAAATCGATAAAGCACTCTGCGACAAACCAATAAAGTCGTGTCCAACATTCTTTTAATTTTCTTGGATTAGTCGTCTCTTTTAACAATTAATCTTGTTGCACATGGCAACCGTTTTTAAGCCACATTTACATTGATGAGACTCATGCACGTGGAAGTGTAGTTTTGTTTTGTTTTGTTTTGCTAATGGCCTTTGGTTTTGTCTACACAGTACTCAATTTTATTTACTCATTTTTTGTTCAAGTTTGTCCTTGATAGACAATTAGGACACCAATGAGAAAGTTTAGAAAATAACAAGGTATCCTGACGAACTAATTAGTTGGGACATTTTGCCTTATTTCATGAGTAACTGGTGTCATGCTTCATCATTTAACAATGAAGCCTCTCCAAGCCTTAAGGATTAGAGAGCCCTACTTTGCAACTTTTGATTTAATTAAAATATTTCCCATAGACGATGAAAACAAGAGAGAGGACTTATGCTTCTTTCGAAATCAGAGAAGGTACAGCTGACAGACAAGAAGCTGAGGGTGTTAATCATTGTTTGGCTGCGCCATTATTTCACCCTTTCAAAACAGTTTCCATTAATTTGCTTTCTGAAAGAATCTTGTGCTCTCAAGTTAGTCATGAACTTAAACAAGGGAAATTCATTGAGCGCATAATTCTACCGTTTTGATAGATTTGTGAAACTTTTTTTGATGTAGTTTTTCCTGTATGTTAGCAATAGTTTCCTTTCTTAGAGTACAATCTGATAATAAAGTATTCGGGAAGTTGCCAAATATTCTTTGATTGGGCACTTTGTTTTAGAAACGTAATTAGCGTTTGACATATGACATGCTATTCGAGATTGACGCTTGCACAGGTTAATAGGTATCTCTCGAATGTCGATTTACTAATTGCTCCACACGTTACAACCAAATCACTCCTAACTGATGCTGGTGTCAGCTTCTGGAAACAGCAACGGGACACAGAATCCAATATCACTGGATCTATAAATCAACACTTCAGGCTCAGTGAGTGTGTCCAGACCACTCGTATTTAACATATATTTCATTCTAGTTTATCTAATCATTTTATTTTATCTTATCTTAAAAATATCTTTTCGAAGCACTGCACTATACACCAAGAATAAAGTTGTGTATAAAAGTAAAAACAAAGTAAATCAAATGATACCCGAAAGTTTGGATTTCAGCTGTTTCCCTTGTCTAAGTTATGTGACAAATTGAATGAAACTTGTGACATTTACTTGATTAAATTTACTTTACTCGTGAACATCTGCTCAACAGTGAAAAAGATCGCATGAATCTTTATTGAATCTTAATAAAAAGGGCAGCTAATTAGTTTTAATTTTAATTTGTTGCATCGATCAGATCACCCCTAATTAAGGCAATAGACAGAAGTGTCGAAACGTTGGGTCTATGAATTGTAACTTCTGGGTTACATTCATCAACTCTTTAAATTAGAGTAGCATCAAACCATGTCTGATTGTCCACCTGGTTGCCTTTTGAATTTTAATGTATCGTAATGAACTTGTTCTGCGTCTTTCATTTTAGTCGTAACTATTTCCAAGGAGATTTCCCTGGGTGAAAATGTTGTCAACTACTTTTTTCCGGCTGATATTGATCTTAGTAGGCTCCTCTGCGTCTTTTTCAGGTATGTTGTTTAAATATTTCTGAAAGAGAATGATTTTTATTGTGATATACAGGTACTTTTGTCAAGAAAATGACCGATTTTTGCAAATAGACTGAAATTTCAGTTTCTGTATAAAAAGAGTACGCCTGAAAACATTCGGGCCTCGGCGAGGACTGAGCCCAAATATTACCAAAGCGAGGTATCGGGAGTAGGGAAAATCTGACGAAGTCACAAGACCGTGGGCACCAAGAGACGAATTGGACTTAAACCGTTACAGCTATCAGTCCCAGCATGAGGTCTCGTAGCGCAGTTTATAGTGGTGCCCAACTGGTGTGTGGAAAACAAGAACTCCGTCCCGTCATAGGCTGAATGTTTTACATTCCTTCTAATGCAATGTCTTGATAAATGGATTGATCAGTGACGATCAACTCGTATCTTTTTGTCCTATTTATCGTTGAAGCTTCTATTACTAAAATACCGTTTGATGTAGATCTTGAGTTTGTTTAGGTGGGGCATTACGACTAGGTAGGAATTAAGGCATAGTGCACTCGCAGTAAAGTAACATTTACCACGATGGCTGATTCTGGTCTTTCGGTTAAAAACATAAACAAAGATTACTTTTCTTCAGCGAAAAGCCACAAGTTCACTTAAAGAAAAGCACTTTCAAAATGGTAATCCATGTTTTTTCTGTTGTTGTTTTTCTCATTATTTTTAGATGCACGCAATTGCGTCATGCGAGACTGGAATTTTAAAATTAAAGGGGAAAAGGAATGTGATATGTTTAAATACCTCGTCGGTTTTGAACGGGATGGAAATGACTACCTGCCAGGACTAAAGAAAGCCAAGTGCTGTGAAAGAGATAAAACGTTCTGGGGAGTCCCAACCCAGTGCCAGATGTTTGACTGGATCAGATCAATGGACAGGTAACATTTTAGGAAAAAATTTCGATCTATAATTGATCCAGTCGACCTTATAAACTCACCAAAGAAGATTAGCAACATGCATTCAAAACGTCGCGATTGACAACGAAAATGACTTTAACAGGAGACCAACGATATACAGATGAAATCTACTGCTCCCCCACCCCTCTCCTGACCCAACAACAGTGAACTCACACAACTTATTAGAATCAGTGTCGGGTTACGGCAGGGGTGGGTGTGCAGCTACTCAGATACTGACATTGATCCCAATTGATTTCAAGTTATGCTCAGGAAAGAAATCTTTCACATTGATGCAGTGGTGCGGTGTGCTTAATCCAAATAAGATTCCTCATTTTGGAGCTCAACTTTCGCTTAATTGGGCTTCTTAATTAATGGTACCAACAACTATCCAGCTCCAGACACAAACCCTTCTTTAACGGTAATGAGTCAAAAAGAATCAGTGTGAATTGCTCAAGGGATCGAAGACACTTTTTCACAGCAGCCCTTCATTTCGCTGAATAATAAAGTGATGTTCTGGAAAGTGCCTATTTCTCACGTCATTCTTGTTGTCGCTAATCAAACGCGCGATTGTGATCACGTTTTAAAATGCTCTTAGAACTGGAATAAGCAACTGTCCACCTGGCTTCTACCTCCGAGGTGTGTCCCGCGGAGACATGTACGGCAACGATGTCGGTAGCATTGACTGGGGCAAATGCTGCAAACCTTCTCATCATCCTTATGAACATCACGAGTGCTATCAAGAGGACGTCAGCGATACGTTTAACAGAGCCGGTCTTAGTGAGTGCAAGAGGGATGGCTTTTTTATCGCTGGATTTGAAAATCAAGATTCTGGAGGAAAGCTATCCAGCATCAAAAAGTTCAAATGCTGCCGCATGGTGGAAAGTAAGTTTTACGAATTGCTATGAAGCATATTACAATAAATGTTTCTAGCAGCGCTGTAATTTCCACAGTTACATCTTAGCACTTCCAAATGTAAGGTCAATTTAGAAAGTATTTAAAAGATCAATTAAAAAAGTAGGAAAAATTAATTTGAAGAAAAAATTGTTTATCGCTAACGATTTCGTATATTGGTAAAAATCTATGTTCATGAATGACGAAGAATTTTGTGCGATTGATCATGAGTGAATTTGATTCGTAAGAGCAATGATGAGATACATTTAAAAAGCAAGCTAACCGCGAAAGCTAGAGTGAAATTTTTTCGCTATTTAATAAATTCGTCATCGACCAAGCTTGTTCTATCAAGATGGCTGGACACTAAACTCGCTCTTTTTTTGCCTCTCGGTCCATAAAACCTCAAAAAAAGAACGGCCAATATTTAGCCATCTCAGCCTCGAGCTTGGTCCGAAACGCACGTTTATCTTTCTGTTTAGGCATTCCACAGCTAAAGAACATGGAGGGACTTAAACAACGTGTAATGGATGCAACCATGTTTAACATCGGACAGTTGGCTAACATGATGGGATTTGCTTGGGCTGGTGGGTGTTGGTCACGATATGCTGGAGAACACTTCCGGCGGAATAAAGACACGTGGGAATCAGCCTACAAATCTTCTTGCCTGGGTGAGGGACCTAAGAAAGATGTTCGATTGAAGATTACTTACGAAAATTTCGAATTTACGATGAAAGATGTAAAATTTGGAAAGTCCGTTAAGCAAACACTTCCACTGGACCAGGAAGAGAGGTTGATGAATTCTCCTGATAGAAGCTACAGCAGGGTATCCTCGAATAAAAAGTCAACACCAGGGTATGACTCTGGGGTCGAAATTCAGTTTCGAGTTGCAAGCAGCTTGAAAAATGTTCAAAAAACCAGTTGGGATTCCAAATTTGGATTGGAAGTGGGTATGGAGTACGAGCCACCAAGCACAACAGGTGGGGTGGGATTTTCTGCCAAAAGTAGTTTTAGCTATGAATGGGGAGGAGATCAGGAAGATACCACAGTCAACGAAGATTGGCACATTCTTTCCATCAAAGAAGCTAAACAACTACCCCCAAAAACATTTTCTGAATGGCACGCCTTCAAAAAGCCTCAAAAAGTTACAATTCCATATACGGCTACGATCGTTCCCACATTCTCTGTCAAACTGGAAGGTTACATGAGATGGGGAGGTGGTTATTATGGGAATTTTCCAAATTTCCACCAGGAGCACCGCGGATCTGGAGATAGGAAAAAACTGTCGTACACGTTTGGGAGTGCTGATAAACCATTTTATGACGACCTTAAGGACCAGATCGAGCAGAATATGTACCCTTGGCAATGGCTTGCTTTAAAACAGCACTATCCTTACAGTAAGTACTTTATCGACCAACTCATTAATTCAGACCTGTATGCGTTCACTATGGAAGGCCAGTTTGAAGAAATTACTGAGAACGAGATTAAATCGAAGTGGTATCCATCACGACCGATCTCTGAGATGAATGATGCACTTGCAAATTTAACTGCAATGCAAGACCAGGGAGAGAAGTTCCCATTATTTCCCCGCATATACCCTGAAGGACCCGCGGTAAAAATCATCGACAACAGCAAGGACATAGAAGTTCCTTATGCCAAATTGTCCTATGTCAACGATGAAGAGGGACCAGAGCCTACAGTGTTTCCTCACATAGATCCGCCGGAATCCAAGGTGAGGCTCGTAAACAACAATAGGGATTTGGAGCCTGCGCCCGCTAAGCACGGGAGGCAGGGGAAAGTGAAGAAGTTTGGTGACAAAAAAAAGGAAGAACCTAAGCCTACGATATTTCCTCCAATAAATCCTCCAGCACCCAAAGTAAAGCCCGTTGACAACAGCAAAGAAATGAAGCCTCCACCAGTTATACACTAGAAACGAGGGAAGGTAAAGCTGAGTTAAAATAACCCCGGCTGAGTTGTCCTCTTAACGTGAAAACTTCTCTCTGTAATCATTAAATGCTAAATAAAAGAGGTATGACACGTTAAATTATTTCCTTGGTTCGTGATTTTATAGTCTAAAATACCTTGACTCTTAGAAAAAATTCAGACGACAACCTTCAAACGAGCACGAAGGAAACTCGGTTAAGAAAATGGCTAAAACAAGTCAGGCGTTAAAATCAGTGGGAAACGGCTCACACGTTCTACCTCATTGTCTTGCGTCAACTCAGCTTTTAGGACAACTTTGATTCACGAAGGCATGTATGTCGACATCCACTCGAACCATTTAAAAATTCAATACTAATACACGATCCCCTGAGAGCAGTAGATGCATTTCAGTTTGTCGACAATTAAATTATATGGACTAAGTACCCGTGAATATACAGTAAGAGAGTTTGACCGCTTTGAAAGATAAACCGATCTGTTCAAAGTCTGTTACTGAACACAGTTACAATAATGTAAAGCGGTAAAAAAAAAAAAAAAAAAAAAAAAAAAAAAACCTGAGGATACCGTAAAAGAAGGCCGCAAGAGGGTTCTTGGGAAAACGATGAGAAAGAAGAGACCGTTGCCTCTAAACGGCGCAGCAACACCTGCCACCTCCTAATCACTAATATTCATTCAGCCCGCCTTCCTCATTGACCATTAAAAGAAAAGGGCATAACAGACTGCCTGTGAGAGCCGGATAATAAAAATAAACACTTGTGTAAGGTTTTTAACATGAAAAATTATACTTTATTCGATGCTGTTGTGTCGTCTAGACTCAGTCAAGTTACTCCTTTCATTGCTATTGCTCAACTGAATTTTATCAAAGAATCAACAAGCTATATTCACAATACAATACTAGGAATCAGTAATACTACTTTTACATAGGAATGTACTTTTACAATCATGTACCGATCGTGTCTTACAGGATATAGCGTGACTATAGTAACGCTTAGGTAACGCAATACACTACAGATGCACTTTGAGAAAATTACTGATTCAGCATTGTCTAATTTATCTGTCGTATCACAGAGATTCACTTTTCTTCTATTCTTTCCTTAACAATCACGTGTGCTCTACATTAAGGAAAGGCAACGTGAAGCTTGTTCGAGAATGTATGCTGATAAATCAATTCTACTGTATTGAACGAATGTAAATTTTGCGGCTACCAGCCTTTTTAACAAAGAAACGATTAAAAAGGCCAATAAGAACAATAAAGCTATCATCATATATTAGACTTATTATGAAAAATCTGACTGATCGAGAGCATACCATAAAGACACAATAGCGTGTGAAGATGACAATGATGATAAATACAATATCTGCAGCGGATAAGGCATTTATCATGTCGAGTTCAAAGTCTGCCTTGTTTTACAAGTCCTTCGTCCTTGCTGTGTTCCTAAACTTTTGCAAACTCAAGGAAAGTGTCTTCTTTTGCAGATTGTTTACAAAATGTTTAATGAAACAATTCTAGAACTTGGTTTTCACATGATATCATGAATTATCAAACCTCGTATCTGTCTTATCAGCCTCAGCGTCAGTTTTGGTAACTCTTGATATCATGCTCAAACTAATCCTCTAACTACTAATTATTACCGTTATTATCATATGCATTAATATCATTATAACTATCTTAAAATAAGTACAAATTTTGATACATCTAATTCTATATGCTCTTTCATACATCATTTCAATTAACATTCTGCCCTTGAAAATAAAGAGCTCAACTTTCTTCGTTTACTGAAACTAGACATCCTAAATGTGGTATTGTATCAGCAGCGCACGTAGGACAAAGAACGCCTCCAGCCTTTCTCACGTTTCCACCCTAGAGAAAGAAAGAAAACCTCGGCAAAGTTAAGACGAAAAAGGTTTTATAGCCGCACGTACACTAGCTCGGAGGTATGGCAGCCTGGACAAGTACACTAATCTCCTTCGCTGCGGTTCTTCTGAATTCTACCCAACCCTTTCCCGTCCCCCTCTATTTGGACACGTAAATTTATAAAGAAGAGACTTGTCAGATTTGTTTACTGAGAAGAAAAGGAAGACTAATCAAGGAAAAATTTGTCCACGAAAGTGTTGGATCAATGTCAGTATCTGGGTAACCGCGCACCTAGCCCTCCCCCTACAACAGTTAACTGATAACAAGACATGATTAATGGATAATGTTGGGTTTTGGGGAGGGTAGGTGCGTGGTTGCTCAGATAACTACAGGGTGCCAGTCATTACGGTTCTAGCACAGAAAAAAAACAAACAACAACAAAAACAACAACAAAAGCAAACACAATGAAACAAAAACTACAACAAGAAAAAGCTAAATATCAGACAGTTAACAAAAAGAAGATAAGGTTGTCAATACCATCCTTCACGTTGCAAACGAACAAACCTGCACAATACTCACTCACATTCACACCAAAAGCGCACTGCACGCACGCGATGTGCTGACCAACGCCCTTTTCTCATGGACACGAGTACACATTTAAGAATTATGTACTAAATCGCGCACAATTAGACAATCTATCACCAAAAAAAAAAGTTGCTAAGTTTTCCAGCTTACCAGTACAACACTTTCTTTCTGAATCGCAACGTGAGGCCGCGGACAAAACTCGACATCTTCCTCACAGTCTAAACAGAAGGCCGGCTGCAAATGAAAAAGATAATTTGGTATTATCAACTGAGTTGATAATGTAAATAGGTCATCGTAAAGAGTTTTTAAAGCTAGTGTTTCGAGCGTTAGCCCTTTGTCAGAGCGACTGATACCTGAGACAACTCCTTCGGTGATACCACCTTCACGAAATGTTCCTGAAAGTGACAAAAACATAAACTAATTAGAAGGTTCAAGAACATTCACTCGTAACTGATGCGAAACAAGTGAAGTCAAGGTGCAGAACTAAACAACAAGAAACATACAACAATACAGGGCAAGCTTCAGCTCATGTTACGCCGTGTGGCTTACCTTTCTGTACCCAAGAATGTTGAGAATTGTATTATTGAGTTGGAGGCACTTCTTTGCTCGACTCACCGCGACATACATCAAGTTTCTTTCATCTTCACCATAGGCATCTAAACATATTACACAGGCAACTTGAATCGAAAGGGAATTCTGATTGCCTAGTGTTTGACCCTTTAACTCCCAGAAGTGATTAGCTCGTAACTTCTTCCTATAATACCCATACATTATCCAGAAAAAAGGTAATGAGAATACTCAGACTAATCAGATAGAAGTTGTTATCTTGATCTAACATCAAATTCTCGTAACTAATTTACAAGGAAATGTGCGACAGGTAGAGGGGAGAACTGATTAACAAGCTGAATTCTGGGTCCCAGATTCTAGGTTTAGTCCACGCCCGAGATTATTTTGCGCTGCTCTTGGGCATTTGAGTGTCACAATGTCTTTCGCTACTCAGAAGCATCAATGGACGCCGGCATAGAGTCAGAGGTAACTAATGCACTGCTGGACAACAGTATGCGAAAGGAGGAGTGACAATACTCCTGCCCCAGTTGTTCGAAGGTTGGATAGCGTTATCCACTGGATAAATCTCCATCCGGTGGATAACACCATACAAATTGCTATCCCTTATCCATCGGATAGCAATTTATCCGTTGGACAGCGTTATCTGCCTTTTGTACAACTAGGCCATGAACCACACCATACCGAAAAAATCTGAATCGGCCATTTTCCAAGATTGACCCTTAAGTCAAGTACGGAAAACCCGGCCAATATCATTCCTTTACCTGTTTTTGGCGGAAAGGATGGGTAAATAAACATCAGACTGAAATGCTGTACAACAGAGGCATAGATAACTAGTACATAAATTTTCTCGATAACCATTATGCTGTTTGCCTGCGGTGCGAGTTAGTTAGTGGTTGAAGTCGAAGAGTGAAGTTTTAGAAACAAGGTCAGTGTTTTCTGTAGTTGGGATGTTAGACTATCTGAGTGGAAAAAAAAAGAGCTGACTGTGGTGTAAATCCCCACCGGGATGGAGGATTCACACCTGATTTCACCCGCTTGTAAAAATAATGTTTTACTTACATAATGGAACACCCATCTCTATTCCAGGTAGAAAATCATCTGTGACACGAACTGTGTCGAATTCAAGCCCTTTGGCTTTGTGTGCTGTGGAGAAAACAATATCTGCGGGGAAGAAAACAAAAACAAAGATAATCAAAGGCAGAAATGATAAACACATCAAAGGATTCTAAGGCTTCATTAAATAAAAGCAACTTGCGTGACCAAATTTGGAAAACTGTGCCAGCGGACGAATTAGCAGAGTGGCGAAAGGAACAGTGACACCTTAGGGCAATCAGATTATTTTCGAAACTCCATTGAAATCTTCTCCAGCTTGCAGACACTTTATAATTTCATCGTCACATATATGTAACATGAAGCAGTCGATTAAAACTCGCGAAAGTTTTTCGCTGGTTTTCTTTGCTTTCGCGTTTGTACTTGTTTTTCTTTCCTTCTGAATAGCCTTGCCTTTACAGACCACACTTTGCTAGTCTCTTAGAAATCGTGGATACGTCCCTGGGTACAAACAGTTTTTGTTTGTTTGCCTGTTGGTTAACTATGGTTTTATTAATATTTTTATATATTGTTCCGTTTGGTTTAGAAAACATCACAAAATTTCTTTTTCCAGTTAATAGGGAAAATCAATTATGGAGCTTCACAATTATTTCTTAACTTTCTTACCCGCCTGCCGTAACTTTGTGACGGCTTTGGAAGTTATCTTGTCTATTTTTTGCGGCAGCATAACATGATGTGCCTCAACGATCTGAAACAACAAGTGAAACTATAGTGTAGCTGCTTCAGATTTGAGTAAACTGTCTGATTTATTTAGCAACAGTGAAAGCACATTGGCTGAGATGCTGGAAAAATGTAAGTGAATAAGTTGCAATTAATTTTAGTTCTGTATCTGATTGGTTAGGAGAGGCGCGCGTTTACTGGACCAATCACAGAAGGTGGTGAGCAAAACCAATGACGCGGTCAAAAAGTGTACGAGTCAAAAGTTTCTGTGGTTTCACGTGACATAACGTATCTTACTGTCTGACTAAGTTGAGAATCCTGTAATATTTCGACTAACTGTTCATAAAATAAGGTGAGATACAAACCTTAATCTTGCTCAGCAGTTTCGGGTCAGGAGCAGATTTCGCATACTTCTTCAATTCAGAAAATGAACGGAATTTCTTGATAAAAGCGTCCTTGATTTTTAAGTGAGCTACAAGAAAAAGAAACAATTTATGCTCCAAGCTACGTCATTCTTTAAATAAATTTTCATCGATCTGCGAACTGTTTCAAAAGTGCAGTCATGCCCAAAATTAAACGAAACCCTGTTTTACTTCTGGAGAAAATACCAGTTCTACACATTCGAGTAGCGTTGATTAGATGACATCATCACAGGTTTTTGTTGCAGGCGACATGATATGACGGTCAATCTTAGCGTAAAAGTTGAAGCGAATAAAAGAATAACTTTGGTTTTCAGTATCATTACATGAGTGGTTATCAGAGCAACTGCATCTTATTTCGTTTGTTTTTCGCTTCTTTTTCCTAGAAATTCGAGAAATGGAATCATTTTGAAACTGATTATTTGTTGCATTTAACTCGCCCGGGATGATTTCAGTAAGAAGACCCGATAATAGGCCATCTCCGAATTACCTTTGGCCTCATTTTCAAAGCGAGTCCTGGTGCTCATCCTTTCCTTTCATTATAATTTTTCATTCACATGCAAATTAATCTCATTTTCGTACGAATGGTCGAGCACCAGGTCTCGTTTTGAAAATGAGGCAAAAGGTAATTCGGAAATGGCCTCTTGACCAATCAGAGCCCACACATATGCAGAATTACACAAACAGTCCTATAACCCTCATTTATAGGTCCTATCATCTTTTAGCCGACAACACTCAAGTGCATTTGGTATTTTTTATACTAGACTCTACTTTAAAACTAGTTAAGTACGTCCGCCATACACGCATCTATGTCTGATAACCCCCATCGTGTTTCATGTCACTTACGTTTGTTTGTACCAGCAGTAAACAGTTTGTGGATGTCCAACACTCGATCAAGCGCCAGGCTTTTAAGACCCTGAAGAGAAAAGAAGGAAAATAATAACGTTTGTAAGCAAAATGTATCTTGAATACCCGTTTAAGATTACAGTTTGATGTGAGATATGGACGACTGTTCTCGCAATTGTTGGTTTGGGTGGTACTTTGTGTAGGCATGATTATCTTCCGCTATTTCGTTCTCGGCAAGAGTTGCATGCTCTAGACATGACCCTAGGCATGGTCCCAAGAGTGGCCGAAAAAGAATTCTCACTACAATACTGATACATTTTCCCTGTCCTCTTCTTGAGGTTTTGCATCTCACAGGGTTTTGCATCTCACAGGGTCTTATGCATAACTTTTTCTAACCCAGCTCGTTCCACCGCGCACAGTCCTAAAACGAGGAGCCGCACGGGTCCGATAATACACGAACTTGTGAAAACAAAAACAGAAATATCATTCACGCCTCACCCCAACAAAACCAACTTTTTTGTCGTTGTTCGCACAGCACACATTAGCAGCCTCGTTGAACAGAGTAAAATTACAGCGTGTGATCACGCACAGCTGACCAGATTGTTCACCAAGCACTGAGCCTACAAAATGAATAATAAATAACATAAATATCCATTGTGCCGATAAAAACTCTAAGTCATAAAAAATTACAGGTTTTTCAAAGGCCACTAACGCAGCCTTGTCTACCAACTTACTTACGCCGGACGCTTTTCAACTGAGTGTCGTAAAATCAAAACCAGATCAATTGCAATGGACAAACAGTATAAAGTAAAATATCATAAGGGGCCAGTGGGAAACACAGCAAAAACAAGTAAACTGCCTCGAGCGTTGGAGAATGAAAGGAACCATGTCAAAACTGGTTTTGGTTTTGCATCTGACCGATTGAGAAGGTGGCGGAAGTTTCCGAGACCAATGAAAGAAGGTAGTAAAGCGACACCAATTAATTTAATGATACGTCCGAGATTGAAATTGATGATTGATATTAGAGGGAACAAGATAAACATGCGAGCGAGCACAACTTGCCTCTTGGGTTCAGAGGGAGTATCGATCATACAAATAACCCTTGCAATTTTAATGATTTCTTGTATAAAGGTGTTGTATTTACCTTTCTTAGCTCCTCCAACCAAAGTCTTGTTTCGCACACCTTTCAACACGTCCAGAACACAAGACGCAACATAAGCTATCTCCGGACCAAATCTGAATGACTGTAAACCAACAGAATTCAAGTGTGAGAAGATTTCACACTCTCTGTTACAGTAAGGGAGATATAAAAGTACGTTGAAGCGAATTTCATGCTTCTATAGTGTATCACTATCATGTTGTGACAACAACAACAACAGCTACTACAACCGAGCGGAAATATCTCCGCCCCACTTCCGTTCAGTGTCCATTGCTGCTGTAATTTTGTTGTTGTTTTTGTTAAGGAATCTAAAGGTTATGTGTCATTTGTTCAATGATCTATTCATTCTTATTCATCTATTCGATGATTTCGTCCACTAATTTCTTGTGTCTTTTTTTTTTCCTTCTTTTGTATTCCATGTAGTTATATGTGGTACCTTGTAAAAACAGCACTGTTGTCTTTCTTTCTTTCTTTCCTTCCTGATTTCCTTCTTTCTTTCGTTCTATCTTTTCCCTCCTGCCTTTCTTAATTTCTTTTATTATTTCCAGTAATTTTAATTACTGTTATTATAATTATCATCTTGCAATTTCCTTTTTTTTTTTCCGACCTCGAAAGCTAGACTGAAAACATATGGAGAGAGAGCGTTTGCTGCGGCGGCACCGAGACTATGGAACTCGATCCCACTTGAACTAAGATCCAGTAGTTCGATAGACATTTTTAAACGACATTTAAAAAACATCTTTTTAAAGAAGCTTTTTAATTCTTTTAATTTTTAGATGATTTTGAACTTATTGATGTAACTTACGTGATGCTTTTTTTTTTATAATGTTGTAGAACTTTTAGCTTTTTAAATATCTTATTTAATGTAGAGCGCCATAGACAAATATTTGGTTGAGCGCTATATAAATATTTTATTATTATTATTATTATTTATTTCTCATTACACAACTGACGATGGATGACGCTTCATCCGAAACATGTTTTGTTTTCATTAAAAAATATATATAAAAAAATGAACTTCAAAAGCATCGTGTGGTTCATCAAAGCATTATCATCTTATCATTATCATTATTATTATTATTATTATTATTATTATTATTATCAGAGGTAATATAAATATTATCATTATCTCTACTACTATCGTTACAGTTATTGCCAGAGTCACCAACTAACCTGAGTGAGGTAAAAAGTGTGGGTGCCTTTCACCTCCTGAAGAGCGTTTCTTGCTCCGCGAAAAGCATAGATCTGCTGATGAGGGTCTCCCACTAAAATCTTGGCACAAGACTGACTGAGAAGAATATCGGACGCAGCTACAACAACACGCGACACGTGTTAGCATGCATCCAATTCATATTCTCAAGACGAATTTAAATAACTAAGACTGATAATATTATGGTTCAAGTTTTCGAGACTAATTTTGGTGAGCAGTGAAGCAATTCAATAAAATATTGCATTATTGTTTAAAATTAAAAATTATCGTCAAGGATGATTGGGTACAATGGTTTCTTATACAATGCAAAACGTTTTTCTCACCAGGAGTACAGTCTTGAGCTTCATCGACCAAGAGACAGTCATATCCATCAAGAACTGGCCTGTTGAGTTGATAAATCTTAAGATAACCTGGAAAAAAAGTTATGAGACAATGTAAATCTGTATTTCAAGGTGGCCCCACGGTTTGCGTGCTGGACTCCGGGTCGAGAGGCCTAGGCTAGGGATCTGGTACCCACTTACTGTACGGGTGCGTTCTGTATTCTAACGTAGAGATATAAAAAAGATTACACACTTACCATCATGAGTGATTGGAAATTCTCCATCTCCTCGATCTCTCATTCTTTCCCATAAGCCATGCGCATGTGAGACAACTTTCTACAGTTAAAATGAAATTCAGACAACCATGTCAACCATATCTTACCCACGGGTGTCCTTAAGTGGCAAAGAAAAAAAAACAGCGTAGTAGAATAAATTTCGAATTTCATCCCATACAGATGCTACAAATTGGTTTTTAGGTGTCGCACTTTCTGGACACATGAACCCTTTCGCCATGAAAAACTTAACGTAAACTCGTCTGATCTCAAGAAATGACATTTTTTTATCTGTGACGACATTTTTTGACAAGTTCTTTACCATCTCCCGTTTAAGTTACCACAAAATACAAAATAGGATTAATAATGCTGCACAGAATGCAATGGTCGAATGCCATAATAACTGAACTATGAGGCGTTGGCGCGGCCGTATACTATGTTCATGCGTAAGAAGGGTGCTGCACGCTGCTGCACGCTGCTAGGGATTAAGTTACAACAAAACCAGTCAAACGCAACAATGTTAGACTCAATGCCCTGTGATTCCATCTATATTCAGTTGTAAACCTACCAAAGCGCTGGCACCTGACACCTCCCGTTTCCATCCAAATATATTGTTCGCGCCAAAAGCTACGAAGCAGATTGTTTTCATTCAAATTTCGTTTGTTGTTTCTTTCATGTATCTTAACTGTCACGTAGGTTCGTATTATCCCCTCGCCGGATGTCGCTCATAGTAGTCTTGTCATTGCTAACTTCAGTGTATTTCTTTGCTTCTGTTTTTGAAACCACTGCGACTGTTTGTCACTAAATGACTGCTCGAAGTATCTGTCACTTAAGTTTAAAATAAGTCTACCTGTACATCTTCTCAATCACATCACCCTACCTGAATGTGCTGGTCGCTGTTCAAATAACTTGTATCTGAGCCATATTCACCAAAGATAGATGTCAGAACCTCGCTTTCTTCTGAGAAAGAAACATCCACTAAGGCTCTTTTGGCTGCTGGTACATGCTTGGGGTTCACAGTGGTGTCCGCAGATGCTATGAAGTTATTAAGAGTTTCTTCAACGCGTCGGGCATGAAGATATCCGCAATTCAAGGGAAGGGCATCCATGATAGTACCGATCCGTAAGCCACAAGTAAGCTTGTGTTTGTATCTAAATAAATGAATTAATTCTTTAAAGGATATTGTATGGCTACGCGCGGATACGAATTTTGTACTCTAGTGTTGGTATGAAGAGATTAGATCAGGCCATCTTTGCACTTGGCAGTTCTCTTTTTCTCCCTCCAGATATTTTCTAAGCAAGTTCGTCTAGTCTACTATAATACACACTATACCCACATGTGTAGGCTTCACAAGGGATCTAGCTAGGCATCACATCGGCAAGATGATTTGCTAGTTTTCTAGAGCATCTCATCGCATGCGTAATTGCAGTGCATTAAAATCAAGAATGCTGTTCTTCTAACCTAACTCCCACTTCTCTGTAGGCGAGCGAGTGGATTGTACGGTTCTCAACATTGCTGGGGAACATGTTAGCAGCATGTTCCTGAATTGACCTTAAAGACAAACAGGCAAACAAAAACAAAAATATGATAAGCTGAACTGTTCACAAGTACTTCACTTGGTAAAAGTGTCTTTGTTGACGGCAGCTTATGGAACACTACTAGAATCAAAACGTTTTCTAGCCCTCCCCAGTCCCCTACCCCTACCGTCCACTCTAACTCCAAATCAAATATGGCCGGTCGGATAAACGATCGCGAGCTTATAACGTTCACTCGCTCTAATAAGACGCCTGCAAGTGCAAACAAAGCAAACGCACTTTCAAATTTTCAATTAGCTCTGTTTCCAGAGTGCTCATTCACTATTCAAAGTCATTTTCTCTTTCACTTTTACAGCTCAAGAGATTCCTGGGAAAGTTTACACCATGTAGTATGTTCACCTACTTGTTGTACGCCACATTAAGGAATCGTTCCTTAGGCCTCATCTTGGTGTACTCAACAAGAGTTGTAGTCTTACCAGTTCCTTGAAAACAAAAATTAAATCTGGGTTTCATTGAGAAATGAAGCAGCAATGAGCAATGTAGTGAGAAATAAAAGGGCTAAATTGAGCTTGAAGCAGTGTGGCCTAAAGTTTAAGGCAAATGTGCTGGAATCAGTGGTCATGGGTTCAAGCCCTCTGCCCTACTTCTCACTGAATCTGTTCTTGCTTGCCCCCAATTCCTTCTCACTGAATCTGTTCTTGGGATTTTGCCCAAATATCAATTCCTTAGCTGCACGTTTTATTTTATAAAATAACTTAAGCCAACTGGTCTGGTCCTCCATTTTAACCAGTTGATCCTATTGTTCAATCATTTCACTTATCGCAAAAAATCAACCGGAAATCAATTTTTTCAAAATTTTTTTTTCCAATTTGTTTGTGTTTTTCAGGTGAAAATCCCCATTTGGGAAGAGGTCAGTTAAGTATACGTTTCATTACATAATCTGTACATATGAAGAAAGAAAGTTCAAGAATTTCATTCAGATAATTCTTTGAAGACGTGTAGACAGAGAATTATCTGATATCCTAAATAAATATCCTTTTGTCTGTACAGTATATATACAATTTATACAATTGCAAACAATTGTCAGGCAAGACAGACCAAGCTTGCTTGTTATGATTGCCAGTCAGAAAACTCACTTCTAGTTAACCTATTGCAGAGCCAGGTATATAATTATCTAAAAAAAAACATCTTACCAGCAAAAGCTACAATTTTTGTGATCTCCCCCACTTTGACATCATGTTTGATAATGCGAACTTGTTCTTGGGTAAGTTGCAACTTGTCAGAGATTGACCTATGGGGAAAGAGATTATTCCTCAGATTTCTTTCACATTCGCAAAGGGTGGCAGCTGACAGATTGCACTCCATGCTGAGACTGAAAATTCTTCTGTAAAAAATCTTCAGTAAATTTTGCATGCCATGTTCACCAGGATTTTCAAGTGTGGTATAGACAAGTACATCCACTTGTTTTATATCTTTTCTGCTTAACTGATCAGGCATTTTCCATCAGCGAAAAAGGAAAACAGCTTTGTAATACCTAGTGGGGTAATTTCCTATCTTAAGCAAAAAGCAGTATATGAGCTAATAGCTGAGATAGAGTAAGTCAATCTGAAAGTTCTAGGGATAAAATTTCCAAACTTGGTCCCCATGTTACCTGTTCTGCATCACTGACTGCTGTTCAGTAGAATTCTGACCAGACACAGAACCAAGAGATGCACATGTGGCTCGGAATGCATTCTCATACAAATACAGTGTATAGAACACCCTGTAGTGAAGACTGATTGGAGAAAAAATAAAATGTGGGATGAAAGGTGGCAAGAATACCTCAAACATCACTTTAATTTATAATAAGACAGGTTAATCTTGCTATATTGGCATTGCAGTGATTTCAATGCCTGTGAGACCTCTCACTGCTGTCTGTTTAAGCTCTTGTGATTTGCTTTTGCCTTACTGTACAGCCACCTTTTATACCATTGGCAGTACCCTATGGAAAAAGTTACTGAAATTTCTGTGGTATAGAATATCAATGGATTTCATGATTTCACCTTAAGATTTATTTGACGTACAAAAATTAATTGCTTCTTACAGTGTACTTATCATTGGGCACATACAATTAGGTGTTTTAATATTGTAGCAGTGAATCTCAGAATCAAATCTGAAGCAACTCATTCTATCATCAGACATACCCACTTCCAATTCTGTTTTGTGACTCCAGGTAGTAAAAGATTGATGCCAAACAGTAAAGACATTCCAGAATGTCATGTACCAGACAGGATGTGGACCTTGTCAAACAATGGACTATTTCTTGTACTTCATAAACTGTTTGGCATACCAGTGTCAGAAGTGCTACAACAGACCAAGGACTAGGAACCTTGAACAGAGACAGTGTATGCTTAAATTGGGTCAATACACATCATTAACCCTGTACACCCTAACATCAGTATCCATTTTCTCCACACTGTTCTTCATACATTTCCTATGGTACTGACAAAGAGAATTTGTTTAACAATCAAGAGCCTCTTATGTAGGTGATCATTTTCATTATTCTCATGACCTCAATGTTTGTTTTAGGGGTAATAATGATAGGGGAGAGAAGTTAGTTACTAATCACTCTAAGGGGTTAAAGGGTTAGCAAATACTGTCACACATCATTTTTACAAAGTGTTCTCCCATAATTATTCTGAAGATGACAGGTAAAATAAATTTTCAAACTGGTAGAGCAATGCCTTTAACTGATGAACTTTTAACTTCCAAGCAATTTTAGGAAGTATAAGAGGTACAAAAGATGGTAAATTTTACCTGTTACTGCCTAACAAGTAGAACACTGAGTACACAGTTGTTTCTTTAGCAAATCAAGAGAATTAGAATTACCTTGATAATCATCATAAGGTTGAGAATTACAGTTTTGGAATCCTTGAAATTTTTGTTGATTTTGTGAAGATTACAAATTAGACTTTTGATCTTGTCAATATTTCCACACGATTAAAGTAAATGTTGGTCAGTATATGTGACACAGCTCTTGAACTTGATAAGCCATTCATCCTCTACTATTCCATACTCCAACACTTGTACACCCCTCTCGAAAAGAGAAAGTGAAGCAAACTAGCACCAAGTAAATATTAATTAAGCACTTTGCAAAAATCATGATATGTTGTACCTCTCTTGAGCTGCTGGTAAGAGTTTCCAAGAATGTCTCTATCAAAGGGAACTTGGGATGTGTCTTTAACTTTTCAATTGAAGATGAACTTGCTTTTCTTTTAAAATCTTTCATAAAACTACAAAACCATAAAAAAAGAAAAATTTAAAATAGCCAAATGCAAGTTAGACCAAGTAGAACCTAAGACAAAGTTTGGTGACAGGTGGTCACTCAACCTTGCAGGTGTCAAGCTTTAAGAATCTACACCTCTCCTGTTGGGGTGATGTCATTCTGTTTTATTTGCTTCATATTGCAAAGTTCCAACTCTCATGCTCTGCCCACCCTGTGGTGAGTATTTCAAAGCTGTCTGTCTTTTTCCTGTGATCATTAATGTGACAGTGCTTTGGTGGAGGCCATTAAAAAGGTCATCATGTTTAGAATTGATAAATTAACAGATAATCATTAAACTCTGATGAAAATGCTGGCTCCACTCACCACCTCTTCCCCCACTTACCCCAACTGCATCCCACACACCACTCTCATCATACGTTATTATACATGTACATGTATGGTTGCCATCTACACAATACAGTATAATACAATATACAACACATCCCTGTTTAAAATACTTCCCCATTTTAAAATGTACTTGACATTTTAGGTATCTTAGTTCCTGAATGAACCAATCAGATCTCAAATATATTTTTGATGACTTCTTTGGGAAATAAGTTACTGTATCAACAAATCAGATTTGGTTTGTAATACGAACCTTGCTCTGCAGGAACTAAGCTCCTCTACAAACCAATGATATGATGAGTATATGTCATTTCTAAATTAAGGTTTGCCTGTTTTATTTCTGTCAACAACAAATAAAACAGACCACAATAGATGGGACATTTCTGATTTAAGAGCACTTATGTTTCACTATAAATTGGATGCTATCTGTTGTAAATTATTCTTCTTTGAGGCTGTATTATTTTCATCAGCACTCAATGTGTAGAGGCTTTGTGAAGTTTGTGAAGCTTTGTCACAATTGTAATTTTTCAATAAAAAATCTGTTACATTACATTTTTTTCTGCACCCAAGGCCAAATACTTAGAAAGCCAGCATATGATCATTATGCTAAGCTTGATGGGGTGATTTGCATTTAGTTCATCCTTAAAAATGTCAACAACTTCTTAGTGACTAAACAATACAACACTCAGTTGTCCTCATGATAGGACTTCAAGTGAAATAAATCATGTTCGATCAATAACTCTTTCAAGATCATACTCTAGCATGCTGTCTAACAAGCCACATTCTTTTCCATCAAATCAATTTCATTTAATGGCTTGCTTGAACATTTCAATCAGTTTGTAACTGATTTTTTACTGCAAAATTACAACTGTGACAAAGCTTTACAAAAAGTTTCTACATGTTGACTGTTAATGAAAATAATCCAAAGAAGAATAACTAACTGCAGATAGCATCCAATTTATGGTGAAACATTACTTCTCTTAGAGAAGAAATGTCCCATCTATCGTTGTCTGTTTCCAAGTAATCCTTCCCCTCCTCTGCACTTTTTAGTTCTCTAAACATGCACTTGAGCAGCATTTCAAATAAAAGCACTCTGACTCTTTGACTGCAGCCAAACATGGAGCACTTTTCCTATCTGAATATAATTAACCTTTAATCCATTCATGTCACCTTTGTCTAAATCTCAAGAGAGGCATGGGTTTTTAAAGCTATTAAAAAAAATTGCAGCACTAGTGTTTTTAAACCCAATAAAATGCTGCTGCTCATTTTTTAAACATTACATTAAAACTTTTAAAACAGAAAATTATTACAAATACCTTGCTAGATTCAATGGAAACATATCCACCTCTAAAAGTCCTTTTCTCTCCAGTAGTTCAATCATGACATCTCCTGATGAAATGTCCTTATTCTTTAGAAGAAAATATTTCTTCTTCCAAGGAATAAACTAAAATACAAATTAGCATGTGTAAAAGCACAATTAAAATGCATAAAACAAGAAAAACAAAATCAGTTTCATGGAGACCACAGTCACTACCCTAAGTTACAAGATAGAGAGTGAGATGTTTAAGGGCAAAAAAAGAGTTATTAACCCTTAAACTCCCAAGATTTGATTGTTAATTCTCCCCTCTTGTTACTACACATTACCTTGTTAATTAGTTGTGAGTATTTCCTGTTGGAGCAAGATGACATCTTCTGCCTGATTAATTTGTTTGTTGGGTAATGTATGTATGTTTTAGGTAAAAGTTACATATTAATCACTTCTGGGAATCAAAGGGTTAAACTACCGGTATATTTCTCTCCTCTCTGAGGTCTGCACAGACAATGTCATCTTCGATTACAATCAACAATTACAAAGTTAGAAATCCACTTACTCTGTAATAAAAAACTTTGAGACCAGCTGTTCTCTACTGTGAATATATGAAAGTCATATATTTGAACTGTGGATAAAGACGTGAATATGAAAGCGATCTTCGTAGTTATGAACACTACTTAAGCAGTAGTGAAAATAAGACCTGAAAAAAAGTTCAGGCCTGTACGGAATATGACTTTCGTATATTCACAGTCGTTTATTCACCACTTCCTGACGGGTTTATTTGGAACCAACATAATGACCAGCTCCCAGTTGGCTTGTTAGCTCAGTTGGTAGAGCGCTGCACCGGTATCGCAAAGGCCATGGGTTCAAATCCCGTATAGGCCTGAATTTTTTCAGGCCTTACTTTCACTACTGCTTAAGTAGTGTTTATAACTGCTAAGATCGCTTCCATATTCACAAGCTGTTCTCTATTTAAAAACAAGCAAAAACTTATGTTTACAGCACATCTACTTACAGAATCCTGTGATATTACGTTATACCACTGGTGGCACACCAAGGCACAATTCAACATCAAATCCACCATAGGTAACTGACAGAAAATATTCTCCATAATCTCAGCAGGCAAATGACAGAAATCAGTACTACTATGATTGAAATCTAGAGAATCATCTTCCTCATAAGAATCAATAACATCACCACCAACAAGACCGAATGTTGACCTTGACGATAATTTTGTTTTAGCTTGCTTAGTATGGGAAGCCATCTGTGCCAAATACAACAATCGCTAGTGATAAAACTCAATCGTGAGCACTAAATGTCTAAATGTCATAGTTTACATGCGGTTGACACAGCGGCAAAATGAGTGCGCATGCTTAAAAATGCGCGCGAAAATTGACGCGCGAAGAGGAATGGGAATGACAATATTTCCGTACTAACACTACAGCAGCGATATGACGGCATTTTTAAAATTCATATTGCTTGTTTTTCTTTCGCGGGATAAGCCCTAGCCTTAACAGATAAGGCTCCCATTTTCAAGAAAGTTTCTTTCGAACCTGCTCTGCAACATATCTTTCCCAACGAAAAAAAAAAAAAATTCGGCCACAGGTGTGAATTTTAGTAATAAGGTTGAGCGTTCGTAACATGGCTACGAATTTCGTAGCCCGTTATTATTATGGCACTTATGGCGAAAAGGTTTGCTCTTCTTATAGAGGAAGCATAATTGCCTTTAATTCTGAAATGACTTGAGTGGCAGAGGTGGAACCAGTACACGTTGTGTGAATGTCATTTTCAACAATTTGGAAAAAGGGGCAACATCTGATCGTACCTACTACCTTCACATTCCTCCACTCTAGGTGATACACTTATCCCCACTAGACTGTACAAACAATTTACAAGGGTGGAAATTTGTGAGACTTGTTATCAACCAGGGAAGCTGTGGTACACAAGTTGTTGGAGAAATGCCGACAAAACATTTGCCTCGAAGACCACTTAGAAAAAGCCAGTAAGAAGAAAAACGTTACATAGATATATTTAAAGGCTGTCATCAGTATTTACATAAAAAACAATAAAGCAAACGATGACATAATTATCACCTCGTTTCCACGAGAAGAACAATAACTTAAACAAAAATATTCATGCAAAATGAAGATGGAGTGCCATGCAAAATTCAGTTGGAGCGCCAAGCAGACTCAACATATGGTCAATGTGATTAACAAGCTATAGCAGTTAAATGTATGCCCCAAAACTTGCTGCTCTACAACTCAATAGCTCAACAGAGAGTGTCAGGAAATTGGTGCACAGACTGGTTCCCCCAATTTCTCAGCATCAATCATGGTAATTACCTTACTTATGCCTGGACATAATCTAAGAAAGGTAACCAATCCACCATATTGCTAGGCTTTGCCAATAATTATACTAATGCTATGATTGCACCTGCATCAATCTCTATACAGATCCGATGATATGCAGGCATCTTTCTCTATTTACTTACCGAGCTCAAAACATACAATCTCTCTTATTCTATTTACAGGGCATGACGCTACCGACATAACTGATCCCAGCTGTGCGCGGGACGCGTGTCATATGAACTTCGTAGTGGACCTCACCCACCGTAGAGTCTGTGGCTCAGTGGTTCGAGTTTTGGAACGGGATTAATCGTAACAAAAATGTTTTTAGCTCAAATGGATGGCCAGTAAGTCAACGCAATTGAGGAACTTCTGAATTAGGTAAACTTTTCCAAACCGTACTTTCCTTTTAACAACGATGTAAGGCAACGTAAAGCTTGTTCGAGAATGTATACTGATAAATCAATTCTACCGTTTTGAACGGATGTCAACTTCGCGGCCACCAGCTCTTCCCAAAACCAAGCAATTAAAAAAACAAAAAAAAAGTTACACCCATTTTGAAATCACTGGTGGTCCCTGTAATCTGATTAGCTCTAAATCGCACCACTTTTTTTGCTTTAAATCTCATCTTTTTCCCAGTCAATGAGGAGGCTATACTGAGAACAAAACAACCAATCAGATTTCAAGGCGTGAAAGACAAAGAGTATCATGTGGCAAATTTTGCAACTTTTGTTTCTAAAACTCTCATTTTTTCCCCTCAAAAAATGGATGAATTTAATCTCAAACCGGCTAAGTACTGCATCAATTAAAAAAAAAATTGAACTGACCAAGTCCTGTATTTGAGCGATTTCAAAATGGGTGTAATAAAGTGGTAATTGAACCTCGTGTTGAGCAATTTTGGTCTGAAATCATACTTATGATTTCAAATCGAACTCACGCTGCGCGCTTGTTCGATTTTGAAATCACGCGTATGATTTCAGCCCAAATTGCACTTCACTCAGTTCAATTACCATTATTTATCATGCATTAGAGTTACTATGAAAAATCTGAATAGGAAAAATGATATTTATTACTATATAATAGACTTACTATGAAAAATATGAATTTGCACGAGCATTCCATTAAGATAAATAGCGCGTGGAGATGACATGATTAAATAAAACAGAAAGAAAAAGTAATGGTATTACCATACATTAGAGTTACTATGAAAATCTGAATTACAATAGCGTGTGAAGATGACATGATAAATGCAATATCTGCAGAGGATAAGGCATTTATCATGTCGAGTTCAAAGTCTCCCTTATTTTACAAGTCTCTCGTTCGTGTAGTGTTTCCAAACTTTTTCAAACTCAGGGAAAGTGTCTTCTTTAGCAGATTGTTGACAAAATGTGTAATAAAACAATTATTTTTAATTAATTTTCGCTCGATATCATGAATTATCAAACCTCGCATCTGTGTTATCAGCCTTAGCGTCGGTTTTTGATAACTTATGATATCATGCTTAAACTCACCACTAATTGCTTATTATTACCGTTATTATCATATGCATTAATATCATTATAACTATCTTAAAATAAGTACAACATTTGATACATCTAATTCTATATGCTCTTTCATACATCATTCCAATTAACATTCTGCCCTTGGAAATGAAGCACTCAACTTTCTTTGTTTACAGAAACTAGACATCCTAAATGTGGTATTGTATCAGCAGCACACGTAGGACAAAGAACGCCTCCAGCCATGGTCACGTTTCCACCCTAGAGAAAAAAAGAAAACCTCAGCAGAGTTAAGACGAAAACGGTTTTATAGCCTCAATTACCCTAGCTCGGAGGTTTTGCTGCCTCGGCAAGTACACTAATCTCCTTCGCTGCAATTCTTCTGTATTCTATGCATTCCTTCCCCGTCACCCTCTGTCTGGACACGTAAATTTATAAGGAAGACTGAAGAGACAAGGAAGACTAAGCAAGGAAAAGTTTGTCTACGAAAACGTCGGATTAATGTAAGTATCAGATCAACTGACACCTATACCCCTCCCCCAAGAACAGTTAACTGAGAACAAGTCATGGTTAATGTTTGGTTTTAGGGCAGAGTAGGTGAGCAGTTGCTCAGATAACTACAGGGTGCCAATCATTACGGTTCTAGTACAGAAAAAAACAAACAACAACAAAAGCAAACACAATGAAACAACAACTACAACAAGAAAAAGCTAAATATCCCAGACAGTTGACAAAAATAAGATAAGGTTGTCAATACTATCCTTCACGTAGCAAACGAACAAACCTGCACAATACTCACTCACATTCACACCAAAAGCGCACTGCACGCACGTGTGTACACACATGTCTATGATGTGCTGACCAACGCACTTTTCTCTTGGACACGAGCACATATTTAAGAATTACGTACTATATCACGCACAATTGGAAAATCTATCATCAAAACAAAACCCACTTGCGAAGTTTTCAGCTTACCAGTACAACATTTTCTTTCTGAATCACAACGTGAGGCCGCGGAGAAAACTCGACATCTTTCTTACAGTTTACACAGAAGGCCGGCTGCAAATGAAAAAGATAATTCGGTTTTACCAACTAAGTTGATAATGTAAATTGCCCACCAGAGAGAATTTTAAGTTGATGTTTCGAGTGTTAGCCCTTTGTCAGAACGACTGATACCTGAGACAACTCCTTCGGTGATACCAACTCCACGAAATGTTCCTAAAAGTGACAAAAACATAAACTAATCAGAAGGTTCAAAAACATGTACTCGTAACTGATGCTGAACAAGAGAAGTCAAAGAGCAGAACTAAAAAACGAGGTACATACAACAATACAGGGCAAGCTTCAGTTCATGTTACACCGAGTGGCTTACCTTTCTGTACCCAAGAATGTTGAGAATCGTACTATTGAGTTGGAGGCACTTCTTTGCTCGACTGACGGCGACATACACCAGGTTTCTTTCATCTTCACCATGGTCATCTAAACATATTACACAGGATACTTGAATCAAAAGGGAATTCTGGTTGTCTTGTGTTTAACCCTTTAACTCACAGAAGTGATTAACATGTAACTTCTCCCCATAATAACCATACATTATCCAGTAAAAAAGTAACGAGAATACTCAGACTAATCAGGTAGAAGTTGCAATCTTGATCTAACACCAAATTCTCGTAACTAATTTACAAGGAAATATGTAGCAGCTAGAGGAGAGAACTGATTAACAAACTAGATTCTGGGTCGCAGTTTTTGAGTCCAATTCATGCCCGAGATTATTTTGCGCTGCCCTTGAGCATTTGAGTGTCACAGTGTCTTCCGCTACTCAGAAGCATCAAAGGACGCCGGCACAGAGTCAAAGGTTATTGATATATTGCTGGACAATAGTAGGCGAAAGTAGTAGTGACAATGCTCCTGGCTGCGGATTTTTGGCGGAAAGGATGGGTAAATAAACATGTGTGAGTGAAAATCTAGAAACAAAGGCAGTGTTTTCTGTAGTTGGGATGTTAGACTATCCGAGTGCAAAAAAAAGAGCTGACTGTGGTGTGAATCCCCACCGGGATGGAGGATTCACACCTGACCTCACCCGCTCGTAAAAAAAAAATGTTTTACTTACGTAATGGCACACCAATGTCTGTTCCGGGTAGAAAATCATCTGTGACACGAACTGTGTCGAATTCAAGCCCTTTGGCTTTGTGTGCTGTGGAGAAAACAATATCTGCGAGGAAGAAAACAAAAACAAAAATAAACAAAGGCAGAAATGATAAGCACATCAAAGGATACTAAGGCTTCATAAGACAAAAGTAGCTTGCGTAGCGAAAGGGATTGTGACTGTAGCTGGAAAACTGTGCCAGCAGATGTATTAGCAAAGTGGTGAAAGGAAAAGAGTAAACGTGACACCTTTAGCTCAAAAAAGAGTGCATGTAACCCAGAGAGCAAGATAAACACCAGTAAGTGGGTGCAGTTAAACAAAATTAAGGCAATCAGATTGTATTCGAAACTCCATAGAAACCCTCTCTAACTTGCAGTCACTTTATGATTTCATTTTAGCATACATGTAGCCTGAAGTAGTCGACTAATGCTCGCGAAAGAAATTTTTTGCTTGTTTTGCTTTGTTTTTGCGTTTGTACTTGTTTTTCTTTTTCCTTCTGAATAGCCTTACCTTTAAAGACCGCACTTTTCTAGCCTCTTAGAAATCGTGGATATGTACCTGGTTACAAACAGTTTTTACTTGTTTGTCTATCGGTTAATTATGGTTTTTTTTCTCTTGTTCCGTTTGGTTTATAAAATTTCACAAAATTTCCTTTTCCAGTTAAGAGGGACCAACAATTATAGAGCTTCACAATATCTTAACTTTCATACCCGCCTGCCGTAGGTTTCCAACGGCTTTGGAAGTTATCTTCTCAATCCTTTGCGGCAGCATAACATGATGTGTCTCGACGATCTGAAACAACAAGTGAAACTAAAGTGTAGTTGCTTCCCATTTGAGTAAACTGTGTTTGATTTATTTATAAGAACGAATAAAAAAACAACAAAAACCACAGTAACTTCAATAGTGAAAGCACATTGCCTAAGACGCTGGACAAACGTGCGCGACTGAGTTGCATTTATTTTTAGTTTTGTATCTGATTGGTTGAGAGTGGCGCGCGTTTTTTGGACCAATCACAGAGCGAAGTAAAGCAAAACTGATGACGCGGTCAAAAAGTGTCCGCGTCAAAAGTTGTTGTGGTTTCTCGTGACATAACGTATCTCACTGTCTGACTAAGCTGAGGATCCTGTAAGATATCGAGTAACCTTTTAAGTATATAAGGCGTGGTACAAACCTTAATCTTGCCAAGCAGTTCTGGGTCAGGAGCACATTTCGCATACTTCTTCAATTCAGAAAATGAACGGAATTTCTTGATTAAAGCGTCCTTGATTCCTGAGTGCGCTACAAGAAAAAGAAACAATTTATGCTCCAAGCCATGTCATTTTTTTCTTTAATTTTCATCGATCTGCGAACTGTTTCAAAGTGCATATATGCTCATAACTAAACGATACACTGCTTACCCCTGGAGAAAACACTGGTAATAAAAGAAGCGTTGACTAGATGACATTATCACAGTTATTTGTTGCCGGCGACATGATATGACGGCCAATCTTAGCGTAAAAGTTGAAGCGATCATTGGACAATCATCGACCTCGCGGAGAATAAATTTGTTTTTCAGTATCATTACATGAGTGGTTATCAGAGCAACCGCATTTTATTTCGTTTGTTTTTGGCTTCTTTTTCTTCAGAAATTCGAGAAATAGCTTGGAATCATTTTGAAAATAACTAATTATTTGTTGCATTCAAGTCGCCCGGGATGATTCCCCAAGAAAAGACCCGATAATAGGCTATTTCCGAATTAACTTTGGCCTCATTTTCAAAGCGAGTCCTGATGCTCATCCTTTCCTATGATCATAACTTTTCATTCACATGCAAATTAAACTCATTTTCGTACGAATGGTTAAGCACCACGCCTCGTTTTGAAAAAGAGGCAAAGGTAAATCGGAAATGGCCTAATGACCAATCAGAGCACACACATATGCAAAATTACCACAAACAATGATCTAACCCTCGTTTATAGGTCCTATCATCTTCTAGCCGACAATACTCGAGTGTTTTTGGTATTTTTTGTACCAAACTCCACTTTAAAGCTGGTGAAGTATGTCCGCCATACACGCATCGATCACTGACAATCCCTATCGTGTTTAATGTCACTTACGTTTGTTTGTATCAGCAGTAAACAGTTTGTGGATGTCCAACACTCGATCAAGCGCGAGGCTTTTAAGACCCTGAAAAGAGAGAGAAGGAACAGAATGATGTTTGTAAGCAAAATGTATCTTAAGTACTCGTTTAAGATTACAGTTTGATGTGAGATGTGGACGAATGTTCTCGCATGTGCCGGTTTGTGTGGTACTTCATGTAAGCATGATTATTTTCCTGTATTTCGTTCTCAGCAAGAATTGTATGCTCTAGACATGACCCAGGGCATGGTCCCAAGAGTGACCGAAAAAGAATCCTTCCAACAGTACTGATGCATTTTCCCTGTCCGACAAGACTTAGCCCAGTCGATAATCATTTTATCATGCACCTGCCGCTCTGACTGTTTCTTCCGTTCTTCTCGCGGTTTTGCATCTCACAGGGCCGTACGCATAACTTTTTAACACAGCTCGTGCTACCGCGCACGCCCCTTAAACGGTGAGCCGCGCGGGTCAGATGATACACGAACTTATGAAAAAAAAAAAAAAATTTCAATCACGCCTCACCCCAACAAAACCAACTCTTTTGTCGTTATTCGCACAGCACACATTAACAGCCTCGTTGAACAGAGTATAGTTACAGCGTGTAATCACGCACAGCTGACCGGATTGTTCACCAAACACTGAGCCTACAAAATGAACAATACATAACATAACGATCCATTGTGCTGATCAAAACCCCAACAGTCATAAACAATGAAAGGTTTTTCCTATTCTAGTAACGCAGCCTTCTCAACTAGCTTATGCCGGACGCCTTACAACTATGTGTCGTGAAATCAAAACCAGATTAGTCGCGATGGACAAACAGAATGAAGTAAAATATCACCAGGGGCCAGTGGGAAAACAAAGCAAAAACAAGTCGACTGCCTTGAGCGCGGGAGAATGAGAGGAACCATGTCAAAACTAGTTTTGGTTCTGCATCAGACCGATTGAGGTGACGGCGGAAGTTTTTGAGAGCAATGGAAGAAGGCAGTAAAGCGACACCAACTTAATGCTAAAACCCAGATTTATATCAATGAGTGATATTTACGGCAACGAATTGGTTCAGTGGGAGTATTGATCTTACAAATAACCCTTGCAATTTAAATAAATTTCAGACGTAGTATCTACCTTTCTTAGCTCCTCCAACCAAAGTCTTGTTCCGCACACCTTTCAACACGTCCAAAACACAAGACGCAACATGAGCTATCTCCGGACCAAATCTGAATGACTGTAAACCAACAGAACTCAAATGTAAGAAGATTTCACACGCTCTGTTACAGTTAAGAAACATAGAAATGTGCGTTGAAGCGAATTCCATGCTTCTATATTGTATAACCATCATGTCGTGACAAAAACAACAAAAACAACAACAACAACAACAACAACAACTACTCCAACCAAACGGAAATGTCTCCACCCCCCCCCACCCCCATTTAGTGTCCATTGCTACTGTTATTTTGTTTTTTGTTTTTTGTTTTTGTTAAGGAATCTAAAGGTTATGTGTATTTATTCAGTGAACTATTCATTTTTATTTCTCTATTCGTTGATTTCGTTGTTTAATTTCTTGTTTCTTCGTTTTTTTTCTCTTCTTTTGTATTTCATTTAGTTACATGAGATAATTTGTAAAAACAACGCTATTTTCTTTCTTTCTTTCCTTCTTTCTTTAACTCTGTCTTTTTCTTCCTTCCTTTCCTATTTCTTTTATTCTTCCCAGTAATATTAATAACTGTTATTATCATTATCATCTTACTGTTATTGTTATTATCATTATTATTAGTAGTAGTAGTAGTAGTAGTAGTAGCAGTAGCAGAAGCTATCACTATCGTTACAGTTATTGTCAGAGTCACCAACTAACCTGAGTGAGGTAAAACGTGTGGGTGCCTTTCACCTCCTGAAGAGCATTTCTTGCTCCGCGAAACGCATATATCTGCTGATGGGGGTCTCCCACTAAAATCTTTGCACAAGACTGACTGAGAAGAATATCGGAGGCAGCTACAATATAACATGCGACACGTGTTAACATGCATCCAATTCATATCGTCCAGACGAGTTTAAATAACTATGGCTTTTAATGTAATGGTTCAAGTTTGGAGAGCAATGAAGCAATTCAATAAAATACCGGATTACTGTTGAAAATCAATTTAAAATTATCGTCAAGGATGATTGGATACAATGAATTCTTATGCATGCAAAGAGTCTTTTACTCACCAGGAGTACAGTCCTGAGCTTCATCAACAAGGAGACAGTCATATCCATCAAGAACTGGCCGGTTGAGTTGATAAATCTTAAGGTAGCCTGGAAAAAATTATTAGTGTAAATCATTCTGTAATTCAAGGTGGCCTCACGGTTTGCACGCTGGACGAGAGGCCTGGGCTAGGGATCTAGCAACCACTTACTGCACGGGTGCGTTCTGTATTCTGACGTAGAGTTATAAAAAAGATTGCACACTTACCATCATGAGTGATTGGGAATTCTCTATCTCCTTGATCTTTCATTCTCTCCCATAAGCCATGCGCATGTGAGACAACTTTCTACAGTTAAAATGAAATTCAGACAACCATGTCAACTATACTTTATCCACGGGTATCCATAAGTAGCAAAAAAACAAAAACAGCCTAGTACAATAAATTTCGAATATAATCCATATAGATGTTAGAAATTGGCTTTCAAATATTGCCCTTTCCGGATACATGAACCCTTTCGCTATGAAAACTTAACGTAAAACTCGACTGATCTCAATAAAGGACACAACATTTTTTTTAATCTGACACAACATTTTTGACATGTCTCCTGCCATCTCCCGTTTAAGTTACGACAAAATACAAAATAGGAAACAGAATGCCGTGGTGGAAAACCATATAAATTGAATTTTGAGAAGTTGGCGCGGCCGTACACTATGTTCATACATAACAAAGGTGCTGCACGCTGCTAGGGGTTAAGTTATAACAAAAGCAGTCAAACATAACCATGTTAGACTCAATACCCCGTGTTTTCAACAGAATTTTCAGTTGTAAACCTACCAAAGCGCTAGCACCTGACTCCTCCCGTTTCCATCCAAATATCTCGTTGGCGCCAAAAGTTACGAAGCAGATTGTCTTCGTTTAAAATTCGTTTGTTGTTTATTTTATGTATCTTAACTGTCACGTAGGTTCGTATGATCCCCTCGCCAGATGTCGCTCATAGTAGCCTTGTCATTGCTAGTTTCAGTGTATTTCTTTGCTTCTGTTTTAAAAACCACATTGACTGTTTATCGCTAAATGACCGCTCGAAGCACATGTCACGTAAGTTTAAAATAAATCTACCTATGCGTCTTGTAAATCAAATCAACCTACCTGAATGTACTGGTCGCTGTTCAAATAACTTGTATCTGTACCGTGTTCACCAAAGATAGATACCACAATCTCGCTTCCTTCTGAAGAGGAAACCTCCACTAAGGTTCTCTTAGCCGCTGGTACATGTTTGGGGTTCACGGTGGTGTCAGCAGATGCTATGAAGTTATTAAGAGTTTCTTCAACGCGTCGGGCATGAAGATATCCGCAATTGGAGGGAAGGGCATTCATGATAGTACTGATCCGTAAACGATACGTAAGCTTGTGTCTGTATCTAAATAAATGAATTAATGCTTTAGAGGATGTTGTATGGCTACGCGTGGATACAAATTTTGTACTCTTGTGTTGGTATGAAGACTTTAGATCAGGCCATCTCTGAACCTGCTGGGGAACATAGGGCATCAACCATGAACTTCCACCTGTATATAATTTTGGCAGTTCTCTTTTTCTCCCCCTAGAAGATGTTTTCTCAGCGAGTTCGTCTGGCCCACTACGATACAAACTACACCTACGTGTGCAGGATTCACAAGGAATCAAGCTAGGAGTCACATCGGCAAGATAATTTGCCAGTTTTCTCAATTCGTAAAAACACAACAACAAGAACATCAACAACAACCACGATAAAAAGCCGCAACTTTTGGACCGCAAAAAAAGAATTAAAAAAAACAACAACAGTAATCCACATTCAAGAGGAAGATCAAGCCTAATGACTAACTACAGTAGTACTAATACATCTCAACACGTGTCAATTGCAGTGCATTAAAATCAAGAATACTGTTCTTCTAACCTAAATCCCACTTTCCTGTAGGCAAGCGAGTGGATTGTACGGTTCTCAACATTGCTAGGGAACATCTTAGCAGCATGTTCCTGAATTGACCTAAAGACAAACAAAAACAAAAACAAAAAACAAACAAAAAAAACAAAAAAAAAAGAAACGGAATTTAAATATGATAAGCTGAATGGATCACGAGTACTAAGACACTAGGTAAAAGTGTCATTTCAGACTGCAGCTTGTAGAAACACTACTGAAATCAAAATGTCTTCTCGCCCTCCCCAGTCCCCTACCCTTACCGTCCACTCTAACTCCAAATCAAACACGGCCGCTAGGATAAACGATCGTGAGCTTATAACGTTAGCTTGCCCTAACAAGACGCCTGCGAGTGCAAATGGAGCAAAAGCGTTTGCAAAATTTAAAGTAGCTCTGTTTCAAGACTGCTCATTAACTCTTCAAAGTCCCTTTCTCTTTCACTTTTACAACTCAAGAGATTCCAAGGGAAAGTTTACCCCATGTAGTATGTTCACTCACTTGTTGTACGCCACATTAAGGAATCGTTCCATGGGCCTCATCTTGGTGTACTCAACAAGAGTTGTAGTCTTACCAGTTCCTTGAAAACAAAAATTACATCAGGGTTTCGTTGAGAATTGTAGCAGCAATGTCGTGAGAAATAAAAGGGCTAAATTGAGCTTAAAGCAGTGTGGCCAAGAGTTTAAGGAAATGTGCTGGATTCTGTGATGTTAGGTTTTAGCCCTCCACCATGCTTCTCACTGGATTTGTTCTTGCTTGTCCTAAATTCAACTCCTTGGCTGCACTTTGTATAGAGCCAACTGGTCAGCCTCCCATCAAGTTTTTTTCACAACTTTTCTTCCTAATTTGTTTGTATTTATCAGGTGAAAATCCCCATTTGGGGAGTGGTCAATTGAGTATAAATTACATTATAATTATATTCTTTGCACATAAAGAAAGAAAGTTCAGGAATTTTATCCAGATATTATTTATAGTGGACAGAGAATTCTCTGATATCCTAAATAAACATAATTTTGTTTGTATACAGTTTAGACAATCACAAACATACCAGGCAATGTGGACTAAGATTGCTCGTTAAGATTGCCAGTCAGAAAACTCACTTCCAGTTAACCTACTGCAGAGCCAGGTATTTAAATATCTACAAAAAAACCATCTCACCTGCAAATGCTACAATTTTTATGATCTCTCCCACTTCGACATCATGTTTGATAATGCGAACTTGCTCATGGGTAAGCTGCAGCTTGTCAAAGGATGACCTATGGGGAAAGAAATTATTCCTCAGATTTCTTTCACATTCATAAAGGGTGGCAGCTGACAGATTGCAGTTAATTTAGACACTGAAAACTCTCCTGCAAAAAAATCTTCAGAAAAATTTTGCACTCTTTGTTCACCAGGATTTTCAAGTGTGGTAAAGACAAGTACATCCACTTGTTTTATATCTCTTCTGCTTCTCTGATCAGGCATTTTACATCAGCGAAAAAGAAAAACAGCTTTGTAATACAGTATCTAGTAGGGTAATTTTCTATCTTAGCTGATAGCTGAGATTGAGTGATCAATCTGAAAGTTCTAGAAATGCAATTTCCAAAATCAGTCCCCATATTACCTGTATCGCATCATTGACTGCTGTCCAGTAGAATTCTGACCAAACACAGAACCAAGAGATGCACATGTGGCTTGAAATGCATTCTCATACAAATACAGTGTATAGAACACTCTGTAGTGAAGACTGATTAGAGAAAAAAAAACCAAAATGCAGTATGAAAGGCAGGAAGAACACTTCAAACATCACTTAAATTTATCATTTGACAGGTTGATCTTGCTAAATTGGCATTACAACTTGGTTTAAATAAAAGCTACTGCCTGTGAGACCTCTCCTTACAATATCCATACAATATCAACCAGATAAGTGTTGAGAAGAAAGAAAAATTTCAATTTAGGGATAGTTAATTGATCCAATACTAAATTCTCTGAACTAACATTACAAGAATTGTATGATTGACAGTAATGAGAATTACAAATTTGATCAGGGAGTTAAAGGGTTAAGCTCTTGTGATTTGCTTTTGCCTTACTGTACAGTCACCTTCTATACCATTGGCAGTACCATATGGAAAAAGTTATCGAAATCCCTGTGTAGAGAATATCAATGTATTTCATAACTTCATCCTAAGAATTATTTGACATGCAAAAATTTCTTGTTTACTTACAGTGCAATAATCATTAGGCACATACAAGTAGGTGTATATTGTAGCAATGTATATTAGAATCTAATCTAAAGCAACCCAATCTATTGGCAGACATACCCACTTCCAACTCTGTTTTGTGACTCCAGGTAGTAAAAGATTGATGCCAGACAGTAAAGACATTCCAGAATGTCATGTACCAGACAGGAAGTGGACCTTGTCAAACAACGGATTATTTCTTGTACTTCATAAACTGTTTGGCAAACCAGTGTCAGAAGTGCTACAACAGACCAAGGACTAGGAACCTTGGACAAAGAGAGTGTATGCTTAAATTGGGTGAATACACATGATTAACATACATGGACACATGTTATTTTTACAAACTGGTAAAGGAATCCCTTTAACTGTTGAACTTTTAAGAATTCAAAGCAATTTCAGCACTAAGTAATAAGAGGTACTAAAAGCAGTAAATGAAGGCCTTAAAAGGAGAACACTTGGTACACAATTGTCTTCTGGGAGATCAAGAAAATTAGAATTATCTTCATTGGATAATCATTATAGTAATAGTAGTTAACGGTTGCAATTTTGAAATCCTTTAAATCTGATTTTGTAAAGATTACATTACAAGTTCCAGTACCACTCAGATATATGTTAACTGCGCAGAAGCATTTTACACACTCAGATGCAGAGTCGTCAGATGTGCATATATGATTTTCATGCATGACTGATGAAATACATGCATGATTTATGTGTCTTTGTTATTCAGTGCTATAAGACTTTTGATCTTGCCAATGTTTCGCAAGATAAAAGTAGAGTTTGGTCAACATATTTGACAGAACACTTGAAAAGCCATGAAAGCACTACTACTCCATACTTCTCAGCATTTGCACATCCCTCTGGAAAAGAGATAGTATTGACACATCTGAACTAACTATATAAGCACCTAACAAAAATCATGTGATATTGTACCTCTTTTGAGCTGCCAGTCAGAGTTTCCAAGAATGTCCCTATCAATGGGAACTTGGAATGTGTCTTCAACTCTTCTATCAAAGACAAGCTCCCTTTTCTTTTAAAATCTTTCATAAAACTACAAAATAATAAAAACTTTTTCATTGTTAATAGAACTAATATGGTTAACCTTTTCCACCCTAATGTCATCATGCATATTCTCCATACTGTTCTTTGTACATTTCTTAAGGTGCTGACAAGGAGAATTTGTTTACTAATCAAAAGCTTCTTTTTTTGGGGCATCATTTCCTTCATTCTCATGACCTTAATCTGTGATTCAGGGAGATATACCGAGGAGAAATTAGTTGCTAGTCGCTCTTAAGGGCTAATGGGTTAATATGTTAATAAAATCATTCTGTTTTAGTTGCTTCATATTTCAAAGTTCCTACTCTCATGCTCTGTCCACCATGGGGTTAGCATTTAAAAGATAACTGTTTTTTTTCCTGTGATCAACAAAACAACAGTGCCTGGATTGAGGCCATCAAAAGGGTTGTCATGATTAGATGTACTAAATTAATATACAACCATTAAACTCTCACACAATTGTTGGCTTGTTGCATCCCAAGCAGCTCTGTTGTCATATAGTTGCTATATGTACGTACATGGTACAGTATACATAACCATTAGAAATGTGTACAATAGAAAATTATTACATATACCTTGAGAGATTCAGTGGAAACAAATCCACCTCTAGTAGTCCTTTTCTCTCCAGTAGTTCAATCATAAAATCTTCAGATGAATTGTCCTTTTTCTTTAGAAGAAAATATTTCTTCTTCCAAGGAATGAACTAAAATACAAATCAGTATGTGAAAGAAAAATTAATGTATAAAACAAGAAAAAACAAAATCAGTTGTATTAAGACTACAATTACTATCCTAAGTTACAAGATACAGTCTGTAAAAGGGTTTAACCCTTTAACTCCCAAGATCTGATTATTAATTCTCCCATCTAGCTGCTAAACATTTCCTTGTAAATTAGTTATGAGAACTTGGTGTTAGATCAAGATAGCAGCTTCTACCTGATAAGTTTGAATATTCTCATTACCTGTTTGCTGAAGAATGTGTGGATATTGTAGGGAGAAGTTTTATGTTAATCACTTCTGGGAGTTAAAGGGTTAAGATGTTTTAAGGACAAAATAATATTTGCTGTATTCTGTTGAAAAAAGTATATATTTACTGAACTTACAGAATCCTTTGATATTATGTTGTACCACTGACGGCACACTAAGGCACAATTCAACATCAAATCCACTATAGGCAATTGACACAAAATGTTCTCCATAATCTCCACAGGCAAATGAGTTAAATCAGTACTACATTGATTGAAATCTTGCGAATCGTCTTCCTCATCAGAATCAATAATGTCACCACCAAAAAGACCAAATGTTGAACTTGATGATGATTTTGTTTTGGCTTGCTTAGTAGATTGAGAAGATATAGAATTATTTTTATTGCATCCTCTTTTGCTGACTGCACTTTCCAGGCTCACTTGACTACTTTGAATGCAGGAATCATTCCAGTAAGCTTGTGATGTACTATATGTAGAGTTTCCTCTCACATCAGAATCATGCTTAGCTTTTCTTCCATGAACAACGTTCATTGTTAAACAGCAGTCACTGTCATTTGAAGAACCTTCATCATCGCTTTTGATGAAGATGGTATTCAAGGCACTCCTCTGATTTTTTCCAGATTTTCCCTTCAAGTTCTTTTGCGTTCTGGTTGATCGAGGAGCGCGTTTCATGTTTCGCGCCGACGGACTCGACGATGATAAACTGGATGTAAGCGTATTTAAACAAGAACTGGAAGATGGCGAAGAGAACGAAGATGAAGCCACAAAGTCAGGAACACGTGTATATCCGTCAATGAGCGATTGTTTTCCTTCAGAGGAACAAGTTTTTGAGCTGGAATTACAAGGAACTTGGAAATCCTCCGGTTGGCTAGTAACACTCGCTAAATTGCGCTCCACAGATGCAATTGAGTGCTTTTGAGTTCCTGAGCTCCATTTTCCAGTTTGCAAATAAATGTTAGCGGCTGAAGTGAATCCAAGTGTGGGTGAAAGTGTCACTTGATCCGTGAATCCGCGCTGTCCGTTCAAAACAGAACCAGAGGTTGCAATACCGGGCGTAGAGAGATTTGCAGTTGGTTTAACGAGGAAGTTCACGTCTTCTTTACTGATACCACTTCTAGGAGTAAAATATTGTGAAATACTTCGTTGACGTGGATTCGAAATAGACATATTTCGCTTTTTTCGGGGAGTGGTATTGCGATCCATGAAACTTTAAAAACTCCTCGTTGACTTACAGTTTGAATTCACTCGTTAGCCGCCATTACCGATGGTCTGTACGCCCCAGTGCTCCTCGATATTTTTAGGGAAACTTTCTACTCTCTAGACAGGGGGTGGGGACGGGAAATTATAAAAAGGCTAAATTTGTCACTAGTTTTACACCAAAGTTTTACAAGCAACAAAGAAAATGTATCGACAATAATCTTACTCACTTCTCTATAGTTTTCTCTCGGAAATTTGCTTTACTTTACTGGATCAATGTCAGTATCTGAGTAAATACACTTACCCCTCCCGCAATCCAATATTTACCTTGCATATGATTAGGGGAGGGTTAGGTACGTTGTTGCTCTGATAATTATACTAAACATTTTTTACTCACTCTCCCTCTGTTGGTCAGGTTTGTTCCGACCAAAATGGCGGACGTCATGAACGAAACTTGTGTTGGTAAACAACTCTCTTTCGAATATCCTCTCCCTTTACGCTTGGTTCAAGCCAACAAACGAGATGAATTCATGAGTATGGTCGACTCTAATGCTGATCAAAAGGCATATTGAACTGTGTCCATTTGAAATCGGGTGACACTCCAATTATTGTCGCTGCACGCCATGGCCATCTGGATTTGATGAAATTCTTGATTCTTCGCGGTGTGGACATTGAACAGCGAAATAAGGACTTGAAACGAGCTTTGCATGAGGCAGCTGCTAGTAGTCATCTAGACTGTGTCAAGCTTCTTCTTTCAAAAAACGCAGAAATCGACTGTTTGAAGAGAGCGGACTGGTAAACCTTAACCTTAAGCTTACTAACCTTAAATACATCCTAACATCAGTATCCATATTCTCCTTACTGTTCTGTATACATTTCTCAAGGTACTGAAAAGGAGAATTTGTTTAGCAATTAAGAGCTTCTTTGGTTAGAGATCATTTTCTTCATTCTCCTGACCCATATGTTTGACTTGGGAGCAATATTGTAAGGAGAATTACAAATAATGTCTGAACAGGAAAATTTAGTTTCTCAACTGAATTGGTGATGTAGGTGGCCGTTGTGAAGAGCCTATAAAGCTGATGTTTGGAGTGTTAGCCCTTCGATAGCTCTTTGCTCTTACAGAGGGCTACTGCTTGAAATGTGAGCTTTAGAAACTCTTTAACCCTTTAACTCCCATGAGTGACCAAGACAGAATTTCTCCTTACAATACCAATACAATATCAACCAGATAAGTGATAAGAATAAAGAAAAATATTAATTTGGGGATAATGAGTTGATACAAGACTAAATTCTTGAAATAACATTATAAGAATTGTATGGTTGATAGTAAGGAGAAAAACAAATTTGATTTGGGAGTTAAAGGGTTAAAAAGTTTGAAGAGTATGTGTTCATGTAATATCTTGCATGCGATAAAGCCTACCAGTTTTGCTTTTGTTCATAGAATGCATTTTTGATGGTTTGTCAGTATAGGACACCATTGATGATGTCTTGCACCAAGATGAACATTGATATCATCAGAGAATTGATCCAAAGTAGAGCCAACTTGAGACTTGCCAATAAAGATGGCTGGAACTGCTTTCATATTGCTGCCAGGTATGTGTAATAGTAATATAATAATAATACTAACAATAATAATAATAATGATACCAGTAATGATAATATTTATACAGGATAACCCTGTCAGTGTTTTGACACTGGTATCAATAGAGGTCTTGAAAGTTAATTTTAGTTTTTACATTACAAACAGTAATGGTATTTTAAAGTAAAATACTATATAAAATCAATCTAAAAGATGTGTTACTATGGTATGATTAGAAAGTCCTTAATTTCCTTTGAAAATTTAGGAAAAAGAATCCATTGCCTTCAAATGGCAGGGGGAGGCTGTTGCACTCTTTGGCCCAAAAAACATGAAGACTTGTAAATGTGTTAACTACATTAATCTAAAAAAATTCACTACAGCGTGATTTAAAGGTCCTTAATTTTCTTTTGAAAATTCAGTAAAAGAATCCTTGGCCATTGAATGGTGTGGGGAGGCTGTTGTATTCTTTGCCTTACTGATCCAGAAATAAAAAGACTTTACCACATTAACTAAACATAGTTAATGGAGGTGAAATCAGAGATTTCAATACAAGCTGGCTACTGGCTGTCTGCTGCAACCTGTAAGACCTCAATGCTGTTTGTTTAGCCTGCAATCAGGCTCTGGTGTGTGGGTTTAGCCTTGCAGCACAGTCATTACACAGCCTATTTCACCGTCTGCAGCCCCTTATGAAAAAGGTTTTTGAAACCTCTGTGCTTCTTAGAACTGTACAAATGTGTAACAGTTCAGAGAGTGTGGCATAAGTTTCTTAGGCCAATCCATTCTCTCTCTGTTCCACAAATTAGTTGCAAGATAGTGGACTAAAGGCTTACAGTTTTCCTTGCACTTTGCCCTTTTGTAGCTTAGAATACTGCTCATCTCTTGCAACTGGTAATGTCCCAAAAGCAAAATATCCTAGCACATTTTCTAACCAAATGGAAGTTATTATTTTATGTCCACACTTATTTTACTTTCATTCACTTTCATAGGGAAGGGGATGTAGAAATTTTGAATTATCTTCTTGATTGTTGCGCTGATATTTGGGACAGTTGTAGCAAGAATGGACGGACACCGCTTCATACAGCAGGTGACTGGAATTCACTTTTTCTTTTTTGTCAGAAATTTGTAAAGATATTTTAGCTAATGGACCCTGGGTTAAAATCCTTCAATTCTAAATTTCCAGCTGTTTCTTGCAAGTTCTGGGTGTTCAGAAATTATAGAAGTCTCTACCTAAATTGTAGTCCTAAAGTTATTGTATATTCAGATCTAGACCAATATGTTTTAGTACACTCATTTTAATTATTTTTTTTTATGATAAACCTGTTGTTTTCTATATTTACCCTGCACAATGTTTACTGCTGGATCACTAAAAATTGTCTCTAAATGATCACAAAATGAACATATGATAATTATTACTTATAATGTAAGGGCTAGCCCTCCAACTGATGCACATAACTAGTTTTTGTTAAAGCCTTTGTGATAATTTCTTAATACATTTTTCAGCTCTGCATGGTAGAGTGGATGCTGTAAAACTCATGATTAGCAGGTGAATATACTTTCACAATCAAACTTACCAAGTTGGTAGCTTCTGGAAATTTCTTTTGACAGCAAGGAAGTAGCATATGCAGAAACTATTTATGTCTTGAACACACTCTTGGTAAAGAATCTTGTTTGTGCTTCATGCATTCTCCCCTTGAGCATGACTTATGCTTCATGCTTGCCAAGCACTTGTCCCCATTTGCTTGTAAAAGGCAAAAAAAATACACCTGTTCTGCAGGCTAAAGGGCACTTGACCAACTCTTAGGGACATGTACATGTATGTTCAGGTTGTGCTTCATCAAAAACTCATTCACAAAAATAGTTAATTGGCTGTTTCAGATGTAGTTACATACCAGACAGTCCTGACAGTTGTGGCTCAACACCTCTAATGGATGCCCTGCGAGCAGGACATGTGCCAGTAGCAGAGACTCTCATCAATGAACACAAGGTACAGTTCACTCTATGTCTGAAGAAGTAATTAACATGTACACTGTTGAAAGTACTCAATTTAACCATGAGCACATGATGTAAACCAGCATGAGCAAGAGAGAGATCACCCACACTTTAGAAAATCTGCTTTTCTGATGGTATTTCAGTTATGTTCCTGCCTTGCAAGCTAAGAATTTTCTCATAGCTAGCATATTTTGTGTTAACCCTTTAACTCCCAGAAGTGATTGACTTGTAAATTCTCCCTGCAACATCTGCACATTATTCAGCCACCAGGTAATGAGAGTACTCAAACTTATTAGGAAGAAGTTACTATCTTGATCCAACACCAAATTCTCGTAACTTATTTACAAGGAATTGTGTACCAGTTAGAGGGAAGAATTAACAGTCAGATCTTGGGAGTTAAAGGATTAAGTGCATGCTCAAAATTCTGATTGAGAGTGGGAAGATACATATCTATTTACATTTTTGAGCAGTCCTGCAATGCAACAACTTGTTGATTGGACATGCTGTTAGACACAAATAAAGTCTACCTGTTAGACTATTCCCTCAGTTCCCAGCTTCTTTGACATAAAGTGACCTGTAGAGTTACAACTTCATCAGGATAGCATTCTTATGAGTGTTCTTAATCTGAGGTTGTAGGTTATCTCATGCATTAGCCCTGCAGTGGCAAGGGGCATTGTTAGTCTCACAACAAATTCCAATGATCCTGGCTTCAGCTTGGTCCTGGACCACTCAACCTAGAGTCCAGTCAACAAACCACTGGTCCAGGAGATCGTTAATGGTGCCTAGGAGTGACAAGGAGTCAAATAAATGTTGCTTACCTTTTCCTGATATTTTTTTCATTCTGTGGCAGACATTAACAATGAAATTGCCCCTCAATCCACCCCTCTCCCCTCCCCCTCTTGGGCCATCATAATTTTATTGTCGTGTTCTTTTGGTGCAGGCTTCCATAACTGCCAAGGATCAGCTTGGCAGACAAGCTATTCATTTGGCTTCCCAAGCCGGCTGTATCAAGTCACTGAATTTCCTGATTACAAAGTATGCTGCAGATGTCAATGTATTTACTGAAAAATCAAGAAAGACTCCTTTACATCTGGCTGCCAAGGTATTGAGGTTTTTCACCCAACATAAACTGCAGCACCGTTTTCTTCATCTAGGTATCTCTACCAACTCTGATCTAAATAAATCTTTTAAGCCCTCAATGACCTCATCATTATTGTAAAACATAGGCGTCTGGACCTTCCAATTAACCAGGGGACAGGAGCAATCAAGTGAAAGGTAGCAGTCGAGAGATTGGAGGGGGGGAGAGGCGGGGGGGAACCCTAGAAAATGTGTAAGAGCGTGGTAATTGCAATCGGTATAAACCCGCCTTCCCATCCCTCCCCTCAACTATGTATTCCAGTTGTTATCTCACCCAGTCTAGACGGGTGGTTAACAATGTGTCCTGTAACTTTTCACAGGATGGTCACGCACAAACTGTACAGTTTTTGCTAGATAAAGGAGCAGTTATTAACACGCAGGATAAGAACGGAAGAACAGGTAATGTTGGTATGTCTTTCTCGTTTTGGATTTTAGTTTTTTATCCAAGTCTTACTGTTATTTGGTGAATTTTGTGGCAGACTTTAATAAAATGAGAGGCACATAAACACCACGTCACAGCAAACATTGCAAGTTTGCACGGGTTAAAGAATATCTAAAGAACTTTTGTGCACCAAAAGTCAGAGCCTCTTTGTGAAGGGTAAAGGAAAAGAAGACCCTAGGTCTTGTTATTTAGTAATTAGTGTCCAGTGTTTCCATTTTATTGTTTCGAATCTTTAATTAAAATTTCATTTCTTGGGCGATGTTCGTGAACAATACGCATGGACGTTACATTTGTCTTTTACATGATAATATGATCACATTCAAAGTGTTTCATTGTTACACTCAGCCTCCAATGTAGACAGCGAGTTACTTTGGTAACGCATTTCCATGAAATTTGTTCACTTGATTTTCAATAAAAGTGGGTTTGGCACTGATTTTGTTTACGATCATCAACTGACCTTTGATTTGGAAGATGGGCATTGCCAAATTTTGCTGTAGTATTCTTTTGAGGGAAACGATCCAAGTTCATTCTCATTCGTTTTAAATTGAAATTTGAAGATAAGTTGGGTTTTATTGAAATGATAATTCAAGGTAATACTATTTTTTCCAAAAACAATTATGATAATAAAGTAATTACTTTTAGGCTTTTTAGTTATTTTTTTTGCAGAGATTACGGTGTCTAGGTAGAACGTGCCTTAACACTTTTCCTCCTAAGAGTGACCAGCATCTAATTTCTCCTTACAATATCAACCCTGAATCACACATTAAGGTCACAAGTATAAAGGAAATGATCACCAACTTAAGAAGCTCTAGATTGTTAAAGAAATTCTCCTTGTCAGCACTCAGGAAATGTATAGAGAACCGTATGGAGAATATGCATGCTGATGTTAGGGTGTAAAGGGTTAAGAGTTATTTTTTGTGTATTCCTAGCTCTCCATCTCAGCTCAGCGGCCGGCCACGAAGTATGTGTGGATATTCTGTTACGCGTAAATGATTTGGATAGAACCATAACAGACTGTTCAGGACTGACAGCTGAAGACCTCGCTCTTGAGCCTGCAGTCCGACAAATGCTCAAATCTGTGGCAGAATGATTGTGGTCCTTAGAAAGATTTTTCCAGCTGAGTGCTGAAAGCAATCCAGGAGTGCTTTGGCTTTGCTTCACCGTGCTTTGTGATTGGTTAAAAAAATGACGCCACATTCTCAACCTATGAGATGCAGGACTTTGAGGCGAGATACAGCTAAACTTTTTGAGAGACAAAGTTATTATTTTTAGTTGAGGACTGAAAAATAACAAGACAGCCTCTCAATTATTGGAAGGACGGGCATTTGCCATACGCAAAAGTGTTTTTGAATCACCTTGAAATTGGTCACTAAGAAACCTGGTATAGACGTTGTTTTTGCGAGTGATGGCCTTACGAATTCTCCTTACAAATATAGGACGTTTTCAAAGACACATCACCAGCATAAAGAAAATGGTACTGAAATATACTGATGCTATAGCGAATAATAGAAATGTGCACTCTGTGATTGGTCGCGATGTACATCCTATCGCACAAGAATCACCTCGCGCGTGTTGATAATAATACTGAAGCACTCAGTTTCAAAATAGTCTTTGCACGAGTTTATGATGTTCTTAACGAAGAAACGAGTTTAATGAAATAAAATGCAGTTTCTCTGATAATTACCGTAGCAATTATACTCAAACAATGATCCCCCGCGGGTTTAACGAATATTGTCGAATAATCCCTGTGACTTTGTCACGAGGATTAACGGCAATATTCGCTTCGCCTTCCGTGAAAAATTGTTTTATATGTTTGTCGTATGTCTTCAGTGATAATGTATTCTGTTTAAGGAAGAAGGGTTACTAAATTTGTCCATAAATTATGCGATGGTAAAAGTCAAACGTTACTGGCAGATTTTGATTTTAAAGGAGTCTCTTTTAAGGCAAAGGAGGAATGCGTGTAGAGTCTGCAGGAAAGAATTCGTAGATTCCTTTATGTTTGTTTGTTTCTATGTGTGTTTTTGTATTCTTTCTTTTTCTTCTTAGAGAAGGCGAAGGAGCTTCTTTTGTTACATACACACGCAAATTTTCGTGTAGAATCTGTGTCAGACAGGATTCTCGCATATGCATTGTACATTGCTTGGCAACTGTACTTGAAGAACATTTAACCACCTACTGCTGTTGGTTCTTTTCAATTCAGTGAAGAGCATTCAGTTTAAATATTTTTAGAGTGCGAGATTTTCAGTGGTGTTGACAAGCGCCATTTTACCGGTCTAAGGTATACCTCTGTCCACAAGGCTCTCCAGGATTTCCTACCAATGTCTGTGAAAGAATTCAGTTCGATGATTTGAAGGAATATTTATTTTGTGGTTAAAGACACCTTCCGCTATTGAATGCCACTTGTGAAGAGGTTATTAAAACCCTTAGCAACCAGAACCATTAGTTCAATTCATTTTCTGTTTATCACTCAAGTAACTCCAGCTGGCTCATCCATGAGCTAGGATTCAGGGTTATTAACCTCTTCAACAGAAATAATCCACAGTTTTGTCTACGACACAATCCTTGCACTGAGTGTATAAAACCACAGGTGCACATGTGGCCATTAAGAGGACATTAAAACCCAGGTGGCGAGAGCACTTAGTTCAGTTATCTTAGAATACAAACGTGTGTCTTCGGACATTTCTCCCTTGTCATGGAATGCATTTAAATTTCACATCTTCCGTTTTTTTCTTCTTTCAAATTATATATCTCACTGAAAATGCCGCCTATGACGTAACTTCAACACAAGCTAGCACAAACCGCGGTTTCTTTCAAACTTTGACGCCATTAAATATCAAAATAATGGCCTGTCGATTGTGGTCGAAGCTTCATGTTTTCCCCTTGATCCGTTTGACCTTTTTGTGAAACCGCATCGAATCTCGGTCAGATAAGTAAACATTTCATAACTGTGGTATTGTAGCGATGTTTTAAATTCTTTGCGTGAGTCAACTTAATTGAAAGTACACAATGCCCTTAACACATCCAGCCGAGGGGATTGGAACAAAAACCTCAGCGCCGAGAATAATATTCATTTGAGATTATTTTAGCTCGCCGGAAGCGATACAATGCGGCGTTATATTCGGCGACGGGTAAAGTGAACTTAAAATTAACATTTGCATAGTCAGCTGAATCGAAGATGTACTATCGACAGGTTTTGCCACAGCATCTTATATTGTTGTTCTTCTTCTGTCCTCGATCAAGTAAGTAAAAAATGAAACTTATTGATAGCTGTTAGTTTAAAGTTCGTTTTCGCGTACCACTGACGGCTTTTCATGTTTCTCCGCATGGCGGTCCTTCTAACTAGAATGTCGCAGACTTGCTTTCTACGACTTTTTTTTTTTATCCTCGATGCTGAATTTAAATTAAAATTGATAACATTTAAGACAAGGATATAAGTCATTGCTTCGGGCTGAATAGCGACTGCCTATATTTTGCAGTTTGTAGAGAAGATCTTGGCGAAATTTTGTCGAGTCTCGGAAATGTGCCATTTGCTTTTTCAAGAAGTACGTGCTTCCCAAATTTTCAAGCGACAAAGCACCAACAGAACATGCAAATATATTCTGCTCGCACCCTCGACTGTGGGCATCTAATAAGATTTTAATAAGTTGTTTTGAATTTTGACCGTGAGAATTTAGCACGTGGTTTCACTTGTAAAAATTTACCAAAAGTTTCCTCGCTTTTTTAGGATCTATTTTTTAATTTTAGTTTATTAAACTCGCAACCAAGTACTATGGTTCCGCTGAACATTATACTGCCAGTCATATACAATTATATCCTTATAAAACCATTCTTGTAATTCACTCTTGGTGAAAAGTTGTTCTTGATAATATTCAGACTGCAAATTAAAGCGACATTTGGAGCTGTTGTCGATATTTATGCCGAGCCATATTGGTTAACATATACACAGTAAGTGTACGCGTGGATTATGACAATTCCGCAATCACGTATATTTATAATATTTGTCGGTTACCGTTTTCTGAAGACTTGCATATTTTTAATCGTTAATTAACGCAACAGAGTGAAGCTGGCGAATTGTGTACTCTTCCTCAACATTTCTCTTAAATGAAAGGGCTGTTGCGAACGGTTTGCATTGCCATCTTGTTGTTTCGAATATTTTGGCAACCTTGACCTTGAGAAAGTTTACATTTTTTAGTATATGTTTAAAATTACAATACCTGAAGGGAATCAAATGAATGAAAAATACATTTTGTTTTGAAATAACAGTGATGCATATGAATAAGATTATTAAGTTCTTTAGCGCAGCGGTCTTAAGTCACACGAAACTATACATGCAGTAAAAATTGCTTCACGTATGCGCTGTTGCTTAAATTAGTTCTAGCGGAAACAGGACTTCACATACATTAGAACTGTGTTCTCCCAGTAAACCAGCCGTGACAGGCCTAGGACATTTGCAATTCATGAAAGTTTTAATTAAATTCGACCTTCTGCCACCTCAATAGCGTTTCGTCTTTAAACTCCGCCGAACAGATTGATCAAGATGTAGGCCGCGTTTTCTCTAACCAACTCGACAAGTGAAAAAAATTACACGTTTCGAAAGAAAAACCGAACATATTGGTTTGAAGTGCATTTACTTAACGGGAGTCGGGGGGGAGAGGGGAGGCTGGAGCAATACTTGACTTCGCTCGAAAGGATCAATTGGCTCGACGGGTTACGCTGGAAAAGCAAAACAGAACTTATCTGAAATCGTGAGATGCAGTTTAGCATTCATAGCATTACTATTTCTGAACACTGTTTGGTCTGAAAAGAGGTATGCTAGCGCTAAGGGTATTTTGAGTAGGGATGTGTACTTGGTTTGGTGTACGATGAGCCCTTCCCTCCCCTCCCCTCCCTTCAGTGGTAACAGTGCGTGTCGAGTGGTATATTTGGCTCGAGCTCATGCGAGAGGTACGTGCGTCAAGAACGAGAGCCAATTATCTTCTGGTCCGACACGACCAAACTCGGTAGGTCAAGAAGCAATAGACGAGCGTGGGAAGATTCTTCTGAATAAAAATTTGCCCTTACTTTTCCCGACTCGCAATTCATCGAAAACCGCGAGTCATTTTTCGTTTCTGTTTTCCTCTAACGATAATTACACTTTTAGAATTCACGTTTCGGGAAAAATTTAAAAAATAAGAAAAGCAATACCAGTCCGGACGGCTTTTACCGGACTGGCTCACGCACGTCAACGCGGCCAGCCCTAATCAAGCAAGTTTTCATTATGATTTTCTATAGGGTTGCGTAAGCGGGGTTCGACCGGGTCATTTGGATATCTGGGATCCTTGATACGTTATTTTTTCCCTCGTCAGGGTGTTCATAGGGAACTGTGCTACAAAGCTCCCTTGTAGGACTCTCTTTAGAGCAATCGCTTATCGTCTCTCTTACAGGATGACTCGGGTCCATAATCACACAACTAACTTTAAACAGTAGATTTAAATATGGTTTCTAAGGTGCCATTAGTTTTTTTCCCCAAAGCCCCTTGCTTCTATCTACCGTTTCCTCCGCCACGCGATCACGAGGACTCTGGAGACGAGAATGCGGTGCTATGGGTCACGCATGCGGACGTGCGGGGAGAAAAATGGTCGCCCCCTACTGCGCATGTTCCGCGCAAATAAACTGCGGGCTCTTGTATTCAAGAGAAACGATGCCTATCAACTCTTTTCGCTTGCATCACTTTTTTATGAACGACGCCTTATTAAGTTTTGCATAAAATTTGATACCGGCGGATGTCTGTAAAACGGGCAGGTACCAGCAGAATATCTTAAGGCCAATCAAGAGTCACTGATGACTCACTGACTTTCAGCTGGACAACACGTAATAAATTTATCTGAAGCGTAACTTAAAAAATTAAGAAAAAGCTCCACATTCTGTTTAATATAAACAAAAAGAGATGAATTCGTCTTTACCGATAGACTAAATATCAATCACCATACCTGCAACATTCGTGCATACCAGCTGTAAAATAGGTGAAGATTACACTTGTCTGGCTCACTTTGGGTGATGCTGCCAGTATTAGCGTCCCCCTTAGCAAGCCCGATATAACATTTCCGGTTATAACCATGTTCAGCTCTTAGCAAAGCATTATTTCAGAAGCAGGCCTACTTGTCTCTTCGTTTTGAGCTGATTTCTACAAAGAATTTCAAGTTTGTCGTCATTTAAAATGGAATACTGGCTTAGAAAAGGATTTGTCATCGTTTGGATCATACTTGCTAATGTTTGTTTGTGTGAGTAGATGTTCGCGGGTATTCGCTTCAAAACAATCAACAGGCTGACTGTTTGTAGATCACCTATAACGTTTATTCTAAGAATGATTTATAGTAGATAAAAATTTGGAAATGATTACTCTTAGGATAGGAGCTAAGCTAGGAAGTGCAGATCACCGTTGTCTTACGCAACATGCAGGACCCGTTGCTCATGAAAATACGTTCTGTCAAAGCTGTTTGATTAATTTATAATCAGTTTGCGTTTGAAGTCATAACAAAACGTTCCTATGTGTTAGAAAGGAATGGCCTGCACTCTTCTGGATATTTGCAGCATCTCACTTTTCAAATTGGTTTCTGTTGTTAGTCGGCCTACACGAGTTGCGGCTGAAGGAATTTTGAGACATAAAGGTTTTAGTTTGTTATGTAATTGCTCACCTCAGTGTCAGTGAAAAAGGTGGATATTTACCTCTACTTCCCTGCATAATTTTTTAATATTATTTTGCTAAATATAACACTTGCTTCTGCATGCGTTGTAGTTGTACTAAAGCGCCACCTGTCACATTGTTTCTCTGACTCAGATGTTTTCTTAATTTCAGGTAAATCGTTGCCGACTCTGGATAACAATCGTATCACTTTACAATGCTTAGAGAATTACATGCTTCTTAAAATGGACTTGCAAGATTTACCAAAAATTGAACCAACTTCACTTCACTTAAGGCACTTTTCTTGCAGACCACAAGTGATTAACACCAGTGCTTTATTTCGGGTACCCTTCCGAGGCTGCGGGACAACCCTCGGGATAGAACTCGATCACATTGTGTATCAAAATGTTGTGGACAACTCGCAGGAGATGAACGGATCACGCATGGCGGTTAGGCACGCCCCTGAACTGTATTACCCGTTTGTATGTCGCTATCGACAGAAATACATTGTTACTTTGAAAGAAGGAAGAGGGACTGATCAAAACAATAAAACTGGCCGTGAAAATAGAAATCAGACAACAAAAGGTAACGTCTTTATTCTGAAACTCAGATGAACTCTTGAAATTCTGGTAAAATTTCGGTTGGATCTTTAAAATGACATCATATGATGAGAACTTTCTTAGTGCCGAGTCTTTAAAGTTAGTCCAAAACAAATCATTCCCATGAAAAATTTATTCTTCGTTGCTTCGAAGATTTAAGAGTAAACAGACGTGTGGGACTATGACCAAGAAATCAGCATTGTTTTGATGTTCCCATGATCTGCAAAAATATACCACATATATTGTAACTCAATGGACCGATTAGCAGTGATAAGGTGCTGAGTTTTTCTAGGTAGCTCCTCTGATAAACCTTCTTGATCTCGGGGTGATGAAGCGTCTCTATTCTTTTATTTTATCTCATTTGTCTGTTTATTTTGTATCTATTTCCTGACAATGTCTCTTTCCGCTTCCAGATATTCCTGAGGTTGTGTCAAATTCGTCAAGCAACACTTCTCCTTGGATGCATAACGTAACTTGGCTCACTATTATTTTTGAACTTATGTGGACCTTGCTTCGAATTGTGCACTAATCTCTGATGGACCTGCGGTACCGTTCCACTCTGAAAATGAGTGTATCCTCAACCGAGGAACATTGCCTTTTTGTTTTTCGCTTTTGATAAGCAAGTGCCTGAGGATCATCTGATTAAGCCATGGTGTGATTGTTTCCCACGCTACGTAGTACATCATCTTCTTTAATGGCCTCGGTTGTAAAAAAAAGTAATGGATCTTAAAATCAAGAGTCTTATCAAGATTGGTGTGTCTCTTTTTTTGCGGAGATCACTTTATTAGAACAAAATGTGTCTATTGCATCAGATTAAACATTCATGAGATATATTATGCTGGGTGTGGCAATGAAATGGAAGTAGAAATCTGATCGGTAGTTGCAGGAACCCTGCTTTATCTGATCTCTCTGAACGATGACAATTTTCAAGCAGTCGTTTTGCAACACAGAGGTGTGCCTCAAAGAACGGTTGTACTTTCAGGTGACCAATTAACTGCTGTGTTTTCTGCAAATGTAGCGCTTTTCGTCGGGTATCAGCTGAATGTTGGCTTCCCCAGCCATTGCAATTATTTTTTGATCTAAATAATAACCAGGGCATGTTTGTTATTAAATATCCTGGTTACCTAAGTTTGCAATTGGAATTAAAACTTGTAAATATTTTGGGTTGATTTATGACCATGTGGACCATTCATGCAAGCAAGATGGTCGCATTGCTCTCTTTGAATTGAAAATAAAGGCTTTTTCACACAGAAATGGTTACATCGTTTCAGACAGACGGACCACTAGACGGACAAACAGAATGAGCAGGGTGGAGAGGGTTGGTACGAGACTGCAATCTCTTAAATGAAGAGGACATTTTAAAAATCTGATAGTTACGTAACAAGTGACAATGAAGGCGATCAACGGTATCTTCTTTGCATCTTCATTGTTTTCCGTGGATCCGTACACATTCACCATACATGACAGGTCAGTGACAGGTTGCTTCTAGCTGCGTCATTGCGGTCAGAGTAACTGCAGTAATTATCAAGTCTAAAAATGAAATATCAAGATCAATTCGTCACCCATTATCTGTCGCTAAAATATATCATACGTGTTTATTATTTGAGATTAACTAAAGAAAGTTTACGATGATAATCCTCTCGGTATGTGTAAATTAAACAACCATGTGATGCATGAAGAAATGAGGGTGACAATTCAAAATTATATGCTATCCAAGTTTTTCTTTCAGAAAAAAAACCTGCACTTAACATGTAAATTCCCTAACAAATTTTCAGGCTTATGCTTTAAAACCTCCGTGAGAAAGGAGAAAGAGGAGGGAATTAAAAATATACTGTTTCTGCATTTGATTTCCAATTCACACGGTTTTTCTACATGGGCCCTACCGGGTAAGTAATTGCCAGCTATACAAGTTAACTCTTACCAGCATTGGGCGAGCACGTGTCTGACGCCTATCCCGTACTGCGTCAGTTGAGTCAACCCTTTACAATTATCGTGTTTTTATTTCTCTGAGTGATAAACCAAGCAAGTATGGAATCATAGCTCCCCCTCGATATAACCCTAATGAAAGACGATATCACGTCAATATTGATAGACAAGCATTACAATCGAGTTTGGATTCTAGTCACGTACGGAACGAGACTCAGTGTGTTGCTGAAGAAGACATGAACACGAGTTTCATCATTGTTGTCTTGGCTGCAGCGGTAATTTCAAACATTCGTGGAGGTAAGAGCGTAATATAACTCTGATGAAATTTTTGATAAAAATACTTTGTAGACACTACAATTCAAAAGCCCTTGTGCAACGCTAAGGAAAAATTCCTTTAGATATAGATTCACTTTGTATTGTTGCTAAAAACCCGACTCTTTTTCTTTCCTTTACTTCCTTTGACTCTAAATTTCAACTCAGGACTTTGTAATCATGTTCGTTTTAAACAATTGTTTTCTAAAGCTGCAAGTGCATTGGAGTAAGTAACAAGTAACTCAAATCATTGTGGACTGCTCCTTTCAGTTTCTTTGTTTTAATTTTTTTTCTTTTTTAAGTACAGCATTGTTTCATTTCGTGACTTGAAATAAATTCTTAAGCCAATATAATCGTGACATGATAAAATAACATATAGATAATCCAACAACATCAAATTATTGCTACGCCATGTGATTTACGTGTGATGCTGAGAACATACTCTTCATATTGTGGTAAGAGAATTTTTGGGAAAGTTTAAACATGTTTTAGGCTGAACAAGTTTACAAAAAGTATTCTGTTGAATACCAAATTTTATGCTCAACTGGTATTACATTTCCGTATCATGACAGTATTGGCCCCAAATCCCTTTTTTTAAAGAATGACACCCTCTTGGATGTCCTCAGAAAAACATTTAAAGCATTTTGGGCGATAAAACGAGTCTAAACACAAACGTTCAATAATGGATGAGCATCGTTGCTCATGCAGAAAAAAAAAAATCTCATATCAAATGTAAAGCTTCCTCTATCTTGACTCCCACTTTGAGCAAGAATCTATAACATGATGCTTTTTCACGACTAGAAGCTTTATAGAAAACTAAAATACAATTTAACGAGAGAAGTAGACTTCTGCATCTGAGGACAACCACAAGCACACTTTGTTGAAAGTGTACTTGTACATAGTTTTTCGACAGAGTGGTCAATTGTGATGTCTTTTCCAAAAAAATCAATATCAATTGAAAGATAACTGCATTTACAAAATAATTTCAATTTATTGGAACTTCGGCGAATACGAAAGAATTCAAAGCTAATCACTACATCAAACAAATTACAAGATAAGTTATGAATAACGTTTGTCAGCTTGAATTTTGCTTTGGCAAACTTCCGTGCACATAAATAACTTTAACATACTGTGGCATCCACATTCAACAAAATCCTTTACTTAGACCGTGACATTAACTAGTTCAGGTCCGTACGTTGGAAATCTTGCTAAGAACGGGAAATTTAGCTTTTACTCTCAGAAGTTACAGAAAATAATAGGGATCTTGGGTACAGCTGTCTCTTTTACTTCCCTTAAAAGCAATAAAAAAAAAATAAAATTAGACGTGTACCTACGAGTTCATAGGCGTTCGTGATAGACTCATTTAGCCACCTCCAGACTATATAAGATTTTCACACTTTTTTTTAACTTGAAAATGTCATATGTATTGAGTGGGCACGTGAAAAACATTTGAATAACATTCAAAAAATGTAATCCCCTTCACAGAGAATTTTCCATTCACGCTTTAAGTTCGTGGATATGTTGAAGCCTACACGTGACTGAAAAACTCGCATTTACGCAAGCATTTGTCTAACAAATTAAGAGTTTTAGTGGAGAACATGACGCAAGAGGTGATGAATAGGTTGTGGGGTAGTTAGCTGTCTTCAGCAAACCCTCGTCATACAACATTTGAACTTCAAGCCTGAAGTTTTGATTCCAAAAGCTTAGATACGTGAAATTTCATTAAAATAAGCATCTGTGATGGCTGCATATCTGAGACACTACTGTTCTCAAAGCGATTTACTGAGGTAATTAAGGAAGGTCATTGCCGTGAAAGAGATGTCTCGAACGGAAAATTTGGATAAGAGCAGTTTAAGGACAGAGCCTTTAGGAACATTAGCCTACTAACATCTACTATGTTTACTTTCGAAAGCTTAACATTACATACTCTTTTTTCAGTTTTATCTCCGTCACCTAGTTTACCCAAGGAAAAAATTCAGCTACAATGCCTTCACAACTTCATCTTTTTGAAAATCGACTTAGACGACATTCCTAACATCAAGCCGTCTTCTCTACGTTTACGGCAGTTATCGTGCGAGCCATATTATGTTGCAAACAGTAGCGCTTTCTTTAGAGTACCTTTTCGAGGCTGCGGGACAACTCGCGGAACCCAGGGCAACTATATTTCTTTTTCAAATACTGTGGAAAATTCTGCGAGGTCATTAAATGAATCACACGTGGTAGTATCGAATGGGCTCAAATTACACGTTCCTTTCACGTGTTACTACCGTTCAAAGTACACCATAACTGTACAGGAGACAGAGGGGGCTGAAACGAGAAATCACAGTGCACGGAAACAAAAGAGTGAAGGTAAGGCACAGGAACACAACGAACTCAGAATGACTGATCTAATTTCGTACCCAGATCCTACCGTATAACTTTGGCTGAAGTTACAACCGCTCAGCCGTGGAAGGTCTGGGTTCGAGGCTATGACTGATCTTCCAACATTTGGTGTTCCCCTGGCAATTCAATGGTAACCATATATATTCTTGTGTGGAGGCACAAGAACCGAACACAATTTTCCGGTCTGGTCTCGAACCCAGACCGTTAAGGTTTTGCAAGCCTCATATTGCGCAGGGCGAGTTGGCGCAATAAGTTCAAAACCGTTCGCAGGACTGCCATATTTGATTTAGGCCTGGAACAGATGATAGGAAAGAAGGGGACGAAGATCATTCAAGAAATAAAAAAAAGCAGAAACGATTTGGTTGGAAATATTCTATTATTATTTCTGTCTCAGCGAAAAAAAAAAGGATCTGCTAATTTGAATATTACCAACATTTCTTGTCAGGTCATGCAACGAGGTCAAGTTCAGTCCCTGTAGAATCTTCGTCTGATGAAAAAGTGATGCCCCTCACTTATAGCATTGTGTCTGTTGTGTTCCTGTCGTTATCACCTATCTTCAACTGACATTTGCTTCATCTGCCACAGTCTGGCCGCAGGACTCCAGCTAGATTTGATTTGAAGGGAGGGGGTCGGAGAAAAAAACCTCGCTGCAAAAGACAGTTTTCTATATGATTAACTGATGATGCCTTAGAGCCCACGTCTCTCTACTTAAATCGAGAAAAAATCAAAACAAAACAAAAAGGGGAGGGGAACGCGCTAATTTCTTCCTTTCCCAAAGCTCCTCGCGCCTAGCGCATGTCACCAGTTTCTCGTATTTAGTTCTCGTTCTTCAGGCTCTACAGGAAAGTTTTTTTAGGAGCCCGTCTTCACCTTAAAAACTGCGTTTATATCCTTTAAAATGGACGAGCTCTGTTCTGGCTCGTGTGAGTTTACTATGCTTTCCAGACGTACTTCAGGCGACTAAGAACCTATCGCACATGCAAAGGTGACTGCGGAACGCTATCAAAGCGTCCAAAAATTCTTTCCCTACACAAAACGTTATTTGCCCGAAAACTTGCTTTAAACTCAGCATCTACACCCCTACTCTAAACTCAAGTAGTCGCGTTAACTTGACAAATTCAAATAAAGGTCTCCGGGCGTGGTTTGCTAATAAATCAGACCACGCGCATGGCACGTGAATTCAAATAACATATAAAGAGGGGAGGAGCAAACAAGGAATCAAAGCGGCACAAGTGATCGAAGTGATCTTTATATTCGTAACGGTTGTCACATTAACTTATCATCACAAATATATGGTCTCTTGAGATGAGCCTCCTAAATACAACTGTAAATAGAGGGCAATGTAAATTGTTTTGGGCAATGATGACAAGAGGAACGTCTAGCGTTATCGTGTGATGATAAGTGTCACGAGTGTTACCTCGCGCGCGCGCGCCAAAAAGCCTACTATGACGTTACTAACGAATCGTTCGCGACGTGGGTTGTTTATTCTTCTTTGAGAATTCCTTGTGTTATCCACGTGTGGTAGCCCAAGACAAAAATGAAGAGGAGAAAAGTTTTCACCCTGGTTTTATTGAGCATTCTGATAACAAACACAGTTTGCCAAGGTAAGAGTCACCGGTGAAATGTCTTAGATTTAGAAAAGCTCATTTAAAAGCAGCTTGATAGCGTTGCAGCTATCGCGCTTTAGGATTTGAAAGAAAACTTAATCAGTATTCCTTACAAACTCCTGAAAAACATCTTAAGATGTTCTTTAAGAGTTTGTAGAAATACTGAAGAAGAATAGAACAAATTCTGGCTCATTTTGAAAGCAACGGATCAAGTAGGGGTCATTATTTTAGCATTTAAACCAAATTGTATTGACCAAAAAGCTGTGGTGAGAACCGGAAATGAGAAACTTTTAACTTTCGGTCGCCGTCTGCGTCTCCGAAACGTTTATGCTGAAGCTCACTTATGGAATTGCCTTGTGTGGCATAATGAAAATAGGAAATGTCACTTGCAGTTCTTTTAATGCTTGAAACTGCATACTATAAATACATACGGAACAAAACACCAAAAGCAAAGACGAAAATTTCATTTCCTAATAACACTGCAAGATCTCAGGTCATAGAAAGTTCTCTAAAATACCAAACACCATCAGGTTCTAAGCTCAAATTCAAGCTTGAGCCAATAATATAGACTTGACATTAACGATGAAGAGCTTGCAAAAGAGTGCTTTGAAATATTAGTAATTTTGAATAATGCGCGCTTAAAGACTAGATCGAGAAGGTTGTTGGTCTTCCCTCTTGTTCCTTTTTCCATTGAGCCCCACCAAATTGTTATATTATCACTTTTTTTCATGTCACAGATATACTCTCATCCAATGATGAAATGATTAACGATGCCCCTGGCGGAAAGGTTTTGCCAGCGTCAAAAGATGCTTCAAAGCCCTCAAAAGATGAAAGAGATCTTAAAGATGGCGAGATAGACAAATTTTCCGCAAAGTTCATGCGAGCGTTTGTTGTAAGCCGAGCGGCGAAGAAAAGCAGAAAGCCCGCTTCATCGCATGGGGCACGAATACATGGTTCTAAATTTAACAAAGGGAAGCATAGATTTGTGTTTCCATCGAAAAATTCAACATTGAGCACAAGCAAACCTTTTGAATCGATCAAAACAAAAATTCAACCTGCGGTTCCCCAGTTGACAACGGTATCTACTGAAGGAAAAATTATCTCTTTTGAATCGATCAAAACAAAAATTCAACCTGCGGTTCCCCAGTTGACCACGGTATCTACTGAAAGAAAAATTATCACGTTAACTGACACACCATACGAAAATTCAGAGAGAATTTTACATGAAGGCGGTGCTACTAAAAATGACAAGAGAAAATATACACAAAGTGATAAACACAAATCTCGGCCACAAAATAAAGACATAGTCACTGAAGAGCAAAAACCTCGCGGTGGGACCACACTAACACCACTAGTACCTACCCGACATGGTACCACCACAGCAATACCAACCGCTACCTTTCTTGTTACCCCCCGAATTCAACCATCTGAAAGACTTCGTTCGGAATTGTCTTATGATCATGATAAAGCTGGATCTGATAAGGATACAAAAGACGAGCGTGTCACTAAAAAAGGAAAGAATTGTCGTTTCTCAGCTGAAGAGCAGCCAAGATCAAGTCCGCTAGCCACAAACTTTGCGGGAGTGTTGGCTGGAATTTTAATTTTGTTGCTGATTTTCATCGTCACTCCTCGTTTAACGTAAGTAGAAACATTTGCTTAGACGTTTTTCGAAATTAAAAAATCTGTGATTTACGAAATCATATTCTCATAAGTCATTCAGCAGGTAAATTATTATTGAGAGTAAGTCACTCTCTGCTTAAGAACCCATTTGCCGATTCTTCTCGCCGCAAAAGACGAGCCCTCTTATTTGCGCGGAAGAAAAGCGGTATACACCACTTTACGTCAGGCGCTCGGAATATTGGAACTTTGACGTGCTTGTATTACATTACTGTAATGTATTTAAAACATCTCGGCGCTGGTGCGACTTTAGAGACTTGAACTTAAAGAGTTCTTTTGCTCGCTTTAAAAGCAAATTTTGTTCACGTGTCTGCTCTTTCAGAGTGCAGAGGCAAACCAGTCTACACAGAGAGATCAAATTGGTTAATTTTATTTTACTCCATCTTTTTACTTTTAATAGAAGAATTTACAGCGACCGCTGGAGACGACGGAACAATCCTGAATTCGGCTTAAACATTCCACCAAATGGTTACTTAAGCGAAGAGTTGAGCGAGGAGGAAATCATCTTTGACCGAGCAGTTCTGGAACGAAAAAATAGTTCATCGAAAAATGGTTTCTCTATAGCGACATCCTGGACATCTTCAAAGTGGCTGTCACCTGACCATTATTCAAATATTCAGTCTTCAGGTGCAAAACAAGAACAGAAAATATGGACATTGACCGAAAAGCCGAGATCTACCCCTCTAATGGCTGTTCCTGAGAACACTGAAAACCCTGAAGCAGAGATTTTGACCGCCAATAAGAATCTGGATCCAAAATTAACGGAGTCTTGGTTATCCACTTCATCCCTGTCTGAATCAGAAAATTCCACACCGGCTGAAATATCTCGGTCTGGATCTCTCACCAGTGTATCTATATTTTCACTGACACCTGAATTTGGAGGTCTTGACGATGAATTCTCCTCATACGAGTCAACTTCAAGTTGTGGCCTTCCTGACACTAAAGTATCCGAATCACTGCCTGCAACAACCCTCTCGACTACTGCTTCAACTGAATCCTCAATTGTGACCATCCCTGAAACATCATCATTACCAAACCCTTCTACTCCTCATCAGTTCTTCAGTTTGTTCCTTAACCCGGCTTCTTCTGATAAATTGGCACACACCTCGTCGATGGAACCAGATCGCATCAGTTCGTCCTCAGAGTCCTGCAAGACAGATGCGACCCTCCCAGAGCCATCGCCTTCACCACACTCATCTGCTACGCGGCTGTCCTCAATTCTAAGTCTACAGCCGGTCTCTTCTGATGAACAAACACTAACATCGTCAGTAGCAACGGATCGCAAATCCTGCAAAATACCCGTGGCTCCTCGTAATGAGGTTGTTATTAGAATAGACGATGACGAGGACAAAGAAATCTTTCACTCGAATGAAAATAATGAAGAAATAGTTGGCAAGGATGTGAAATCAGCGGGTCAAGTATCGATAACAATGGAAGATATGGTAGAGGAAGCAAGCAAAGACACGTTGTTTGTCAGTCGAGTGTTGTAAAACAGGTTGCAAAAAACTGGTTAAATTCTTAGATTTACCGTACCAAATCGCGAATCTCACCCGTAAAAACAATTTGTGAATGAGCTTGAATCTTTCAATTAATATGCTTTTGAGTAAATGAACTCTAATGCTTGGTTTCGTCACGGTGTTGACATCATTGATAGAAAATAAAAATGTCAACAACAATTGAGGATTGTATCGATACTTTTTCCTCCTTTTTTTATTCAAAAAGGTTATCAGTATATCTTAAAATCTGAAGACAGTAAATAAATTTATTCAGAGTTTCTTAGCTCACATACGTGTTTCCGTTCAGCTCTGCTGCTGAATTTTTTATTCATGTTGTTCTAATAGATATTTGCCAGAATTTTATTTCTCCTTGTGAATATTTTCCCTTCCTTCAGATTGTTCAATGTTCTTTTGGTGCCCTTCCCACAAACCCTGAAAGCGAAGTTGTTTCTCAAGTAACTAAGATTTATATTTGATGAATGAATTTGAAAGTGAAATGTTAACTTGCAGCACACCTGCTAAGATAATTGCTCTACTTGATCCTGAAGTAACTGTCCCAGTTCGTATTCGCAAATACTGCTGTAGATGTAAATCTACTGAAGTTTTACATGTTGCCGTCATACAGTGGTTTTCAAATAGGAAAATGCTAAGGTTGTAACCATAACATCAGCATAAACATTCGCTCAGTGGATGATGTCATATCATTAGACAATACTCGACATCTCGCCCACTTGGTCGTTACTAATTTCACTCTAGTGGGAGGTGTTAGGCCAGATTTTGTTTATCTATTATTAAACGTTCTTGTGTGTTATCTTAAGCCATTTTGAAGTGTCGATGATGTATGAAATTTCTTTACTTGAGTATACGTCATGAAGTTGAATGACAAGGTGTGAATCAACGTTCATAATCTCGTGACAAAAAAAAACATCTGTTGTCCCACCCTCCAAAGTGTTCTTTGGACTCGGATAGATAGCACGGGTCCGAGCTAATATTTCACAACAGTTAAGAGTTGAGGTTTTGAGCGTGGTAAGCACGTATCTGTTCAGCTGTTTTAGTTGTTCTACCAGGACTACAAGATGAAAGTTGCTTTGGTTTTGGGCTTAGCTTTCTTCTGCTCACTCTGGTCAGGAGGTAAGCTGATGTTTCTTTTGCGAAATACTCTACTCATGCGTGTGGTGGTTATACGATTTGCTCGAAGGCCGCTTTTAGCTCGAGAGTGAAATCTGACATTGTCGTTTCTCTTGGAAATACATATTGCCGATTGAGAGTCAGTTCGTCGGCTAACAGTTATTCTTTTCTCGTGGTTCACGTACAAAGACATCGACGGATCAAAAACAAAAAATAGTTGGAATCAATAACGATCGATGGTCGATCACGAGCATGTAGATTTACTTTAGTGACGCAAAGCTTGGCAAGTGAGACGGAAAGTTCAAACTTCTAGACTCTCAATCAATCATAATGACTGAAGATAGGATTTCGATTGTTTTTTTTTTGTGTGGAAATTACCATTCCCGTATTTCGAGATAACTTTGTTACATACATTTGCGCTGTTTAGATTGGAGTTATGTTACGAGAACAGAGTAAATTTGCGAATGATATAACGACAGTGTAAGTCCAATATTTTTTCCGCATTCAAAGAATTTCATGAATCCTCAACTACTGGGATCTGTAAAGAAGTTTGCTAAATGTCAATACTGAAGCTAGCCTTTCCTTTTGTTAACTTTTTACATTTTGTATCATGGTCTTCCACACATTTTAATTAAAAACTGTATAGCTAGTCTGGTCGATAATGTAATGCCGCTACTCAAATTAGCATAGCTATTTGTGCTAGATATGCAGGTGAAAGTCGCGTCCATTGAATTTCGTTTAATTAAAAATTTTGTAAGACACCTTCTATACCGAAGGCAACCGCAAAAGCAGTTGAAACTGGCTTGTGTGGAAAGTTGCGGAGATGACTGCCCGTAGTTAATTTTAAGAAATGATCTCCCATATATATCCGGTAGATTATAATGGCTCTCCGAGTTGTTTTGCTGTAGCTCGGCTCAGTGGTCTGTTTCAAGAACATGTTGGTAGTTGTTTGACTCGCAAGAATAGTAATGCAGGTCTTAAGTTTCAATTTAACGTTGATTCATATTGATCTTGAAAATTTTACCTCGAAGAGCACGGTGGTGAACGCGTCAGACAAAACCGAAATGTCAAACGCGAAATGATAGCAAGCTAAGTAACGAAAGCAGAATGCCGGTAAACAATTTAAGGAGGCTCCCTTGGGTTTTTTGACCGCGTGAGATCTGGGTGGGAACATTGTGTGAGCTTGAAAAGTGTCAATATGCAGAATAAAAAATGGTGGCTTGACACGATTGCATGATTGTTATCTGAAAAGCTGTTTTAAACAGTTTATCATATAAACAATGGTGTTATGCAAGAATTTCCAACCCTTAGAAAAGCTGTAACAACACACATGAAAAATATCATACTGTTTCACCTGTGTTTGATATCACCAATCAGCTGTTGGTATGTCACTTGCTTTTCACATCACTCGGTCAGGGTTGATGAATGAACGACAAAGCCTTCACCATTCTCAATCCATGGTCGTTTGTTGGAATTTTTTTTGGATTATAGCTGCTAAAATACTGAAAAATCTGTAACACTTACAGACAGTGATGTTTAAACGCTCCTAGAAAGGGAGGAAAACCAAAATGTGGAAAGAAAAACTGAAAGTTACATATTCAGAGGTTTATTAATGGCATTTATTGTGGCTGAGAACAAAGATCGACAACTGAAAGGTTTGCTACAGGCTGATTGTGGCTGTGTGCCTGAGAGATTTCTTCTGTCAGCAAGGACCAAGTCAATAACCGAGAATTCTGTATATTGAAAATTACACCTATTGTTTGTTTTTGTAGTGTTTCAATGCATTTTTTCATATTGAGCCTTAGCACCAATGCACTTTACGATTTTCATTCAGGAATTATCTATCCTTTTATTTTCATTTGTTAAGAAAAGTTGAATTTTCTTGTCAGTGATGGAGCTATCGTGTTTATAGGATAAACAAAATAATACATGGTTGCTTGTAGATATGAAATTTCTCCTCTCATGTCCAACTCGAGCTCACTTGTGAGATATCGAGTTCACTTGAACACTTGAAGAGAAATTCCATATCTATGCATGCCCATATATTATTCTCTATTTAACACAGTACAGTTTTTAAATGATGGAATCTAGGGTTTCCAGCAATATTCATTGGCCTTTATGTCTGATAAAGAGGTGAACCAAAAAGAAAACATCTTGGGAAAGATTGCTAAAGGGCAATAGATTTGAAAGGTTATGCGTGCTCATATATACATCTTGGTGAACTTCTATTCCATTATGTATGTTTTGTGACAAAGAAATAGGGATCTTTCGAGCAAGATTTATGGCATTTCCATCAGTGGAAACAATGGTACTTCCTAGTTGACGATACTTCCTAGTACCTGTTGGTAAAAAAAGTTCATAAGACCAAATTTGAGATAGAGGAAGAAAACACAAAATTGCAAATAGCAAGGAAGTTACCTTTGTAACCCCCATTTTTTTTGGCTTTTAAATGATTGGTGGGACAAATTTCTCAAACTGAAAATTTTGAGAGATTTCATGGCATCAAATTGATTTAAATCAAAGGCAAAGCCAAATTATCAGTGGCAAGGACCTCCATTCATGTAGCCTGGCTTAATAACAGAAATCATTTTGATAATATTTCCTACAGCAAACATGCAATAGTCTGAACCTTGCTTATCGCCTGTTGATTGCTTTGAGTGACCTTGAAAAACAAAAACAAACAAATTTTTTAGAAAAACATTACTCTGGTGTGTACACCAGCACTGAGCAAAAACTCTACAGAGCCTCCTTAAAGTAGTAGTATGTTGTGCGATTCAAGAGAATTCTGATCTTTAAAAGGACCCATCTACTTTTGCAGCTACTCTAAATAAATATATACATATATAATATATATATATATATATATATATAATTATATATATATGTATGTATGTACAAGTATATATGTATTTATTGTTTTTAGTTATTACTGTTATTTCAACATTATTTTTATATACCAAAGACCACCTTGCAAAAACTAAAGACAAATTTTAATTAAGAACTGGATGTTTCAATGTCAACCATCATGAGGCCATTATCAAAAGGATGATGAAGATTTAAATACAGCAGTGAGACCTAATAGATTTAAATAAACTGAAATAAGATATGAAACAAAGACCTATGCACAAATACAGCCAGTTTACAGGTTCATATGTTAGACTGGCCTGTGTATTAAAAAACAAGGCACTCAAACTTGTTCTCACTTTTTCTGTGGGTTCAGTATTAAAATGCTCATCTTGTTCAAGTAGTGTTTCCTATGAAGATTGCCGAAAGACATTGACAGTAGATAATTGCACAAATCCTAACCAGACATGTTACCAAGCCGAAGTGAAGTCTGAGAAAGGAGATGTTGTAGAATTTTTAGTGCAAAAGGGATGTCTTCAAAAAGATTTCTGTGATGCATATAGCAAAGGGGACATAGGATTTTGCAATACAAAGAGACTATACAGTATACTATACAGTATACAAAACTATACAGAAGACTGCAAAAGAAAGTGTTGTTTTGATGGTGATGAGTGTAACAAGGAAAATCTTCTGAATCCGCCAATTGACCAAGTTAACTGCACTGTTTGCAGTGGAGTTGTTTTACGAGAAGGCATATTTGCATGCATATAATATTTCGATAGTTGAAATCAACTTTTTTGCATGCTTTTACATGTAGTTTAATCAATCCTGAACCATTGGGCTGTGTAGAAGCTTTGCTAAAGTTGGCATTTTACCCTTAACTTCTTATGTTTTGCATCATGAATTGCAGCACAATTTTAAGTTAAATAAAATTAATAGTGTAATGGCCTGTTGATAATAAGTAGCACAACTGCATATAGATCTACATGACATACCATGAACATGTGCCATCCACATTAAATTTCATAGTAGGCTCTGATCCAATCTTTTCAAGATTTCTTAATTAACATTTCTTTACAACCCAAGGAATTCCCCATCACTAAAAGTTTCCTGAGAAGCAACTTTTGATGGTGCAGCTACTCTGAGGAAAAAAGGTTTCTTTTCTCTTAATTCCAAGAGTAATTTGTATCAAAAATCACTGTGCAAAAATTTAAGACAAACTTTCAGTCAGAAGCTATGGTTTTAATGTTTTCATGAAGGGATTATGAAAAGAATAATGATGTTCCTAGTTAATATTTCCAGGAGACATACATGAACATGTAACAGGGTTAAATATGCCCTTTTAACCTCCTAGAGTACCTGGGTCTAATTTCTCTTTACAATATCACCCCTGACTCACCCATTCGCGTCATGAGAATCAAGGAGGTGATCACCAACTAAGGAAGCTCTGGATTGTTCAACTAATTCTCCTTATCAGCACCTTAGGAAATGTACAAAGAACTGTATGGAGAATGTGCATACTGATGTTAAGGCATAAAATAAGGTATCAAATCCTAAGCAGTTATTGGGCACCCTCTATGTGCTCAGCTTTTAACACAGCTATTACATTTATTAAGTCAAGTATATTTCTCTAGTAGGAATTTCTTTTTTTTTTATCACCTCAGGTTTGCCTTTAAAGTGCTCATCTTGTTCAAGTGATGTTTCCTATGAAGATTGTCAAAAGAATTTGATGACAGTAAACTGCACTGAGGACCAGGCTTGTTTTCAAGTAGACACCAAGTTTGAGAAAGGGAATGAGGTAATAATTGCTATTCAAAAAGGATGTGTTGGAAAAACCTTGTGTGATGATTACAGCAAAGGGGAAATTGGGGAATGCAAAACAAGGAAAGCACAAGGATATACAGTGGACTGCAAAGGAAAGTGTTGCTCTGATGGTGATGAATGTAACAAGGAAAATCTTCTGCTAAACAACCAAGGCTCTGCATTTGTAATCAGTGTAATGGTCTTGCTGCTTAGTGTGCTCTTGACACTTGGTAATGTAAATTGACTTTGAAAAGCTTCTGTTTCTATGACCTATCAACCTTTGAATCTGTTATTTAAGGGGTAAGTTTAAAAATCCTTATAGGGTTCTTAAAAACCTCTAGATTCTCTTTAACTCTATGACCCATAACAGTGACTAACATCAAACATTTAGGGTCACAAGAGCAAAGCAAATTATCACAACTAAATAAATTCTTGATTGTTAAACAAATTCTCCTTGTCAGCACCTTAGGAAATGTAGAGAGACCAGTACAGAGAATGTGCATACTGATGTTAAAATGTAAAGGGTTTAAGAAACTGGTTGTTCATTGGGCATCAATTATCAGAGACTCTATAGCTTTAGAGCAGAATCCTCCAGTTAAACTTCCATTGCCTAAGCTAATTTTTATTTTCAGACACATAGGATATTCTTCAGTTATTTTATGCTATCATAAACTGCTTCTACTATTCATAATGAAAACAGTACTAACTTAATTGTCTTGTTTCTCTTCTTTTGTTTAAAAAAAACACGAGGAGAATTGGATGTTCGGATCACAAACCCCTTTCAACATGCATCCTCATTTTATTACTGGACAAGACTGACTCATACTGAAACATGCTTTCCATTGTAATGTTTTATATGCTCCCATTTACTGTTTCACTCACAGAGGTGTTCATCATGTAGAGTAGCTTTGTGTTAGTTAATGCATTATGTAAGAAATAGGTGATGAAAAGAGACAAAATATTATTTGTAAGAGGGTGCCTGTCAGATCGGGATATACACACATCCCTTTTACATATATCACCGAGTTCTCTTAACTAATAAATAAGAAATGTATGTGAGTTACAATGCAAGGTATTTAAATCAGATAAGTAGGGTTGAACATGAAATAGGGGCAGAGGGGGGCAAATTTCTCCTATAACCGGTTAGCCCTTTGATTCCCAGAAGTGATTAACATGCAACTTCTCCTTATAAAATATATATATTATCCAGCAAACAGGTAATGAGAATACTCAGACTTATCATGTCAAAGTTGTCAACTTGATCCAACACAAAATTCTCGTCACTAATTTACTAAGAAAAGTGTAACAGCTAGAGAGGAGAATTAACAATCAGTTCTTGGGAGTTAAAGGGTTAACCTAAAAGGGATGTCAATCTTAATTTTCTTCATATCAAGTTTCCTTTTCAACATTTCTTTTTGTTTTTTTTTGGCACTCTTGTCCAGTGTATTGATTCATCCACCAAAGTTGGGAGTTTAAAGTGTAAACTTGCAGACTTCTTTTCAAGCCAGATCTTGTGAGAATCTTACTGTTGAAGGCTTTAGAGCATTTTTGAACAAAAATGGTTGGTTTGTGACTCCAGCAAGACTTGATATAAGCAAATGAGCAGCTGTAGTATTCATTTTCCAGTTTTTCTTTGATTTTCCAAGGAAATGCGCATCTCATTCGAGAAAATGATTTTGAGCTTTTTATAATCATAGGTAAGATTATATATAGGTTGATTAAGATACTAGCTGATAGGTTTTACCAGTAATGGATACATAAGTAAACTGAGGTGAATTAAAAGAGGCAGTATGTAAAGAGCCTGTAAGGGGTTGATTTTTTAAAAAAATGCTATTTTATGGTTTTAAACCAATTAGCAAGGAAGTGCGTGAATTCTTTTATTTTGAGCTGTGTTTGTGTTCATGCCATTGCTTAACAGCGTGTCCGTAGGCTCTCATAGACACTGTCTCATAAGCGTCTTACTGCTTCTTACAAGCCGGTCTGCTTTACCCGTCAGTGGAAGATCTACAGAGGTGTGGCACAAGAAACGTCAGAAAGACGTCCCAGATAGCAGCACCTGTGAAAGCATGCTTGCAGTTTAGTTATTCTATAGCATAGACTTAGTGCTCCCAAAAATAAAGGATCTGTCGTTGCAATTTTTGTTGAATTATGTGTTAGACTGGAGCTTAAAGTTATCTGTCTATCTAAATGGTTCTACTGGATATTTGGGTGTCTATAATTATTAGAGAAGACTGTTCCCCTCATGTTATCCATTGGAGACGAGCAACGTTTCCCTTTGTTGTTAGGAACGAACAACGCTTTAAGAATCTTCATAGAGTTGTCGGAAACAAAGAGCGCTTTAGTGATAAAAAATTTCCAACGTTATTGCCTATTAACAGTCTGAAATTCTGATCTTTTTTAGTATTTGTTTCTTCGGGCGACTTGACTTTTTTTTCGGGCGACATTACTAAAATTTCGGGAAACATGACTCAGGTTTCGGGCGCCATGACTTCGGGCGAGATGACTCTCGTGCGACTTGACCAGTTACCTTTAAATACTCATAGCTCTATACCCACAATGCGCCTTCACGGAAGGCTTAGGCCCTGTTCCTCTCGTGCCGCAGAAATATTTAACTTCCGGCTTATTCGTGGACACCTGAAGGCCAGAAATTCCTTCTTGTTGCATCCGTTGTCCTATGAACCCGCTTTTCATTAATTTTACCCCATCCCCCCCACACCCATTTTTTTTTTTACTTGCCGTTACAAACAACTTTTAATTTCTTAAGTTTTAAGCTGTTGAACGCGTGACAACGAGGGCGAACTTTCAGGGAGCTCCACTAACACTTCCTTTTTTCTCAGAAAAGCGGGAACTGCCAATCTAAAGCTCTGTCGTGGGGTGATCTCTATGAGAAATTGAAAGCAAGCGAAGGCATCGACTCTCTTTGCTGCAAATTTCCCGAAATATGGCTCACTTTTTAACAGGTGCTGTTATGAATGGTTTTCTATCTTTAGTAAGCTGTTTTGTGGTGTTGTTTATCTTTTAATTCGCAAACTGATCAACGTTTTGTCGCGATCCTTAGCCGGAAATTACGCGATAATAATTAGAAGCGTGAAATTTTAGCGCAGCTCCTTTAACGCAGCTGTTTTTAGTGAAAATCAAAACGATATATCAACCAAACCGGATTTCTTGCTTGAAGTCAAACTTTCCCTGGCAGATTTTGGCCAAGACGTAATAAGCCAACAATTGATATCGACGATTCTCTGAAGTGAAACTTCTGACGTAAATTAAAATTGGGGTCACTTCCTCGCTGATCACTGCAAACAATTTGTTTCATGATAAGGGTAAGTTTCTAAAAAAACTGTGGTGCTGCCCATATTCAGTGAGTGCGAGTGGAAATTTTTCCTTTATAACCAAACCTAAAAATAACCTAGAAATCTTCAAAGATTTATTGCGAAAAGTACAGCCGCGTATTCTGAGAAAAAGGCCGGCAGGAGTCATATTACATTTTTCCCAACTGACTGGGTCCATGAGGGTATAAAGTTGTAATCTCTTGCTGGTTAGGAATGCTCTTAGCTGAGTACGAGCCATCTGAGTTTGGGTATGGATCGCCTGTGTACAAAACGTTCGTGGCATGGACACGAAACGACTGGATGCCGAACTAGACCTCTATTAAAAGTTGACGTAATCAGTAGTAAAGCTCATCCCGCGAAGCCCGCGACATGCATTTCAAATACAGCAGCGGTAACGAGACTTCGCTCGGAAGCTAAGCATGATGGGTAACGACAGTGGCAAAGGCAGAAATGACCTATTTTGCTCGCTTTTCTAGTGCAAATGCTTCTTTCCCCAATTCTGATAGATAATCAAATTTTTCAATCAACAATGTTTTAGCGTGCTGGACTGCACGAGAGTATTATGTTCTCGGTATTACATTTCTCTCTTGTCCTATCTTTTCTTATCTGAAAATTACTCTATTCATTATTATGAACTATTTGTTACTTTTTCCTCTGCCAAGCATCGGAACGAGTGATGTAGGAATTCGATATGCAAATTTAGTAGCGTTAGCACGGTCTTAGGAGTCTGGGGGAGAGCACGCATTATATTGAATATAGCGGAGTCAATCTCGTAACTAGATCCTATCGAGTAACTGGCCCTGGAAGGAGAGACAATGGTGTTGCAATCGCGGAGGACTTTGATGGACATGACGGCTAATTTTGTGCCAGAGGTGTGACGCGAATTTTCCCATCAATCGGGATTTTGCAATTGATTACTCATGAGCGTACTCATTTTTATCGAGTCTATTTTGCAACCTTAAACTTCTGATGACCCGATGAAATAAACAGTTTTATTATACACGTAATAACCACGAGTTCACCAAAGTGTCACTTTGATTTTTTCTTACTAGGAATTAAAGAATACTTTTTGGGTACCAAAAATCAATATGTCGCCACGGTTGCAATTGATCTTGGAACAGTTTCCAGTGGCTTTGCCTATACACTTCATACGAACCAAAGTCAAGACTCGATTTTCGTGAACAGTGACTGGGTGAATGAATTTGGTCATCGAACGAGCAAGACCCCTACATGCTTGCTTCTCAAACCAGACCTTTCATTCTACGCCTTTGGGTACAAAGCGTTGGAATGGAATGCATATTTTCAAAGCACCCACGAAACACAAGACATGTTGTTTTTTGAGGTTTTTAAGAGAGATTTGCATAGTGATAAGGTAAGTAAAGGGGACTTCTAAGTCGCCTTTCCTTATACGGAGGGAGCGTGGGTAACACGCGAGCCAGGGACAAGACACGCTCCCTCCGACCTTCGTGCGCGTTACCTCGTTCAGTAATGCCGTTCTTAATCGGTGCGCTAAGGCAAATAGAGCGCCTCTTACACCATTCTCGTTTCCCGAGCCCTCTGACCTTCGTGCACGTTACCCGGTTCAGTTATGCCGTTTTGAGTTACTTGCGCCAAGATAAATAGTGTCTCTTACACTATTCTCGTTTCCAGAGTCCTCTGATCTTCGCGCGCGTTACCCGGTTCAGTTATGCCGTTCTGAATCACTTGCGCTAAGATAAATAGAGCGCCTCTGTTACCATCCTCGTTACCAGAGCGACTTGTTCGCACTCAAGACTACGAAAGAAAGAGAGGACTCTGGGAACGAGAGTTCTAATTCACAAGCTAAATCTGAAAAGTGACTTGCATAGAGGTCTTGTTGGAAACGTATTTAGATTAGGCGGCCAGCTATAACAGAATCTAACAAACTTGTCATCAACTGCATTAGAAGTATAAACAAAGGTTGCTTTAGTTTGCCATGATAAGGTAATCTCTAAATTGTTCGTAGATCGTAGACTTCGACTGTACCCTTAAAGCAGCAAACGGAAAGAGTATAAGAGCCATAACAGTTTTCGCACAGTGTATCAAATTCTTCAAGGATGAAGCAGTGGCCTGTGTAAGGCGAGAGGTTGGAGAAGATGAAATTGATGATGAAAAAATATACTGGGTTTTTACTGTACCTCAATCTTGGACGGGAAGATCTAAGCAGTTCATGAGAGAAGCAGCTTACGAGGTAACGCATATCATTGCGCGGCAAGACAGTTATGCGAATATTTCAATTTGCAGATTAGCAACTCTTTGTGTTTTGTGGGAACACAGTTTTGCTCTTCTATGTTATTTATATTTCTGCTGGGAAGTTTTTTTGCGATTTTATGTTAGACGTTGATTAAAAGAAACCGAGAGAATATAAATTGAGCTCAGTTTATGTTCCCGTGAAGAATCCTTGAAATTTTTCTAACCTATCGAAAGATATAGACGGAAGATACATAGACGATTCGCGCGTGGATATTTCCAGTAAATTCCATACTACAACGTATGCGGTGCGAATCAAGACAGACAAATCAGGCACACCCTGTGCTGCACAGGCTTTTGATAATGAAAATCTCCATTCATCTCTCCCATAGGCTGGTATTGGCTCACGTGGTAACTTAGGACAGCTGATGATTGTCAGTGAAGCTGAAGCAGCCCTGGAATTTTGTGTAAAGACAGATCTAAGCACACCCGTTTTAATCGCTGATATTGGAGGTACTCATCTCAATATATTCTGAGTTGTCAGAATTTGGTAACATCGGTTTTTAACGACCTGCAACTCAACGCAAAATATATAACATTGCTGCTTTTATTAGAAGGCATTCCACTGGCAAACTAAATTTATGTGCCGACTTTATTCATCCTAATCTCGTACCCAGATCCTACCGTGTTACTGTACAACCGCTTGGCCGTGAAAGGCCTGGGTAGGCGACTAAATTTATCCCACTGAAAAAAAGAACCTTTCTTTATCAACCAGAGCAAGAAAAAACACACAAGAAAAATTATTGGGCTTATTTTCATTTGTTGTACAAGGGAGGTTGACTCTTCTGACTTGCGTCTAAAAACTTTAAACAGAAGTTATTGGGAATAACATTGATATTTCTCACCAGGAGGGGGCCTGGAAATGACTCTCTTTGAGCAACATAATGAAGGAAAAGTCGTTAAGACCGACAAGGTGACTCGTCCTGCGAATACCGCTGTTCATGAAGAAATGTTCCTGGAGCTTTTAGAAAGGACGTTTGGGGAGCAAAAAGTTCAAGACTATCAGAAGCTGTACCCAAGTGATTTACACCAAATCTTTCAGAACTTTGAAGCAAAGAAGCGCACTTTCCGATTCAAAGAGACAAAGATTCAATTACCAGGCAGTTTTGTCAGTTTCGTGAACGATTTTCTCTCTCCATCCATGAAACATTACAGTAAGGGGGAGGTTAGAATAGTGGATGATCAGTATCTTTGTCTGTGCGCTGAATGCATGAAAACTCTTTTGAAGTCTGTGGCAGAAGATGCAATAACTGAAATGAAGGCTTTCCTCGGCAAACCGCAGCTTTCAGAGGGTGTTAGGATATTTCTTGTTGGTGGACACGCTGAATCACTTCACCTCCAGGAAGAATTCAAGAGGGAGTTTTCTGGCCGTCATGATGTAACGACGTATCGTGACGCCTCCCTTGCAATTGTTAAGGGTACTATGATGGTTGCTAAGGCAATGAATTCAAATAGGGAATCAGGGATCATTGGTGCATGTTATGGTGTCGACTGTTCACGAAATTTCGTTCGAGGTCTGCATCCACCAGAGAAGAAATTCTTTGCTGATGGTAAAGCGAAATGCAGAGATCTTTTTCATTGCATTGTTAAGAAAAATGATACCATCAGACGCGGAGAGAAAATCTCTGTAAGATATCGTCCACTCTATGCGAATGAAACAGAAATTAAATACACCTTTTACGCCTCACAGAGGTCAGACGTCGACTTTATTTTCGTTACAGACCAGGACGTGAAAGAAATTGGAAGTATCGTAATCCATTCCCCTGATACGAGGAATGGTCCGGAAAGAGATATTATAGTCAGCATTTATTTCGGAGGAACAGATTTAATAGCTTCGGCTTGGGATGTAACGAGCGGAAAGAGGGCTCAAACAACCTTGGAGGTGTCCCCACCTTTTTAGAACCGACGTAAGTGATAGTTTACACTATGACGACCGAGCTAATCATGAGTAACGTCTGCGCATGTCAGTTATGTTGTGCTAAATATATTTTGTGCCGCTCTTGAAGAAAAGTCTGTAGCGAAAGTTTTAAGCTTAATCTCTCTACTTGCGTCTTACCGAGGGAAAAACCGCGCCGCTTTTAAAATTTTGGAAAAATTCCGCCATTTTAGTATATCGTTGCCATAGTTTCAAGCATGAGCTCTCGAAAGTTGCTGACATGGGCAGATATTTTTCATCTCTGTCCACTATGCGTAGTCAGGCCCTTTCGACGATATGCAAGGCATTCTCAAGAAGATGATTATATTAATTAGGACTATTTGTCTAAATTGACAGTATAGTTTATTAACCTGCAAAACGTGATGATTACAACAAAGTGAAAAGAAGTTCTTAAAGAAAAATCAGCACTATGCACAAATAGGAATACCCTTAGATCAAATCCAACTGTAGAGTGTCTTTTTGTTTACAATGCCCAGCTTTTATGAAATGGAAATAAAAAACTGGAAAATATAAAACAGAATATAATCTATTTTGTCCATCAAATAATGACCTTCGGTCCTTGGTTGTTATTGTTGTTGTTGTTTTGATCGCCATACTTGTAATAAACTTTCTATCAGTAATTTTCTGGGAAGTCTGTTCTCTTAACTCGCTACAGGATCACCTACTAGAAATGAAAGGCTTGAATTCTTCGATAGTACCGTATTTTTGCTTAATGTTAAGGTACAACCGTAAGAAAAGTGATGCATGTAAAAATTACAAAACGTCAACTTATTAGGAAAAGTCTTCTTTCTCAGACGCAAGGAAACTCAGTTCGAAGTTAGCCCCAGAGTTACTTCAACCTCTTTCACACCAAAGCCTCAACATGTTTTAAAGCTGTTTAATTTGTTAAACACGATTTAAATTCGTTTTCTTTTTCATATAGGCTACTTGAGGCACATTAAAAACAAAAGTTAGTGACGACTTGAAACCTATGGAAAATTCAGTGTTTCATTTCTGTTTCTTATTTTTATTCAGTTAAACCCGGTTTAACCAGACATGATTTGTTGGTGTGAATGGAGTATTCTTTATGCTGTGAAAGAAAAAATATACACTTCTAATAGAAAAAAATACGCCACAAAATCTGAATTGTTTGGTGCACTTAAATGACGGGTCCAGGAGGAGGGTCGATCCGGGAATTCGACCAATCCTTCCCATCAGACCTGTGGGTTTTTTACCGATTGTCTAATACTAAGATTCCTACTACGACAGGATCGTATGTCACGTTACTACACAATATCTCACATTTACTTGTCTCGCAATATATCTTAGCTTTTCTATGATTACGAAGTGGAAATTTTCTTGTATGCTCTGGATCAAAAATTGGATTCCTCTATTACTAATTCTTGGACCCGCCCCTTCGTTGTCAATCTACAGTTACCTAACTTAGTATTTTCTCGTGACATAACACGTTATTATCATTACCAATGACCATATCAACTTCTTAGCAGCTAGTACGCATGAAACAAACATCAACAGACCGCTGACCCTTTGTCCCTGCACAGCACCATTACATTTGTCATCTTCGCAGCACGTGACCGAACACTCGACTGAGTAACCCTGCCTCTTCTTATCCTGACATGTAGGGACCTGGGTTCCATCTTTCTCATAAGTCATACATTCATTCCCGTTTGCGCAGGTTTTGAAGAATATGTGCTCTGTCTTGGAATTTTTTGAGAATGAGATCTTGCCTTTTATACACATATAATCACCCCGTTCACAAGTTCTTGAAATTGTTTTGTTGATGCAGTCTTCCCATGACGTATGGGCGAAGCATTCGTAACATTCATTCGGGGAGGAACCTGGAAATGAAAAACAAAAACACAGCGTGTTATCTACGTCTTTTCCCAAATATCTGGAATTTTTTAGTTTAATTAATGTTTCAGATGCATATATGAAGAAAAATGTTACGTTCGTTACGATATCTTGACATATCGATTTTTTTTTCAGTTGATGGCTGACTCCTTGCCATTTTTCTTGAAACACTCAACCTTTCCCAGAAATAAGTCAGTTCAGCGGTTCCGCTTTAGAGCATTAAATTTCAAGCCAGTATCAAGTTTTTATTAAAGCGGAAGACAAACAAACAAACAAGAAATTAAAAGACAACTTTTCATCGTGTGATAGCGAATCAGTTTAGAAATGAAATAAAGTTGAGAGAACTTCTTAAACAAATTCTCGAAAGGACTTCTGAAAAATTAATCCTAATCGGTAACAATTCTGATTAGGGCATACCTACGTTAACTAAGGGTACGTATATGTAATTTTTAGATAGTTTCATCTGCCGTTGCCATTCTTGATGGCCAAATCTCGTTCCATAAATGCTTGACAAAAGGTGTTTTTTTTGTAAAAAAATATTTTCTTTGCAATATGTCTAGGTAGCATCGAAGTTACCTCCATTTCGTTAAACAATGTTCAATGCTACAAATATACAATCCAATTTTTGACATTGTACCGTTTCTGTCTATCTGTCTCTTGTCCTTCACAAGGAAAGAAAGTGTGGATTCGAAATTGTTTTCCTGATGGAGCTTTGCGGTGCCTTAGTCTAAACTAACTTCCTGCTAAATCATTCCCTTTTGTTACCGTGAGCCAAATAACTTCTCGCTGAATAACTTCTTGCTGAGCGTACTAATACAAAAGATTAAATAAGATTTCTGTAAACTTATAGGCTTTAGAATTCGTACGTAGTGTAAATGCATTTCAGCTATTCTTTTTCGATGTTTAATGACAATACTGGTTAGCAAAACACTCGCTTTTAATTCAACCACAACTTGATAAGGAAAGATCACTTGCGGTGGCGAATTCGCAAAGGAAGTTGTTTTCCTTACGTAAACAAACTTAATTCTTTTGGAAAGTTGAAAATTATTACAAACTTTATTTATTACTCATATATCATAGGAACAAATAACGAGAGCGATATTGATATCTCCTAATGAAAGAAACTGTTAGAAGAAGGAAATGACTTTTTTTCTTCTTTTAAACTGTTACTGGTTATACTGAAATGCAGCTGTCATTATTTTGAATCTTTGGTACGTAGTTTTTACCGTAAACAAAAGTTTTACCTTCTCTTTTTGTGATACGAATCTGTAAAAATTTTTTATCAACTACCGGCTAATCTTTAGAAGAAACTCTCCCCCATAAGGTTTTCTTTTTACAGACTGGAGTTAATTAAAAACCTTAGCTACTGTTGACTCACTAAAAATGTATTATCAACTCACCGTGTGCAACTAACGGGAAAAGATATGCACCAAATATTAGCGTGCACAAAATAATTGAGCTCATCCTTGGGCGTCCTTGCTTACACGTTTCTCCTTTTCCTATCGCTCAGAGGGCCTCCGAGTAAAGGCAAATGAATGCAAACTCTTGAGTACTTCTGAAGATGCAAGCTAATTTCATATCGACCCATGAGGTCCGTTTTTAATTTTCGCAGTTGAAGTTGAACTGATTAAAAATCCCCTAGCTGCGAAATCAGATATTCATAAAACAAACTTAGTCAAAGAACCAGACTTATCGTCATTTGATTTTCCAAGAGACTGCTACACGCTGATGATTCTTAATTACAATAATGACAACATGGAAAATGGGCGATTAAATTCTTTTTTGAGCCACAATCGATAAATTCGTAGGACTGGTGTTCTTAGCAATTATCTAAGGCGATCAAGCGTTCTTTCGATGAGAGCGCGGCGCGAACGTAGGAGTACGTGCGCAGAAGAGAAAGGACGCTCTCCTCCCTAGATAGGCATTTAGTAACAGGTGGAGGGTATATTTTCTCATCATTTCTTTGACGCGCGCATGGAATCAAGTTTTATTTAATTAAGTAATAATGACATCACAACGCTATAATTCAAAGAGAAAATCACTGAAAAAGAAGGCGCTCTTTTTTCACATCCCTTTCTCTTTCTTACTAAAAAATCTTGGGAAAATGCAGTGTATGAGGACAAACTACGAGGGTTGCAGCCTCAATGGAAGGTAGGATTTTTTTTTCAGAAATAGATTGCAAACGTGAATTAAGGATTGCAAAACTGACTCCTACAGGCTACATACAGCTGTTCGCTGTAACTTTTTGTACTCTTCAATAGAATGGATGATCCAGAAGCTATTTACAAGTTTCCTAATCACTTTGGAAGTGAATATCATGGCGGAATAGTCGATGGAATGTAGGTTCTACATATAAACTAGCCATTTTCTACATTAATTTTGATAGCGCGTGTGCATTTCTAGACTTCAGGCCCCGGTTGTTCGAAGATCGGATAACGCCCTGGATAAATCTATCCGGTGGATAATGCTTTACGTTCTGCTATCACTTATCCGCTGGATAGCGATTTATCCGTTGGATGGTATTATCCACCCTTTATATAACTGGGCCCAGGTGTCCAAAACCAATATTTGACTGACCTTTACAACACTATATCTTGGCCGCCATTTATTTCATTAACACTATTACAATATCATCATCATCAAAGCAAAACAAATGTATATATTAATAATAACAGAAGCAGCTGCTGTCATGACAACAAAAATGACACTTTGCTCTATGAGGTGTGCGTCAAGCTTGATCTTGATGACTAGCCGCTGCTCGCGAAAGGAGCCTGCGTACCTCCCGAAGAGAGAAGGGCGGATTCGATTGCAAAAGAGCGGCGTAAATCGAGCCAAGGCATGAGTTAGTGGACTTATAGTTATTATCTTAACTCGATGATATTATCCACAGGTTTCATGGCGAAGGAAAATTAAAGTTTCGTGAAGGAGTACATTTTACTGGAAAATTCGAAAAGGGCAGGGCAGTCGAGGTAAACAAATTCCATGTCGATGAATCATTTTTTTACCTCTCGTCAATTTCAGTAACTGAAAACGCGAAAAAAGTCCATGTCAGTTTTCCAAAGTAAAAGTTGGAGTTCTTTGACGTGATTGGGTAATTTGTGAAATCTAGCGCGTCGCGCGTGAAAAAAAGATTTTCTACATTTTGACAGGTTCTCGTTTGACCTTACTTTACCTTTTTTCTACACAGGGTTTCTTCGAGTTTCAGGATGATATGCGATTTGAAATCGAAAATTGGGCTTACTGCGACGGTGACAATAACAGAGTTTTCAAGTCCGAGCTGGAGAATGGATTGAAACCAGCAGGTATGGTGTTAAGGTTATGTCACCAGTGACATCTGTCTGACGTCATAGTAATATATTTCTCCAACCCCACTTCCTCAACCTTTCTGTTCCGTGATACTCCTCTTTCTCACTTGCCATGATAGGAAGGATGTATTCAGTTTGCGAGCTCCTTTTTCTTCGTTGAAGTCCGCATTGCCATAGTTGTAGTTAATATTGTTGTAATAATGGATTTAAAAAAATACAGGCGTAGTCGTCCAATTAAAATTGTGATTGGCTCATTTCTTACGCTTCCAGGTCGTTCCCAGCTTACCAATATGGATCCGCCCCAAACCATACCTAAAGGAATGTATGACTGTGGAGACGGATTTTATGACCCTGTGGTACGCACGGTGATAAACTACGACTCTATTTTCTTACGCAACACGGGTAGGTTGTGCAATTGCCTTAATCAATCAATCACTTCACCTGATGGACATGGCATTTTATTTAAACCTTTGAACAAATGCACCCTGTACTTCATGCTTTTTAACACGCATGCACCATTTTGTTTAATTCACAGATGAAAAAGAGCATCAATGGATTGTAAATCGGTGCAGGAAGGCCTGGGACGAGCCAGTCGGCACTAGAAAGCTCCACTAGGTTAAGCAACTGATCTCTGTTGTGGCATATATTGGATAATTTTGATACAATTAAATAAAAAATGTTTAACCGAGAATAGTTTTTACTTGGTATTGATATACTGATGTTATACACAAACAAACCATCTCTGACGTCTAACCCTTTAACTCCTTCAAGTGACCAGCATTTAAGTTCTCCTTACAATATCACCCCCAAATCACACATTAAGGTTATGAGAATGAAGAGAATAGTACCAACTAGAGAAGCTCTGGATTATGAAAAAATTCTCCTCATCAGCACCTTAGGGAATGTATGGGGAACAGTATGGAGAATATGCATTCTGATCTTACGGTGAAAAGGGCGAAAGTAAATGAGGTTGTGTGACAAGTTCAGGCTTCAGGAACTGGAGGGGGAGGGGAGGATAAGGGACTTGTTTGATTAAACTTTATTCCAGTCTTCTGGATGAGTTGTCAAGACAAAGTCACTGAGAATCAATAAATATTTACAAGTGAAACTAGAGTGAAACATAACCAATAGGCTGTTTTGCATAAAATCTATATTTTATGTAATTCTCTCTATCAGAACCCACCTGCCATACATGATACAATGATTTTGAATCCCTTTTTTTACATGACTAATAAAAATACTTCACATCATTTTGTAGCAAGTTGCAACCCATTAGAATATTGTCAAAGATCAAAATTTAGCTACACACAATTAAACCACTAAATCCCCTTCCAAAAATATCCTATCCAAAATTACATAAATTTATGCTTTCAGCTGGCTACTATTTACTATCATAAACAGCCACACTATGATATGAGAATTTCTGCAAATAGAAAACTTTGACTGACACACAACATGAATTTTTAATCAACACCCAATTGCAATTTTTGTAAATTTCCATAAAATATAGGAATTTCATTTTGTTGAAGTCACAGTTCTCACTCAACAAATATTCAGTCTCAGATAAAAAAACATTCATTTTCCTGAGACCAAAACAATTTTCTTTAATGTTAATGTATTTCAAACTTCACAAACCAATATTTTAAAAAACGTAATTAATTCACCCTTGGTGTCCAGATCCTGTACCTCCCACTACATCAACAATAATCATTCTTAAGACATAAAAATTTTTGGCTCAGATTTGAAGCCCATGGGAAGTTTGAAGGTAACAAAAGATGTAAAAGCATTTCTCATAGCACAGCTGAGAGTAACTGCAGCTCCTCAGTTAAGTGCTCTCCAAACTTCCCAATTGCTACACACAGTAATTTGATGAACACATGGAAGACAAATGAAACAATATTGTTTCATAACATTTCAATTGCATAGTTAATTAAAAAAATGTGTGTTAACTTTGGACAGAGAAACTCCCTCCATAACACTTCATTGCAGACACATGCCATCAGTGTACACATGGAATTATGAGGCAAGAACATGCTATTGACAAAATTACAAATTATACAAATTTCCTAACTATGATATAAAGTGCTTTTGACTTTATAAGTTATTCAGCCTCTACTCCTCATTGAAAATTACAACAATAGTAATGTAGAATTCACTCCACAAAAGATCTATTCATTATTATCATTATATTAATAATATTATTGGTAAATTATTTGGGGATCAATGTCAAAATCTGCTTAACTGAATACCTACCCCTCCCCTAACCCAACTTTTACCTTAACTTTTTATCAGTTGACTGTTCTTGGGTTATAGGGGAGGAGGGGGTAGGGTTGCAGTTGCCCAGATACTGACATCAATCCATTAACATTGTTTTTCCACACCATCATCACCATCATCATTTAAAAAAATCAAATCCAAAGCTGCTTCTAACAGCTATACAACAATACAGAAACAATAACAGACACAGCCCCCAAGATAAACAACACACCTGGAATAAAATAAAACACATATACAGAGACTAAACTTGAAAGAACTATGGCACAAGAAGTGGCAAATCCTTTTGTTATACACGATGCATATTTCAAAATCAGAGAAACAATAATTCCGCCAGCTGATGCAAACAAGATCACCAGACAAACAATGATGTCGTACCCATGAAAGAAGCCCATTCTAGCTATTTCTACTCCATCTTGGTATGCCACTCCTAAAAAGCTTAGAAAGATTCCAAAAGTGTACAGTTGTGCGTTTGAGATCCAAAACAGCTTTCTTTTTCCAGTTTTGAAGATTTTCTCCATGTAAACACCGGCAAATCCAGAAACCATAGAAGCTGCAAGAACAGAAGTAAATCCAAGAAAAGCTGATTGTTGGCTCTTTACAGAACTACTTGTGGACATTTCAGTTTCCACTGATGTGTGGGTGTCAATCTGAACCATTGTTACTCCAATAGCTAAGAGGACAAGTGAAATCCATTTTATTTTTGTAAGTTGTTTGTTGAGTAGGAGAATGGAGAATACAGCTGTGGTAAGGATTTTTAGCTGATTAGTAATCTGAAAGAAAGAATGAAGAAAACACAGATCAGATTCCATAAATAATTGTAATTGAACCAAGAGGTTGAAGTATAGTTTGAGCTGAAATCACGCCTTTGAAAGGGTTAACCCTTTAACCATCTAACTCCCATGGGTGACCAAGACAGAATTTCTCCTTACAGTATCAATAAAATATCAAGCAGATAAGTAATGAGAATAAAGAAAAATATTAATTAGGGGATTATTAGTTGATCCAATACCGTGACTACATTCTCAAAACTAACATCATAAGAGTTGTATGGCAGACAGTAAGGAGAATTGTCAACAAGATCTTAGGAGTGAAAGGGTTAACTCTCCAGATCTCATTGTTAATTCTCTCCTCTGGCTGCTACACATTTCCTTTTACTTAGCTGGTAGAATTTGGTGTTAGATCATGATAACAACTTCTACTGGATAAGTTTGAGTATTCTCATACTTGTCTGCTGGATAATGCATTAATTTGATATTATAGGGAGACTAGTAACATAGAGAAGGATGTTTTTTTTTTGTCTTTTCATGAGCATGGGAGAAAGACAAAATTGTGAGTCACCATGAGGAATTGAACCTCAGACCTTTGGATTCCACACTCCAATGCTCTACCACTGAGCCACAGAGACTCCATGGTGAGCGAGGTCCATCATGAAGTTCATATGACATACCTTCTGCATACTGCTAGGATCAACAAAGTCAAAAGCGTAATGTAGAAATAGAAATAAGAGAGATGGTTAGTTTTGAGCTTGGTAAAGAAATAGAGAAGGATGTTTTTTTCTGTCTAGTAACATGTTGATAATTCCTGGGAGTTGAAGAGTTCAAAAATGTCAATTGCCTTCTACCATACCATTTAACCCTTTCACTCCCAAGATCTAATTAGTAATTCTCCTTACTATCTGCCATACAATTCTTATGATGTTAGTTCAGAGAATTTGGTATTGGATCAACTAATAATCTCATGATTGATATTCTTCTCTATTCTCATCACCTGCCTGCTTGATATTGTATTAATATTGTAAGGAGAAATTCTGTATTGGTCACTGGTGGGAGTGAAAGGGTTAAAGCTGCCAATTTGGCAATATATCTGCAAAGTTTAAAAACAGACTTTTAAAATAGCAAAAAAGAATTGTCCACATTACCTGAAATGTTGTTGATTCCAAATGTGTCATTGCAATATAAACAAGATTGTTTTGTACAACATACAATAAAGATGGCACAGACAGACGAAATGTAGCCTTGTGATCCACAAACAAGTTTTCAATGAGATATGAAGTAAATGCTTTTACATTTCCACACTGAAAAAAGATCACCACTAACGTTGTGAAAAGTTTCACAACTTCTGCGAGAAAGACTGCTGTAGAAGTAAAGTACATTTTGTTTGATCTTGTCCTGGAGTAGCGAAGCAAAGAGAAATAGCAAGTAGCTTGGAGTGTTAAGATGACAAAGATGAGGACCCGAAACTGTGTGGATGATGTAAATGGCACAGTATCTGAAACACAAGTAAAAATAAACAGTTTTAATCATTCAAGTGCAATTCATGAAACTGAGAAAAAAATTGCTTATACTAAAGAAATGCTATGGTGATCCAAACAATTTTAACATTTTCACTCCCAAAACTTACCTGCAGGTAAATTCTCCCTACAATTCCAATATGATCTTTTATAGCAAGTTATAAAAACAGTCACAATAAGCCTGTTGGTAAGCTAGTGTTATCCTGATATAAGACCATATTCTCTTCTAGTTTATAAGGAAATGTAGGGGGCATTAGAAGGGAGAAGTACTCTGTAGATCATGGAAATTAAAGGGTTTAAAAAACCTTCAACTCCCATGATCTGACTTCAATCCTGCTGGTAACCACATACAAAAGTAAACAAAAATGATCTGAATTCTTTTTTTGACAGATTTTAGTTTGAAAAAAAAATACCTTGTTGAAGTAGCTACAAGTTATCACAGTTTGTAAAACTAGAAGAATCAGGCCAAAAATTTTCAATTTCATCACACACACCATGGTTATATTTAAGTCTTCAAAAAATTTCTAATTAGTTTCAAGCCATAGGGCTGAAAAGTTGACGCTCATCAAGAATCAAAAGAGTCCAATAAAAATCTTAGAACACAAAACTTTTAACGCACACCCAAAACCCAAACTAATGTCACTGAAATTTGACAAAATATTTCCCAAATAGGAAATGTTTTTACAACCCAATTGTTACCTGCCGCGACAGACCACAAACGTAATTAGGGCGGAGTAAGTGAAGGAGACTGTGCTGTTTATGTCTGGAGGTTCGATTTTTATTTTAGAAAGAACGAACCTTGGAAAGATTTCCGTATAACCTCATCTTATTCTTGATAAAAAGCCTTAGTCTCTGTAAGCTGTCATCTTAGATTGACTTTACTAGCGTTTCCTTTATCCAAGATATTTTATCATTAAGAAGACAGATAGGGAAGTATGAGGCCGTGCAGAAATCTTGCCCGGTCGAACCTTCAATTTTCTCGAGGTAACTCAATTAGAACTATCGATTACGGTTTAATTGAGGAAGGCCTCAATGACGGAAAAATTTATGTCAAGAGATAATGCAAGCACATTCTAACATCGATCAGCCGTAACATTTGCAGATATGTCAGCTACAGCTTTCTTTGAGGAAAACGAAATAAAATCTCTTCTTCTAGAATGAGGAACATAACTGAAAAAAAAACAAACCTTTATCTTTTTCGTAGGCATGTTTTCGTGGCATTTGAACCGAAGACGAGACCTTTTCATGACAGGGGATGAATCCTTGCTGAACAACTGTAGGTTCCCACTTCCGGTTGCTCTTACCGTTGACTGATAACGTAGTAATACCGGGTACTGGTCGATTACTCATGTCTACACTTGACAGATTTAATGAGCTACTACAACAAGCCCGTAGTTTAATATGATATCGAGATGGTTTCCTTTGCTTAGCTCAATATTTGTGTAAATATTGCCATCGTGTTAGTTCATCTGCAAAATTTGAACCAATGAGCCTTCTAATTACGGTTTACGTTCAGCGGTATCTTGTGAAGGTTATGCATTATATCCCAGCATGACCTGCTGTAGTTTATTTTAAAAATGGCGGCCGGTGAGTGAATTATTCTTTGTGTTCATTGAATCTTGAGATTTCTCCAGGTTTCATTGTTATCCAATGGTGTTTCGAAAGTTTTTGTAATATTTCTTATTCTTTTACGTCTCTTTTTTTAAATTTTATCCGGGAGAATCGCTGTATTATTGTCGTGACATTATGGTCTAACGTAAGCGATCGCGATCGATAGGTCTGAAAAGCCAAACATTGCTATCTTGTTATGATTTTTGTCGAAAAAACGAGACCTGTCTCTAATTCACGTTTAAAAGTGAGTAAAAAAACTGGTTACTTTGGTATTCCAAAAGAAAATTGATCAAACTTGCAGAATAAAGCTCCAGTTTTTTTTTTCGTGAATCACAACAATTCCCCATTGTTAACTCGTTCTTCAAAGCATACTCACTAAGTAGACTTCCGGTGCCATGTGCTGTTTAATTAATTTGGAAAATTAACATTTTATATATCAAACTAACTAGGTTCTTTCACTTTTGTAAGAGAGTTGGCCAGCCACAGTGGCAGTCGCTGCTATTTTGATCATGAAAAAAGTATTTGGTAAAATACTACATTACGCATTCAGTTCTTGGATAGAGAAAACAATGGCAAAAATAATACATTACCATTGGGAAAAGAGATTTGTTTTACAATAGTATGGGGCTTTGCGGAAATTTTACCAATAATTTTTGATAACCAGATGACCTTTGCGGTGAGATTGATATGTTATGAAATTTGGTCTTCAATCCTTTGATTATAAAGAGTTAAAATATGGATTTTCTGCACTGTGTATCAAAGATTTTTTTAACCCTTGCTTTTGAGAATTAGGAGTTCAACAAATTATATCCTCTTGGTTTTTTTACCTTGTCGTCATGTCTCTACTTGAAAGTGTTCAGATATTCTTAGGAGAGCTTCCTTTTTGGTTATTCCTTGGAGTGAAAGAGTTAACAAATCACTGACATGCTAACTTACATTTTAGGAAGGGATATTGAGGAATCCAAACCCTTTGTCAAATTGTAGAGCACAGACATCCTTATGTTATGATTTGATCTCTGTACAGTTCAGTTCTTAGAATTTAGCCAGTAATGCTGCCCTTAGGGTACAAAAAAAATTTTTTTTTTTTTACTTTTAATGGCACTAACCCATCCACTGGTATTTAGAGGGAGTCATTAGTAAGAGTTTATCAATTTCTCTCTTCACTTTTGCTCCAACAAAAGGCTAATGCTCGAAACATCAGCTTTGAAACTCTTTACAATGGTCAATTTACATTATTAACTCAGTCACCCCCGCTGATGCAGCACCACAGTTTCTTTAGAAACTTACCCCCTTTATTTATTTAATGCTTTGGTTGTGTTGCTCTTAAACAGGCAGCCAGTGGGGTATCAAAGCATGGAGTCTTATAATCCTGACAGTTCAAAATGCTTCTCTCATATTAACTATGAGATACACACGGACACTGCCTGGTGACATGTACTTTTCCAGTACAGCAGTGATGATAACAGAGGTTGTGAAAGTAGTTACAACCATGCTGATTCTGCTGGCAGAAAAACGTAGCATAGCTGAGTGGATAAAGTATTTATATTCTGTTAGTGTTGGTCATCCTTGGGATATGGCGAAGATGCTTGTGCCTGCTTGCATTTACACTGTTCAGAATAATCTACTGTATTTGGCAGTTTCCAACTTAGATGCTGCAACATATCAGGTACTTAGTATTACAACATGTGAAGTTTCTCAGTGGTCACACATGTTTAAAAAATAAGTTTGGAGAAAAGGTCTTGCCTGTTCTAGAAGGTTGCCTACCATACAGATTACTGGTACTCATATATGAATGGAAGACTCAGGTTTCCTTTCTATGGCAAAATTCATCTTGGGTTCATGAATCCTGCGGAAGATTTCCCCATTTTTTTTTTTTTTGTGCTTTTGTTTTTCATGAAATCCAGAAAAAAGATTATAAATCCAAACACTCCTCCCTCCACATTCATTCATTTGATTAGATTGGTTTCTCTGGGAAAATATTCAAGGAATAGCAAGCAATCTTTCTGCTGAAAATGTGATTCATGGCAATGTATAGCAGTAAGTTATTTCATAGAATCTGATTGAATTTCTGGCTCAGTCGTAAAAGTTCCATCAAACTGAATATTTAATTACAAAAATCCTGGATTATTAAAATTCAGTTGAAATGTACATGCTATATACAATGTACTTGTCGATCTTTCACCACTTTATTTAGTGTTTCATCACAAAGTTTAATGATGTAAGGGTAGATTTTTTGTTTCTGTTTAGTTAAAAGAAACCCACTTGATCTTGGATCAGAAATCAAATCTGATTAGTTAAGAAGAACAATTCACATATGTGCTTTCAATCCACCCCACTGCAGGTATCTTATCAGTTGAAGATTCTGACAACAGCACTCTTCTCAATTGCTATGCTGAGTAAACCAATTAATAGGGTTCAGTGGCTGTCTCTGTTTATGCTATTTGTTGGGGTGTCTGTTGTTCAGCTACAGCCTGTTAATGGTCCTGTGACACAAAGCTCGAAGGAAAAGCTCTCGACACAGAACACCTTGTCTAAAACACACAACCCTCTACTGGGGCTTGCCGCAGTTGTAGCTTCTAGTATGTGCTCTGGATTTGCAGGTATGAGGAAATTTTGTAGGAGAAGGATGATGTTAACCCTTTAAACCTTAAAAATAAGTTTTTCATTTTTATTCTCCATATTGTTCTCTTTACAGTTTGCTATGGTATTGACACGGAGAATTTGTTTGACAATCAGTAGCTTCCTGAATTGAGAATCCTTTCCATTAATCTTGTGACCTTTTTATTTGATTGCTGAGGAATGAATAAGTTGTTTTAAATTAACTTTAGAATAGATATAATATTTTGTCATTCACACTCATTCTTTCTTTAGGTGTGTACTTTGAAAAGACCCTCAAGGGAACTGCGACACCTCTGTGGGCCAGGAACTTCCAGTTGGCCATATTTGGTGTCATTATTGGCACCATGGGCATGTATATCAATGATGGGAGTAAGATCAAAGAAAAAGGCATTTTCTTTGGTTACCACAAACTTGTCTGGCTAATTATTGCAATGCAGACATTTGGAGGTCTTTTAGTTGGCATTGTAGTTAAGTATGCTGATAACATTCTAAAAGGCTTTGCGGCAGCTGTATCAATTGTCGTTTCTTGTATTGTATCAGTTTATTTATTCCAATTTAATCTCAGTTTGCCTTTTGTATCTGGGGCTGGTTTAGTTATGCTTGCTACATACTTGTATGGGATAGGACAGAAATCAGCTGTTCAAAAGAATGCCACAAATGGCTCTAAAGATCCTATGAAAACTGATTAATTTATAATATCAGGTTATGATAAGTGTAGTAGAAATTTTGTGGAAAATGCCATTACTGGTTATTTCTCCATTATTTAATACAAATTTCTTTAAAATTTATTGAAATCTGTTTACTCTCCTTCCATGAAATTGGTTTTTATTGAGCTGAATCATTTTGGCAATTGTGATGTCTTGTTTACTGATGTGCTACATCATAAAAACCACTTGATATTGAACATACACAGTGCTCCAAGTTGCAACCATTTTGGTCACCACAGGGAGTTAAAAAAGATATTTGGTAACCAAAATTTCAACTTAAGTTGTTAATTGGCCACCAACAGATTTGGAAAAAAAAAGAAAAGTGTATAAAACATTGTGATCCTTGGTCAAATTATCAAACTGAGGGGGGCCAAAACTTTTTTTATGGCGACCATTTTAGAATTGAAAGTGGCCAATAGGTGACTTTTTAGAAAATTGAACTTGGAGCCCTGATACATGTAAGCAAGTGTATGAATTTTCATGCTGATATAGTCTTAAGAATACAGTTAGTTTGCCAGAACTTTAATTACAAATAGGAACAAAAGTAGTAAAAGTAATACTGGTTTGCCTTTTTTTCTGATCAAGTAGCTTTATTGTCAGAGTAAAAGAAAAAATTTGCCAAAGATGGCAGAGCATAGCTAACTCTAAAGGCAATTAAAGAACATCACAAAGTTTGTATATTTGCCTTTAATAAAAAAAACAATGATTGCAATCTTACAGAAGGATGTAGGGAATTTGGTAAATTACACAACAACAGGAACACTTAAAGAGCAGTCTTCAGATTTCCTTTAATAATAACATGACAGATCTTTGAAACATGTAAAAATATTGTTTTTTCAGAGTTCAAGAAACTTCTTAACATGAGTACTATTTGAATGAAGTACACGGAAAGAATACTGTAAATGCACAAAAGAAAGTCTGAATTATTTGTAATTTTAGGGAATGTTAACCAAAAATGAACAGTTGTATTGACAGAAAAGAACTTCTTTTTAACATCTTTACAAAGCACACAACGAGAAAAACAAATCAAGTTTTCCTCTTCTAGAAAGAAACAGAGAAATGGAAAGCAAGACTTAAGTACAATGTTGTAATGTTGAACATTTTCCAGAAGTAGTTTTTTGAAGAAAAAAAGTTTTTGTTAATTCCTGTTAGTGAGATGACATCTTCATAACATTTCAGACACTGCAAAAAAAGAATTAAGAAATAGTAATTATGTTAACACAGACATAAATAATGGACTTACATATAGACTGCTTTTAAATCATCTTTTTGCAAATTGCATTTCACCAATAGGGGCAACAAACAGTAAATTCTGGAGAAGGACATAGACACCCTCTGTCCCTGCTGAATTAGTAAGTCTCTCTTAAATGTACCGATTTACAAAAACATTTGACAGACAGAATTTTCATGATGCACAATGAGTTAAGTTTAATACCGAATTCTCTAGATAATTACAAAGACACCTTGCAGTTGGACTTAGTTACATTGTGTTTAACTCTTGATCATTCGCAGTCTTTGAGCAATAAAACTTGGCAGACCTAAGCCAATTGGTGGTCTTTGCTATAAAACATATTGCTTGCTTGCAGAGTGATGTAAACCGCAGTAACACATTTCATGTAGGCTTGGACTATTGCATTAAGAGGTCAACTAATTAGTAGTGACAGCACATGCAGGCATCCCATGGTGTATACCAACTTACCTCAACGGCTTTAATAACTGAATGGTTAGCTTATTCAAAAATGATCAAATAAAAGAATGACCAACTTGGAAGGCTCATTTCCGGGAGGTGTGTCTTTCAGTTGATTGACAGGAGTAAACTTAATCCATTTGAAATACAACAAAAACCCACATCTGGCTTATAATTCGAGAGATATTTATCACTGAGCACAAAACCAAACTATAGACATTTTTATCTCCACTGCATACCAAACATTTCGAAACTGTATTCTGCAATCCATGTATCATCTTATGTTTTGACTTTTCTGACCACTGTAGTGCTTATTAGGTAACACCAGTACTGCTGTTCTATCAATTGAAATTGTTCTAAAAAATGTTAAATTGTGAAAAGATCTTAATGCCCCTTCCCATTCTTGGTATGAAAGCCTTGAAAAAAAAATTATTGAATAATAACAGTCACCTGGCCAGCCCATCTCTGTCTTGACCATCACTAGCATCTCTGTCTTGACCATCACTAGCTTTGACACCAGATATTTCCGCCTGCCCTCCATCTGTTTTAATCAGGTCGTCAAGAATCTCGGAGTAGGTGTAACTCCTTTTTCTGGCAAGAGGCACTTGCACGCCAAGCATCTGTTTGACAACGGGAAACGCATTATCACAACGGTTAGTACATACAGTAAAGAGTGATCTTACATCAAATGTAGCTCTGATTGTGAATTGGTTTCATTTTCTTTTAATTTGCTTGTCTGTTTGGCTTGCAGATAAAATAAACTATTTTTTTTTGTTCTATATAGTAACGCTCACATATACGTAAACTAAGTTGCGCGCAATTACCTGCCTGACAGTGTTTTATACTATAAGGGAAATATGTATAAAATGAAAAGTCCTTACCTCCTGAGCAACGGCTGGTGGTACTCTAAACCTCTTCTCATTGTCCACAATCACCTTCTTGCCAACTTCGATTTCCTCTGAGAATGATGGCCTTCTTTTTCCAGCCAGCTGATCCTTAATCAAGCGGCTCTTATTCTTTGATCGTTCCAGGCCCTCTTGTTGACTCGTATCAGGGGCAATTATCGATCGAGCAGTTTCAAGCTGTTGTGTAAGGGACATTCTTCGTCTGTTGTCAACTTCAGAAGTGCAGTGCTTGATAATACGTCGCTTTTGAGATGCCTTCTTCTCTTTTTTCTTGTTCTTTGTATGTGCATCAATGATCAATTTGGCAACTTTTATGCTGTTCGCGAAGGAGTCTTTTTTTCCGGTAGTCTGTTTCTTGATAATCTTTCTCCTCTCTGCATTTCTTCGATCTCTCTTTTTGTCATCAGCGGCAACATCTGCCCATGTCCTCCATGCGATATAGGCGGACATGCTTTCCCTCTGAACCTTAGTACCTTCTGCGAGAGACAGCAAAAGGCGAAAAATTGATTTCGTAACCCAAAGCTCTCATTTAAGCTCCCAGCTTTCCCTTTTGAGCCCCCATTTGGAAATATAGATATAAAACTTCAAATCCCTTCCCATTTCAGGCTAAGTGGGGTGCTTTGGGTATAAAGTTCCCCATTCATGCCACCTGGTTTGTTACATTGGTGCGACTCTATCATTTTCCTTTATCAACATTTCGAAAATTTTTAGAAGAAAAATTAACTCTGTTAAGTCTCAGGATTGTATAATTATTTTGGGTCTAAAAATGAACTCAACGATGACGATTGATCTTGGTGAATACCTGGCACTTGATAGCTTATTGGTGCTGGGTGGTTGGTTGTCTGCTGAACTGGAGGATTCCATAGATGACCCTTGTCAACTCTGATACTTGTCAGTGCATCTTCCGCATATTGTCCTGGCACTTGATAGCTTGTTGGTGCTGGGTAGTTGGTTGTCCGCTGAACTGGAGGATTCCATGGATGACCCTTGTCAACTCTGATACTTGTCAGTGCATCTTCCTGATATTGTCCTCCTCGCTCAAAACGGTCGTTATTCCTAGTGCGCTTGGATAAACGTGCGTAGTACTTTCGTACTGGCCTTTGTAGAGAAAGTGATATGAAGAGTTTAATTTGTAATGTCAATTAGCTTAAATGACAATAATGGTAACAGATTGCAAGGTCATTTTAGGACTGTTGTGACAAGCCCAGATGAGATAAGCATCAAGATTGACATCAATCATGTCCTAAACAAGGGATTATAGGAAGATCAAGATTTACAAGATGTTACTTTTCACTTTTGAGCTGACAATCAAATTGATGTGTTTAGGTTTAGACCGTCCGGCAGGACTTTGTAACAAACGACTTCATTTGCCTTTATTTTGCAAATTCCTCTTGTTCAAAAAGGTATGCGGTGATGGACAATCTTCACATTCCGGAGGCAACAACAAGAACAGATCAATGACCTATCAATCCATGGCTTAAATCCAGACCTCCTTATCTCGCAGTCCTGCATGCTCACCATTAACCCTTTACACCCTAACATCAGTATGCATATTCTCCATACTGTTCTCTGTGCATTTCCTGAAGTGCTGACAAGGAGAATTTGTTTAAAAATCAAGAGCTTTATAAGGTGATGATAGTTTCCTTCATTCTCGTGACCTCAATGTTTGATTCACGGGTGACAATGTAAGGAAAAATTGGAAGCTGGTCACTCCTAGGGGTTAAAGGGTTAAGCCATTGTGTCTCTCACAATTTGTCTATGGCCAGCGGAGAGAGTTATTCGGCAGATGAGAACTAACATCTTACATATGCCTGCCAAAATCCTACTAATACCAAACGTTAGCGCAGTAACACTTACATAAAAACATAGCTTACCATGCAAATAGGAGAAAGGCGACAAAAAGTACAATCATTGTGACGGAAAAGCCAACAACAGCTTCAGCGACTGAAATCCAACTTTTTTCCTCAGGCTTTTTCTCTTCCATCATTTTTGCGTGGCCATCACCATCGTCGACTGAATTCAACTGAATAACTGAATTAAGATTCAAGACTTTACCATTAGGCGATTTTACTTCGTCGTTTTTCTCATTCCTTAGTGGTGCAGTTGTTTTTCCTTGGGATGGAAATTGTATGATGAATATGGTATCTCCGTCTGCAGATGAACTGAGCGCTGATTTTCCTTTTAGACCTTTTATGGAAAACTGCTTCGGGTTCAAATGCATCTTGTCCTCAGGCAAAATAGCATACTTTGATGCCGGATCATCAACCGATGACCTATCAGATCTCACTGAGGTTTGTAAATCTGCCTGCTTTTGCAGTTCCTCTTCCATATTTTGAGCTGTACCAAAGCTCCGGTTTTGTTCCTCAGTTCTGGATTCCGGTTCCTTATCTTCAGGATTTCCAGTATCCCTTTTATCAAGCTTTGTCTCAGAATCAAGTCCCACGTCTTTGAGATTTTCAGAGCTCCATTCTATATTACCTGTTTTTGCTTCAGGCTCCTTATCCTGAGTTGCGACTAAGCCCCATCTAGAATATAGTCCCGTATCTTCAGGATCTTCAGAGCTCCATTCTCTGTTTTTTGTTTCAGGCTCCATATCCTGAGTTGCGACTGAGCTCCAGCCAGAACGGAGTTCCATATCTTCAGGATCTTCAGAGCCCCATTCTCTGTTTTCTGCTTCAGGCTCCTCATCTTGAGTTACGACTGAGCCCCGTCTAGAATGGAGTTCCGTATCTTCAGGATCTTCATATATCCATTCTCTGTTTTCTGTGTCAGGCTCCTCATCTTGAGTTACGACTGAGCCCCGTCCAGAATGGAGTTCCGTATCTTCAGGATCCTCAGAGGTCCTTTCTCTGTTTTTTGCTTCAGGCTCGTCATCTTGAGTTGCGACTGAGCCCAATCCAGAGTGGAGTTCCGTATCTTCAGGATCCTCAGAGGTCCATTCTCTGTTTTCTGCTTCAGGCTCCATATCCTGAGCTGTGAATGAGCCCCATCCAGAATGAAGCTCCATATCTTCAGGATCTTTATTGCTCCATTCTCTGTTTTCTGCCTCAGGCTCGTCATCTTGAGTTGCGACTGAGCCCCATCCAGAGAGGAGTTCTGTATCTTCAGGATTTTTATAAATCCATTCTCTGTTTTCTGCTGCAGGCTCGTCATCTTGAGTTGCGACTGAGCCCAATCCAGAGTGGAGTTCCGTATCTTCAGGATTCTCAGAGGTCCATTCTCTATTTTCTGCTTCAGGCTCCATATCCTGAGTTGTGACTGAGGCCCATCCGGAATGGAGTTCCATATGTTCAGGATCTTCAGAGCTCCATTCTCTGTTTTCTGCTTCGGGCTCGTCATCTTTAGTTGCGACTGAGCCCAATCCAGAGTGGAGTTCCGTATCTTCAGGATCCTCAGAGGTCCATTCTCTGTTTTCTGCTGCAGGCTCGTCATCTTGAGTTGCGACTGGGCCCCATCCAGAATGGAGTTCCGTATATTCAGGATCTTCATAAATCCATTCTCTGTTTTCTGCCTTACGCTCCTCATCTTGAGTTGCGACTGAGCCCCATCCAGAGTAGAGTTCCGTATCTTCAGGATCCTCAGAGGTCCATTCTCTATTTTCTGCTGCAGGCTCGTCATCTTGAGTTGCGACTTGGTCCCATCCAGAATGGAGTTCCGTATATTCAGGATCTTCATAAATCCACTCTCTGTTTTCTGCCTTAGGCTCCTCATCTTGAGTTGCGACTGAGCTCCATCTAGAGTAGAGTTCCGTATCTTCAGGATCCTCAGAGGTCCATTCTTTGTTTTCTGCTTCAGGCTCGTCATCTTGAGTTGCGACTGAGCCCCATCCAGAATAGAGTTCCATATCTTCAGGATCTTCAGAGCTCCATTCTCTGTTTTCTGCTGCAGGCTCGTCATCTTGAGTTGCGACTTGGTCCCATCCAGAATGGAGTTCCGTATATTCAGGAACTTCATAAATCCACTCTCTGTTTTCTGCCTTAGGCTCCTCATCTTGAGTTGCGACTGAGCTCCATCCAGAGTAGAGTTCCGTATCTTCAGGATCCTCAGAGGTCCATTCTTTGTTTTCTGCTTCAGGCTCGTCATCTTGAGTTGCGACTGAGCCCCATCCAGAATAGAGTTCCATATCTTCAGGATCTTCAGAGCTCCATTCTCTGTTTTCTGCTGCAGGCTCCTCATCTTGAGTTGCGTCAAAGCCCCATTCTTTAGAGCTCCAATCTGTGTTACCTGTTTCTGCTTTAAGACCTATATCTTGTATTGCTCCAGGGTCTCTTTCAGAATCGAGTTCCGTACCCTCAAGATCTCCAGAGCTCCATTCTTTGTTGTCTGATTGTGTTTTAGGCTCTGTATTTGTAGTAGCACCAGAACCCCACCCAGTGAGATCTGATCTTGACCCATGTTCTTGATCTTGAGGTGTTCTAGTGCCCCCTTTGACCAAATCAGCCCCAGATACAGGCTCTCTAATTGGTTCTTCAGGATCGCGATGAGTGTTGTAGAATACCCCACCTAAATCATCTACACCTCGACTATGTCTGTGTTTGATAGACTCCGAACGTAATGAAGGAGAAATGTGTCCTTCCTTAAGATACTGTGATTGGAAAGAATTCCCTGAGAAACAAAATAATGGTATTCTTGTTATAGAATAGACCCCAGGATGCTTCATGAACATGATTTTCCTGCATTCCATTAACTGGTATCAAATGAGCTTTAATTCCAGGAAATAACAATATCGTATCTTTTCTTCTAACTTTGCATCATGATTTAACGTAAGAAAAATAATTAAAATACAAAACATTGTTCGAAGTGATAATCGAAAGTCCAAATCTTTCTCCTCGCTAAACGTAACTACAGTGGTAATAGTCTCGCTTGAGACGATTTGTTTCCGAGTTATTTGAAATTCCCTGAAATATTTTGTAAGTTAACTAACTTGTGTATAAAAAATCAGTGCAAATGGCTGCGGTTCTTTATCTTTCATAGCAGCTACCGAGAACCCTGTTTTTTTGTTTCGATTTCATTTTTTTTTCTGTTAGCCGTTTAGGTTCGGTTTATCCGACTTGCAGCTTCGGCGTTTTTGATTCCAAATCTCTGATGTAAACAAGGCGTCAATCGCCATTTTATAGAAAGGTTTCAATTTGTGTAGGACACTTGTCAATCTGTCAAACAGACATCTCCGATAAATTGCTTTTTATTAGCACAAGCTGTAATCGTTAACAGTAAACGTGACATAAATTACTGCTTACCTTTGCCAAAAAAGGCAATCGCAAAAGCGAATAAAACAATCCAGACCGCTTTCATCTCATTTTCGTCTGTAAATCATCTCTGCATAAAACTCAAAGATTTTCCAAATGAAAAATGATTTGCTGTGATGATGTGACGTCACAAACGTTAATTATGATAGTCAAACTTAACGAGGATAAAATGATAACTCAAGTCAATAGTTATCTTCATTAACAACTGAATTGCGTTAATCAAGGTCACGCCCTTTTTATATCTACATATCAATCTGACCCATTGGGCAAAAAAATTAAGATAAAATTTTGATAAAACATGAACTATTGACCAACAAACAGCGCGCGCAGCTAAAGGCCACGTTAAAAATTAATTTTGTTTGGATCAAATTAGTTGATGATGTAGATTGGCCACCGAGGAGAGTTTCCAGAGCTGACATTTTGGGCGTTAGCCCTACGCCATTCGCTCTTACTAAGGGCGAACGCTCGAAACGTTAGCTTCAGAAACCCTCTATGGTACCAGTTTGCTTTAATTGATAAATACGAATTATCTTGTTGGCTGACGCATTTTTCCTTTTTTATTATTTTAAAAGAAAAGAAGACGCGGTCACACCAGGGATGAGGAGTTAGTGCTGTTCTGGGAAAAAATGAATTCTTATCACCTATGACAGCTATCGATATAGCTATATATGAAACCGCTTCTTACACTGCACAACAAAATTAACATCCATTCATGCTTTTATTCAAACTTATCTCACAAAATCAGATAGAAAATTAAACTTATCTTGTGTCAATTCTTCGTTCCTAAAATTGTTTTTAATCGCTTATACGCCGTTTTCTATCCTATCTTTTTTTAAGTTTAAAAACAAGTTATCATCTGTAACTGAGATATAGATGTATAGGTAGGTTAGTTAATGGCCTTCTGCGACTGTTACTGCTACTGCCCCTGTTAACACCCCTCCTACAGTATATTGCTTCTTTCATTGCCGCTACTAATTCTACTTCCGGTATTACCGATAATCTTTGCATAACAACGATATACTAGGTTTAGATGAGAGGTGTAATCTCTCAATGACACAAACCTTGGAATGATTTTTTTCTGCTTGTTACTGACTAATACTGATACTAATACTATTAACTCCGTAAGTGAGCTTGTAAAAAATCTTCGCTTTACTACTGACTATACAAGTAAAGGAATGCGATCACAAGTAACCCAAGAAGTTATCTCAGGTTTTTTCTCTCCAAGGCAAACTTTCATTTTGAAACCTATTATAAGATATAGCTTGTTCTCAATTCCTCCTAGACATCTCAAAATCCATACCAGCATTCAATCTCCCCGTAGTGTGTCTTTCTGAAGATGTCTTGGCTTTGCAAAGACATTTTCTGATCACCAATACTGCAATCAAAAGAAGCAGTAATCCTCCACCTGCGGACCCACCAATTATTACATAATTAGGACCTTCCTGAGGAACCGCGCCTGCCTCCGTTGGTACGTGCGAAGTAGTCGCTCCTTTGTCCAAAAAGAAAACAAAAAAATATTTTTCAAACTTGAACTCGAACGAAAAAGAAATTAACGAATTCCGGTTAATTCCTCTTTTTACTTGTCCGCTTAATGGAGGATTCGGATCTGTTTACGTCAAGCATGCAACATGCGGGTTTCCATACTACGGTTTATTTTATTCATTAATGAACACTTTCACTAATAAAACACTTTCTGAATTTGTTATAACAATTGGTAACTTAATTGCACTTTTAATGAGCGTTAACCCTTTCAATCTCTCCATGATATTTCCATGCGGTTTCTCCAGTACTGATTCAGTTACAGAATCGAATCGGCAAGCGAGTTGACCCCATCTTTAATTTCAGTGATAAATGTAAAATAGTTAATTCTGTTCGTCAGAGAGGTCAAATCGTGGTTTGTGCATCTTGAAAAATTTTCACATGAATATGTCAAAGGTTTTCGTTTTAAATTGGGTGAATCTTGTCGTTTGTTCATCTTGTTCATCTTCGCTCTATATTCGTTCATCACCCTTGTAAGTATTTTGTTCATTTATTTTCTTTCGTTTGAGGTTTTCATTTAACTATTTAGCCAATAAAAGCGATTTGATGATGTTCTTGCCATTTACAAATGGAAACAAACTCACCTGTGAAAGTCGTAGTCTCAGGCAAAGTAGATGTACTAGAGGTTTCAGATTTCCTGTTTGTGAAGGGAGTGGTAGATCTAGTCCGGGGCTTCGTCGTCGGAGAGATGCCGATTTCAACTGTCAAACTGATGTCTGTTATGCATGAAACGTCCCCGTTGTCACTGGCACTAACAGTGAGATGATGAACTTTCTCCATCAAGTTGGACACCACGGTAACCACACCAGTTCTGGGATCAATAGAGAACGCGTCATTTTTGGATAGGCTATAAGTTATGTCACTGTTTACTCCACTGTCCAAGTCAACTGCAGAAACTTTGGTTACGGTTTCTCCGGGAATGAGTGCAAGGAATTCTAGTTTTAGATCTCCTGGTGGCTCGATGAAGGTTGGACAATTGTCATTTTCATCCACAATTGTTATCTGAACAGTAGCCATTCCAGATTTCTGTGGATATCCATTATCTGCAGCAACCATGGTCACGTTGAATGATTTCATCTCAGTCGTCTCAAAATCCAGTGTCTTTGCACTGTAAATCTTTCCAGATTGTCCGCCAATGGTAAGAATACTTTCTACTCTATCGTCACCAATTATTGCATAAAATATCTGACCATTTCTTCCTGAATCTGTATCATTGGCTTTTACTTGTAAAATAACTGTTCCTACAGGAGAATTTTCCACAATGGCCGCGTTGTAAAATGTTTGGATAAATTTTGGTGGATTAATGTTTGGTTTTGCCTTCTGATCGCAGTTTGCACCATCAAAAGCTGGATAACAAGAACAAACGTTGGGTAGGATACAATCTCCTTGACCAGAACAATTTTTTACGGCACTGCAATCAGGAACGCTGCATGCTCGACCCGACCAGGAGGAATTGCAGAGGCAGACGTCGAAGTCGACACATTTTCCATTTCCTGCAGCAAAGAAAAAAGAACATCATTTGTCAGCCTTGTCCTACCGTATTTATTTATTTAAGAAGCTAAAAATAACTTGGGAACGAAAGATGTCGGGGAGAAGCCTAAGATCATTATCATATAGCATTCTGAGCTCCGGTGTCGTTGCGAGAAAAGCACCTCGTGATGAAAGTGCCCAACAATTTCGACCATCCAAAGACATTGACACTCTTGCTAACCATTTTTCACGGATCGTCGTGAGAGGCAAATGATATGTCATTTTTTGGTAACAAAAACTCGGGAACAGATTATTGACGAAACAATTTTAAATTTCAAAACGATGTACTTACCGGAGCAATAGTTGACAGCCTCACAAGAAAAGTTACTGCAATCAGTTCCAATGTATCCCAAGTCACATTTGCAGAACTCGGCTTCCACGCACGCGCCATGGGCAGAACAATTATTTACGGTTGTGCAAGAGGGCTGACTGCAGTTATCTCCAGTAAAACCAAGATAACAACTGCAAGACACATTCAACATCTCGGTAGAAACGCAAACGCCTTGGCCACTGCAGTTTGCGAGATGGCTACAGTCCGCCAACTGACCGCAATCCGCTCCAATAAAACCCGGAAGACAGCGACACTTGTCGCTGGAAATACACTCTCCTTTTTTGGAACATTGATTGACAGCTTCACAATCAGGAAGGGCGCAGCTTACCCCGGTCCAGCCATAATCACAGGCGCATTTGTCAAAAGCCACGCAGCTACCGTGCTCTTGAAAATAGCAGGGGGAGAGAAATGGACAAATGTGATAGAGTTAAACCAGAGATAAATAAAACAGGAGAAAGCCGAAAGATGAAGAAAGAAAGAAAGAGGGGAGGAGTGAAAGAAGGAGAGAAGGAAAATATACATCTTTTCATTTATTTGAAGAATATTTTGCCCGAGATAACTTACCTGAGCAATAATTCAATTGTTCACACGAGTACTGGGTGCAGTTGCCTCCAGTCCACCCTGTATTACATTTGCACACATCGAAATCCACACAGATTCCATTGCCGGTACAATTTGATACATTGTAACAAGTAGGAACAGTGCTGCAGTTAGAACCTGTGGATACAAGGAATGTACCTATTTTTAGAACAAATATTATCGCAAGCAGTATAATAAGCTGAGTGCATCTTCATAAGCACAAGGCGGCTGAGACGTGATAATTTTAGATGAAAATCACTGTTGAGAATAACTGAAAGTAACACTAGATTGAAAAAATTGATAGAGTACATCGTTATTCGAAATTGCTTATTGAATATCAAAGCAAACTACCATTCTACTTATCAACTCATACAGCCAGAATTTTTCACATAAATTTCGTCGCCAACTGTTCCTTTGAACAGTTCATTTGTGGCAGTTTTCCAGCCCCCGGCAAGCCAATCCAGGCTTTCAGTGTGCAGGGGCGGGCCGAAAGTGGGGCGAGCGAGAGAAAAGAAATGCGAGGGTATGGCGCCGAAGAAAGGGAAGGAAATATTGTTTTTTGTCACTCCTCCCTAGACCCCCACCGATTTTTCCCGCCTTCTCTTTCGTTCATCTCCGCTGACCGATAACATACAATAGCACTGGTTACCATTAATCTATAATTTTTTCTTAAAAGTAATCTAGTATGCATTTATAATAACAACAACAACAAACAGCCACACAAAGCTTCAGATAACTGACCTATGTAGCCAGGATTACACTGGCAAATGTCCGTTGTTTTACAACTGCCGTGTTTAGGGCTTGTACAGTTATTAACCCCCAAGCAAGTGGCTGTAAATAACAATAATTTCAATACATTAGTATCTTAAGGTGACATAAAGGCATGAGGTGAACAAGTCATAACACGTTTTCATATAACTTGTCACCCATAACGCAAGAACAGAGTAAATCCACATGTGAGAGAAAACTTCTGAGCTAATCCTGCGATACTGAAAAAATAGCGTATTGCAAAAAGAGCACGAGTTACTCGACATTTTGTATGTTTGTTTGATTGTTTTGACTAGTTTGTGTTTTTTGGCTTGCTTTTTTTGTTGTTTTTCCCCCTTTTTCTTTTGTTTTCAACGGTCGTTACTTTCGGCATTTGAAGCCCGCGCTCAACTTCCAGAAGCAGGTGAAAACGACAGCGGCCATCTTTCAGTCCTTTTAAACACAATGTTGGTTGAAAAACTGAATCAAGAAAATCTAACCAGCATAACTAACCATTAAAAGTTTGATCTCAATAACATGCGACATTGGTTGCTTGATTCATTTAGATAGTCTTAGGAAACGTGAAGTGAGCAGCTACACAGAATTGCCTGTTTTTTTTTATTAGGACTCAATAAATAAACACGGTTTAAAGCAGGTGAACGGCAACAGTTTTTGTTTATTCTGATTACAACCTTCAAGTTCACAACTTCGTCCTTCCCAGCCCAGGTCACAGACGCAAAATCCTTTAACGCACTTGCCATGGATTGTTGAACAGTTAAGACAGGAGCCTGGGAGAAAGAGACAAATACGATGATAAAGTTAGCGATGAATTTGTGCACGAATTTAAAAGCGTTTACGTGTTACGATGTTTATGTGAATACATCAGTGATACCTTAACGAAATAACCTAATTTTTCTATGTTAAATTCAGATAAAGAGTCTCACTGCTCCCCCCCCAAAAAAATAAGAACAAGAACAAAAAGTAAAAAATTAACTTAATTAACCAACTCACCAATGAAAAAGAAAACAAACAAACACACCCACCGAAAAACAAACGAAAACAAAGCAATGGAGAACCTTCGAGTTGAATGAATTTTTTCACACGCAATGCGGAAAGACTATTTCTTTAAGAGAGAATTCGAACGGAATAGGTCCACCTGTTCACCCTGTCTACAAGCTTTAAGGAAATCGATCAATACCTTTATCACAACTCTCCCCTGTCCAACCCTCGATACATTTACATGTTCCATTAACACATCTCCCTTTGCCTGAGCATTGGTCTGGACAGTCTGAAATGAAAAGAAGGATTTTCGACAGGGTTATTGCGAGCACCACAGAACTGAAAAACAGTTGAATTCAACATCATCTCTGGATAATCAGATTTAACCGAGCCAGCAGTTAACGGTTCCACCTTTCATAATTTTTCTTGTTACCTACCTATTGCAAACTCTCACACTTTCAGAATATTTTATGAAATGCAACTTTCTATCGACGACAATATCCTTTAACATTCTAGTCATTGTAAGTTTCATCTGAATGATGTTAATTTCTTCTGATAAGAAGTAACAAATAAATTGAAAAAACCGTATGGCCTTCTTATTCTTAAGAGAAACGACCCTTTTACTGTAAATTTGCGACATCTCCTTACAAAGTGCTATTATAGAAGTTACAAAAGCTTACCTCGTTTAAAGGTTTCCTGATCAGTAAATGTCGTGTCATTGGTCATGGCGACATCGAATATGCAGCTTTGTAGATCGTTGTCAGAAATATTCAAGGATTTACACATGCTTGTCGCAATCTACGTTGAAGGCAAAAAATTTTTTTACACAAAGGATTGTTAACATATCCTTTCTGAAATTAAAAAGTTCATCTAATTCTCAAACTAGCCCCTGAAGCGCTTGGTTAAAATTTAGGTGACACGCATGTCTAAAAGAGACCCTCACTTCATTCCCTTTAAATCATAGCCAGATGTGATGGTTTTTCTTTCTTTCTTTTTTAGTTTTGTTCTGTGGTTTTGTTTTTTTGCTTTTTTTCTTTTAATATGCCTGCTTAGCAACAACGATGGCACCCGACAGGGCTGGTCAAAGAACTAGGTTAATTTTTTTATTTTTGCAGCGATCGAGTTTCCCCTTTTTGGCAATGACAAAAGAACCGTATGTAGTCCAATTTTATCTGCCGTGATACGGGTGAAAAATAAGCCATTGACGCGTTCTGTCCATTCACTCAGTATTGAGGCATAAACTACCCAGTTACACTGTCCAATTGCAAGCAATGTGTAAGTACTATTCTATAAGTACTCAAATCTGGCTGTTAAAAACCAATCACATGATTTATATGTACAATTAATTCGTGACCTGTATTAGCGGCTGGGAAATTCCGTCCAGTGAATACTTAGGAATGTATGACGGATCTGTATACGTTATGTCCATTATGTCATCGTGATAAAAGTTTGATGAGTTCCATGACCAAGAGTCCCGTGTGCCCGAGCCATCGTGACAACCCGTGATCCTCCCTATAGAATAAAAAGAACGCACAGATCAGTATGTAGGCTTGCATGGTTCTACACTTCACGCACTGCTTATCAATCACGTTTTCATGGGGTTATCGCTTTCTTTTGTCAACCCAAGACTACCCTATTTATCGCATTGAAGAGACCTGAGAAAGGTCAGAAAGCGCAGATACCTTTATTTACTACTTTTACATGTCTCTGCCAAAATTCGTCGTCCCTATCTATCCCTTTTGGCTCATCCTTATCACGTAAAAGGTTTTGAGTCCATCTTCATCTACAGACTCCCTCAGTTACTAGCGACACTTTGATTGCTTAAATACGTGGTTGCAATCTGCGGCTGATTCTATTGCTCAAATCTCCCTTTCTCTGCCAAAAACTATACTCAACTTTGATAGGAAAATTAGACTTTATGCTTTTGTTTCTTTTAGTTTTTATTAGAAAGATCCAACGGCCGGTAAAATTACTCATTTCGCCTTCAGCTCTCGTAAGTTTCCAGCAGTTGTCCCACTTGACCGGGAACGTCTCTCAAACCCCCGAATGCACAGTAGAGATATGACGAGTATCCTACTAACAAAGCCTTTTTTGTCTGTACTGCAGGTTAAAGATACTAATAATTTTCCCCACTATTCTGTTACCTACTGCACAGACTTACGGAACGAGGCTAGTAAGATGTATGTAATCCAAGGGTCCTTTAAATTTTCTTAGGGTTGGGCTAAAAATCCTGTGGCAACATCTAGATCAAACTATGTAATTAGCTTTCCTTACATGATTCGGCAAATTTAACAGCGTTATCGTAAAGGGTTCCGTCGGGCCCTGTAAAGTCGTTGGTTGCATTGTTGTCCATGAAGCCACACAGTCCTTCAGTGTGACCTTTGTAAGCAGCCGTTGGCGAATAAAGAATATTCAAATACTGTCTCTTCATCACCCGACTATGACGGACGTCGATGGTTACTGTTACACCTGTAAACAGTAGATAATTTAAGTTAGACCTCCGAGGGCATCTCTAGGGATCTTAAGCAGTCAGGACGGCAACGCTAGGGAAGACTTTGATTAAAAAATGAATTTCTGCCTTTAGTTAGAATTTCAAAATTGGTTGCATGTCTTTACCGTCTCATACGGCACCACACCTCAACTTCAGCATAACGTATAAAAGAAGTGTTGAGTTTCATATTCAAATTAAAATAATTTGCCGTCGCAGTTTCGGTTCGCAGACAATGCAAACTGTGGTGATTTCACGTAGTTGTTTTGCATAAGACGGCTAAGAAATGTACAGAGTTTTAAAATCCACGCGGTGAGCTATTGTTCTGCCTGTTCTTTTGTTTTTCCATGTCCTCGTTGCCGTTGCCGTCGTGGTTTGCTTAAGTTCCCTTCTAACTTCCGCCTGTAGAGTCACATATGTTTGGGCTATAACCGACCGTTTCACCGAGGCGCCGTTTCGCCAACGTCCAGTGCGTTAATTCTTAGTTCGTTTCGCTAACAGCTACTTCGTCATCGTCTAATATGTCGTTTTGTTTTCTTTTTCCGTTTGTACATCTCATGGGTTGAAGCCTTGTGAAGTGATTAAGTTACCGCACTAGCTCCAAGAATTTTCTTAGGTTTTAATTTGCGGTTTTCTTTCCTTCACAAGTAACAAAGAAAACAAACAAGGTTACAAACAACATGTAAACAAAAACAAAAACGCTCTAAAAGGTGGCCGAACACAGAGGAATTATATAATTGCGTGCATAACTTACATAATATATTTGGGCGCGTTCACGGGAAAATGTAAGAAACATCTGTATGGAACTAAAAGGATGGTTTGATGAAAGAAAAAAGTAAGGCTCGCCAGCATTCTTACCTTATGATCTCACGAATGAGCAGAAATGAAAATAACCTATCATTTTAAGACTTGCCTGCATCATACTGAAGTGAAATCAAAACGACGCTGTTCTCCTCAGCCTCAAACGAAAAACGTCTTTGATGATCCAATAACACTGTACCATTGCTTATTTCAATTGGTTCTGAAAAATTACTGGTGGCATTCATTTTCACTCCATCGATTCTGTGGAGAAATCAAGGTCAGTCACAACAAGTATTTGAATTACACTGAATCGACCAAGGAGAAATGGATGTCCTTATTAGAAACAGTGAGTTAACATCGTAAATTGTATTGGAATAAATAAGTACCTTGAAGAACCACATCGAACCAGACATTACGTTGTTCTCAACCGACGCAATCGAAAACTTAAAGAAATGACCTAAGAATTCTGATAAATGACACGTATATTTCGCTTATTCAGCCTCCACAGTAAGACAAACTGCTTGCCTCAGCATTTGAAATTTCTCTGACATCTTAAAACAAGAATGTTGTAAAGAAGGAGCATACAGATTGTACCGTTGAGCATGTAGGTCAACAGCTTTTTGAAGATACCCAGTCATCCTGATTTTAGCCTCAGTTATAAGAAAACAGTTTTTAAGTGGATCAAAATGCATAAAACAAACCTGGTAATGGGTAGGTCTTGAACGTTTTCAGTTTTGATCGCCATAATCGTTACAACGGTTCTCCCAGCTTTAAGCGCAATTCCGCCAATTAACGAGGCTCGCTCGTAGTAATAAAAACGAAATTGAAAACCAAAATCGTTTTTAACACTTTTACAACCCCAGAACTCGCCAATGCCAAAAAAGTCGAAGTCTACACCTGAGAATGAAAGAAAATTGTGAAATTACAGTCATCATGCAGCAAAATATCTATGCTCATAGACCATATTTTCAAATCACTGAAAGTTGTTTCTTCCTTTGGTTGATAAAAAAAGGAACAAATAAAAGTACTCGCGCAGATGGTGCCTGTTTCATTTCTCTTAACTAATGTTTTCCTTTAAACTCCCGCTTTAGTTAAAAGTGATTGTTACGTATTTTTCTAAGATGTCTACATACCATCTAATGTTTTCAGGTGTGGATCACCTCCGCCATTTGCAACTATTCTTTGACAATATTCCCCCCGCCATCCCCCGAAACAGCTACATCGTGCTCCACAACCTCCGGTCAAAATAGGTTCTCCGTTACCTGAACAGTCTGTCAAGCAAATGATCACAGAGTCTAAAACTCGCGTAAAATTGAAAAAGTATGGTGTATAGTGAGGAAATGCAACACTATCAAAGAGTTGTTTGGCAAAATTCGTAGATTTATAAATTAAATGAAACAAAATCATAAATCAAGTAAAACTTCAACTTGGGTTAGAAAGTTTTATTGTTCAGTTGTGATATTAAAAGAAAAGTGTGCCTGATTAAAATAGTTATACCTCGTTTACTAATGGCTGTGACTTGATTCAGCAAGGCAGTCAACGTCGGTTTCACTTAAACTTTAAAAAACTTTAGCGCAGTAATTTTATAATATTAGAAAGGAAGCATAAAGCATGTTGTCTTTCCAAATTGAAGAAACGTGCTACTTTACATAGACAATGGAAAAAGTACAGTTACTATACTTATTACGATATGTTACGTGTACTCCTGCAACTTCACGGGAAATAATAACAGGCTACCTATTGCGTTTGATTATTTCAAACTCTACACACCCCGAAACGGCGACATATCAGGCTGGTTGCATTCTGGTCCCATTCGCCTTCCAACGCAGACTGGCCCATTTCCACATGGAGGTCCTGGTGTTTTGCTATTTCCAAAGAAAATCATCCTTCTATTTAACAAATTGACGACAATTTTCCATCGTCTATTTAACAAATAGATTCCAAGTTGCCGTGCGTCTGTTCAGTAATAGATCACAGATGACGTCAAAATGTGGTAAGAACAAAAAAGTGGCACACGAGGCGCAGCCGAGTGTGTCACTGATGTTCTTACCACATTTTGACGTCCTCTGTGATCTATTGCTGAACAGACGCACGGTCACTTGGAATCTATTTGTTTTATATAATAAAGAATTCAAAAAAGCTTTAATGATGATGTCATCTATACGTCTGTCCTCCAATAGATCATAAGTAAGAACCAATCAGAATGCGTGCATAACTGAGCTTATTATATAAAACCTTATTGATCATAGAAATGACGTCAGCAACGTCCTAAACTAAAATGAAACCACGAGGCGCATCCGAGTGGTTTCACTTCAAAGTTTTCCCTGCGAAAAAGAAATAGAACAAACGAACCACCAATGACGACAAAGCAATCATGCTAGTTGTTGGGAAAACCTACGCTATTCAGTAAATAAAAAAAAATAGCTGGTGGTTTGATTATAAATGTAACAACAACAACAACAACAACAACAGCAACAATATTGAATCACTTTCTTATTCAAATACTGACAGTTGTCCTGGCCCGTAAATAGCTAATGCAAGGCTAGTAGACACACGAACCTGTTTCGTTCCTTTTTCTTTTGTTTCTTTTTAGGGGGAGGAGGTTCTGGTGCGTTACAAACTCCCTCCTTCGGTGGGCTTGAAGTTGGTCCCACACAGTACTGTTAAGACAAAAGAAATTCAGCAAAAATCAACAGTTTTCTTCGTAATTTTTTCAATTTTGACCACAACTACTTATGGTTGGGAAGGAAACCACCGACAACAAGAAAATAGAAAGAAATCAACTGAGCAGTTTAAGTTGTAATGAATTAAAAAAAAATTAGTAATTAATAATAAAGAAAGAAAAGTAGAATAGAATGTTTAAAAATGAAAGAGCTGTTATCTTTGTTTTGCTTTCCTACCTGATCGGCTGGGATCGGGCAGATACATTCCCTAAAATTGAATGGAGCGAGAAACAAATTATTTTTCTCAGTGCTTTGTCAATTATCGATGCAATACTAAACTCTCCTCTAGTCAAAAATAAATAAAGCTGTTCTTCGCTGAACACTTTGTTAGATAAAAGGCTAACGGTTAACCCCATTGAGACCCTCTACAAACTGCCATGCGACTTTCCGTAACTACTTTGGTACTTTGGTCCACTTTGGTTAGCTCTAATAAGTGCAGCGATATTAAATCGCTTTTCCACTGACTGCTAATTAGACAGATACCTTAAACACGGAAAGACATTGAGGTAGTCGGGCTTCATTTTAATTGTCTGAATGTTAGACCTTACAACTGAAATGCATTTTCCGATTGGAAGAGAAGGTGTCACGTGCCTTGAATTCGAAACTAACCAATTCTCCAACAAATCGATCAAAAACTTGAACTTTTGATCGGCACGTGACAAGGTCATGCACCTTGAGGTAAATTGAGGGTTTCGAGAAGCAAAACGTACCCTTTCCCTTGAGGCAAATCATTAAGTGCTGATTGGTTTCCACTAAGGATGGTACTAGTTTCCTAACTAGATGTAAAACTTAATAATGCGAATACATTGTAGCCTGCAGTGCAGGCGCCTTGTTAATGCAGCTGTTGCAGTTAGAGTGGACGGTGGTGGTAATCTCCCCTTCCTCAGCCCCACCCCTCTCCTTATTTTTGACCGTCATCCGCCCCCTTGGTACAAATTTATTTCTCTCCCCAGCCTTCCGCTTCCATTAAAATCAAAGATGGTGCCCATAATATTCGTTATGAAATTACTGAGCACTCGCTTTGCGACGCGGAGGTTTCTTGAGAAATCATCAAGAAAAAACAGGGATGGTGCCACTATAGCCCGGGTTCGATTCCTAGACGTCTGGTGTTACATTTGTGTCGATTTTGTTGGTTCTCGTCCTTACCCCGGGGGTCCCCCTCTTGTCCTCCGGTTGTCATCCCTCAGCAAAGGCAAACACTTTAAATGCTAATTCTAGCTGAGAACAGTGGACAAGAAGAGCCACCTGGGGGAATGTCCTAAATTCCTATTTTTCCCATTTGACCCAAAATAACTTTAAGAGTCGTAGTAACTTACCTGCATCCAGACGTAGACATTAGACTAAAGCCCGTATTAAATGACAGCGCCAATTTCTTTCCAATAAAGTTAACAGAAACGCCAAATATCAGGTCGGAAATACCGTAGTTGCTATTTAGCTCCGCTGGTGTTTGACCTTGGCATATACTTGAGGGGTAATTCAGAGAAATTCCTGCTTTTAGAGGCGTACTCACGAATAGCGACAAAGAAATGTCCGGAATTAAATCAGCTACAGCTTTCACTGAAAGATAAAATGAAACGCAAGCTATTGAACTTCTTTCTGCGATAAGAAATCTTTGATTATTAATCTTTTTCATCAACAATTAAGTAAAAAATAGATAAAAGATAAAACAAAAAAGTGAAAAATTATATTTAAAGAAATAAAGATAATAACTAAAAAAAAATAAGTAGAATTCCAAATTGTCCTTTCCAAGTTTTCTCGATTTTCTGAGAGAATAAAGTGAACAATTATTATTAAGTTTTTTATAGGAGTGCATGGCCTTTGTTGGTGTTAATTCATAAACAAAGGCGTTGTTTAACGACGCTGACAAAGAGAAAAATTCTTACCGAGCTTTGCCAGCACATTAAGAAGTTTTGACTTAGAGGGCTTGGAGAGCCTTTTGGGTAATGCTGGCACTTTTACGGAGACCGTGGGTGTCACAGTGATGTCCACATTCGCTCCAATCTCCAACTCTGGTGTTGGGCTATTCCAGTCTAATGTTAGACTAATCTACGGGATTGATTTGTAACATTAACCAATCGGTCAATCAACCATCCAACCAATAAGTTGGTCAGTCAGTCAGTCAGTCACTCGTGCATACAAGCGAGCATGAAGGCAGACAGACAGAAAAGCAGCCAAACAGTAAATGGTACGTGTTCTATCGATTTGTAGGTAAACCAAGCCTCACTGCTTGACAATCTCAGTTAAACTTCCATTAAAGAAAAGGGAAATAGAAAAAATCCATCGCTGGATAATGATAATGATGAGAATAATAAATATAACAAGATATACAACAATAATAATAAAATGATAAAAGTAATAATGATAACAACGATGATGATAACAATAGTTACAACAACAATTATTATGGTTTTTAATTACTATCATCACTACTATTATCATGTGATTGTCATATTGATTATAATAATGATATCAAAGAAGGGAAAGCGATACAACGAAGACAAAAATAAGTAAAGTAAAAGCCAGATTAAAAAAGAGCTCGAAAAGTAGTGAAATCCCAAATCTTAAAACCGTTTGTCTAAACGAGCTACAGTATAAACTTCAGCTCTTACTGTATCATCAGTTCTGGAACAACTTCCTTCGCTCCAACTGCATTCTCCACCAAGTGATATGACCCCGTTGGTGGATAGTGAACGGGTAATTGTTCCCTGATTTAAGGAAAAAAATAGATTTAAGTTCTTGATGTGAGTACCATGTTTTTAACTAACCAGGGTGTATGATACAAATAATTGCAAACTTTCCAGGGGAAGATGAGATCTCTACAAAGGGATTTCTTTGTATGCATTTGCTTACAGAGATATTTGTGTACGCATAGTCAACTTACGGAAATTCCGGCAGACGCCTGCCCCGTCAATGCCAAGAAAATTCCAACAGGGATTTTTATCAGTCCAAACCGTAGGTACATGGAACGACCCAGCTGTTTTTCCTTTAACGCGAGAAGATCTCCAGAATATCTGATGATCGAATAGATAGAACGACTTACTCATTTCTCAAAGAAAGAGACCATTAGATATCTTTATAACGCCTTAATTTTGACAACTGATCTCATAAATAAAATTCCTTTCCAAATTCCCATATTCATCCTTGGTTCCCTTGCTACCAAACCTATTAGTCTGCTACGTTCATTTTTCTCTGTTTGGCTTTTGTTTGTTTTTTCTCTGATTTTTTTATTCTGTACATAAATGAACAAGCCACCTGAGATAACGTTTGAAGATCGTAGACTACTAAAAGTGCTTCACTGGATGTTGATATGCAAGTTTTGATCAGTTGAGCTATCTTTGGATATGTCGCGGCTGCATCATCTTTCAGTTGTTAAAGACAAAAAAATGGTATTTGCACACTTTGTGGTATTTCTCAATATAATAATTCTCTTTCAAATTAACAAATAGATTCCAAGTTGCCGATGTCCGATTCCAAGTTGATGTCCTCTTGGAATCTATTTGTTTTATATAATAAAGAACTAAAAAGAGTTTTAATGATGACGTCATCTATACGTCTGTTTTCCAATAGATCATAAGTGAGAACCAATCAGAATGCGTGCATAACTGAGCTTATTATATAATTCAAATTGGACATGTGAATATTACAACACTGCCCAACTCAGAAGTAATACGCGCTCGTAGAATAATTCTTTTAAAATTGTCGATCACTGCCTAGTCAAAGTATTACTAACCTCAGCTCCCCATTTAGACTAAACTGCAAAGAAAATTTCAGATTTCCCTCCAAATCTAGACCAACAGATGCATCCTTCAATCCCAGTCCAAAAAATTTCTTCTCGATTGAGACAAACATGCTCACACGTAGATTCATAGACAAGGAAATTTTAAGTGTCGCCCCTCCAAAGGACAGAAGCTTAAAAACAAAAAGCAGACAGAAGGGAAATCAGATGAAACCCTGATAACGTCAAGCAGAAAATATTTAAAGAGTTTTTTTTCCAACTTAATGGGAAAAAATTGAATGATTAAGTTGGAAATGATGAAAAGTGCAACATTTTAATAGTACAACTGAGAGGAAAGGAAAGGTTAGATAGAAATTCCTTATGTATTTTTTTGCATAATCTGTTTTGCTTTCACCTCTTTTTTTTAAATATTGTGAGCTGTTCTTTTTAAAAGATTCTATATTTTACCTCGAAGGGTCAATTTTGAAGGGTGTTCATTTTGCGATTTTCTAGATATCAAGAAATGTTATTTCTACCAGCATTCTTGGAGGGTGGTGTTTTTTTTTTTTTTTTTTTTTGCCTTTCAATTTGATGAAACCCAGCGGTTTTTTTAGACATTAGTTTATTTTAATAAAATATTTTGATTTTTTAAAACCGACCGATGTGTGGAGGCTTGTTTTACCTTATGATCTATCTTTTCCGGTTGAAAATTTGCCAGGTTAACGTTTTTTGCTGAGCGCTTAGTTCGTCTGTGGTGGTTTTTTAGAAAATTTGTATCCACTTCCGTTATAACGGTTCCATTTTCATCCAGTTTTGCTGTGACTACTTCCAAAAGAAGAAGATTTCCGCTTGAATGCGTGTTTATAACCTAGAATTAGAAGTGAAAGAAAGCTATTAGTAGAAAAAAAAAAGAACGGTGGCATTTGATGAAAGTAATAACTTGCTTGCTTGAATAAAAGCACAAAAGAAGGCTAAAGGTACGCAGACTATTGAAGCTAATTCAAATTTTAATCAAACTGTTTCTTGTCCTGTTTGGATCTTCTAGGTTAACTAGTCACTGAAATACCGTAGCTACCATATCTAAGCATTACTAAGTTACTGATGTATTGAGTAAGGCTATATTGATAGCGTTCCAAAGAAAGAACTCGTCTCGTGTCCCGATAGACCATAACCAATCAGTTGTTCTGCTTCCTCTGGATTCTGATAACCAATGGTGCACTACAAACGGGCAGTCTGGGATTATATCATACGAGACGCTACCTTTGCGATGAAGCCTGTACTTGATCTCCCAATTATCAAATCACCAGAGGAGAAAAGCCCGCCTCGTTTTTGCGATTCTGTAAACACGAGTCCTGGATTATTATCTCCTCCGCTACAACGTACTGACCCAGAAAATCTTTGTTTACTTGCTCGCAGTCTGAAAGATAAAAAGAGTAACACGAGAAATAATAGCGAAAATGAAAATGTCACCTGGCATGAGTGTGAATGATACGGCTCGGTATTGACTTAATTTCAACATGAAACGGATACCATAGCTTCTCTGCTTATTGTAAAGCTCTCACTCCTGACAAAATTTCAATAACCGTTATACTTATGATAGCGAAATTTCGAGCTATTTGTCTGTTTTTACGCGCCAGAATTAATTTAATGTCAACATAAAGCTCTGCTTTCGTTTTGTAACAACGTCTTAAAAGAGTCATAGTTATTTCCTGTATGCGTGATCAACATCGAAAGCATGCATTCCTTACTCGTGTAAATGCTTGTAAAGCGTTTTCCTATAATTAAGCATGGTAGATATCAGTTTATTTCCTTCAAAACTGCCACAATCACAAACAGAATACCTCGCGCCATCCAAGTGAGTTTTCCCGTCGCATCTGTGAAGTTTGGTTTCCAAGTAATCCGTATCGTCTGTTTTATGAACTGCAATAATACTCTCGATGAAACCGTCACTAGCGTTGGACACAACTATATCACCTGTCGTTGGAATGGTATTGCTTTTCTCTATCACCAGGTAATAAGAGTAGATGAAGGTGCCTCCAATGTCATAGGTGTGTCCAAGGCACCTGTAAATTCCTGAAAAGTGAAATAATTATTTCAGGGATGCAGCTTACCTGCCACCGTTAGTTAAGGGGTTGGAAGGCGAAAGCTGGAAGGTAAAAAAAAACACCTCGGACACATTTACAAGACAAGTCATGCCGTTCGCCTACCCGGAAGGTAGTTATCAGCCGTTTAGCTATCTGAGATAAAAGGAATTTGTAGGGAGCATGAATGTCAATTGAGATAGCATTAAAGCGTTCCACTGTTCTACCGAAAAAAAAAAATCTGTGTAGTTTTTCTGAGCTTCTCGTATACACACGGATGTAACAAGTCGTATATCTAACAAGAGAATGTTTGTTGAATCAGAGATGCCGTCGTCTATATCAGTTCATCTCGGTAGATGATGATGATGGACGACGGTTTTCAGTTTAATAACTAGAGCGCATTTGGAATAAAGCGTTGACTAATCAGAACTGCCCATGTGGGAAATCAGTTGAGGTCCACATTGAAATCGAAATAGACGACTTCGATATTTTGTATGGTAGTCCCGAGTAATAGCTCTTTTGAGAAATAAAGATAGCACTAAATAGGCAAAAAGAGGGATACAGACGACTTGTCATGTCCATGTATCAAGCATTCCCTTTCCTAGCTTCTCCTCTGCTGGCTTTGGTGCTGCTAAGGATTACGCTCCCATCCAAAATTATAGAATAGAATTTAAATAATCTTTTCACATTCCTTTCCTTTATTACTTTTTAGTTAACTTCATTCGCCTACCAGTTGAAAGGATAACTATCTGGCTCTGGTTGGAAGTGATGTTGCCTGATATAAGATCATCCAGGTCCTCTCTATCTGGCTCATCCTCTAAAGTTGACTCATCGTCTAACTGTTCTAAAGACATCTCACTCTTGAAGTCCGCATACTTGATGACTTCTTCCAATCCAGCTGGAGCACTCAACATCAATTTGAAAGGCCCTGTTGTGAGATAAATGTAAACTGGAATAATTTTGCTTCAGACTTTAGACAGTGAGTGATCAATAACAAAAATATTTATCTAAACTTATTCTAATATAAATATAAAATGTTCCTTAGACCAAGCCAGGCATAATCAACAGTTCATGTAAACCGATGTTTACTAATTCTGAATTTAATAATAAATCCCGCTAAGTTTTGTCGAAACGTCAATCACGATCTGTGAGGAGTGTCCTTTCTAGCGCTTGCCTTACCTAGGCGATCACAGTGAAGGATCGATTCATATTTCACTGTTACCAAGGAGACTTTCTCGGAAGGGATCGACTGTGTGGGGACCTCGCAGTTTATGACAGATGTCTTGATAAAACCCTTTTTTTTTCTTTGTATATCCACCCTCTTTTAGTGCTATGCTTGAAACACAATTATTATACATAATAAAAAGAAAATATTTGTAGCTAATGGGTGCTTCACTTCAAGCATGGGCAAACAAACAGAAGCACACATGATAACATAGCGCGCGTGCTTGCCCTATAAAAGTCCTATTGAGCCGCTATGAACGAAATCTTTATTGACGTGAGCATTTCTTTTACCTGGCTTCAGAGTTTCTGCTGCAGGCATAACTGTTCGTCAAAACAACAGTATGGTGGTTGCCCAGGAGAAAACTGCAAGTTTCCTGCAGTCTGTCTTCTCCAATTGCACCGTGCACGGCAACGTAAACATTATTTTAACAATCAAAACCCTCGATGACTTCGGGTCTTTTCTCCATTTTCCCCGTAAATTTTGAGCTTTTTATTCACAGTTATTGGTTAACTGGATCAGTTGTTCTCGCTCAAACCAAAGTATAAGATGTAGCGTGTTTTTGACCAGCCAATAGGGACTTTTGTTTCCTTTTTTTTGTGCGTTGTGAGAATTTTGCACTCTATCACAATAAAAGGCTTCTTCGCGCAGATCCATGTTGTCGCTCTGTTATAAAAGAGTTTGCTCATGCTTTTAGCTGTGCGTATATCGAGCTATGGATGCACTTGGCAAGTTTGAAGAAAACTCAAAAAGCAAGAGTTGCTCTCTGCTCCGTCTCGAGCTACTCTTACGCATTTTTCGTGCTCTCCAAACTTCCCACGTGCACCCGTAACTCGATATACGCACGCTAAGCATGAAAAAATTCTTAATTGAATCTTACCCTTGATGAGCAGCTGAATACTTACCATTATTGACTTCTTTCACAATCTTGTGCAGAATGCCTCCTGCTTGTGGACTGGAAACTATGTCGCCTGCTTGGATGTCCAGAACATTTGGTGCAACTAAAATTAGCGACAATTCATCTTGTTTCGACATAATCACTGGACATGCATAAATGATAGTATCATTGGGCTCCACGAATTTCAAATTATCAGCCAGTTCCACGTTGTTTCTTCTTTCGGGATCTGTATAATCTACTTTCACTTTCCCACCAGGACAGCGGGTCTCATTCCAAGCCCTACATTGGCCTCCTTCCTATTAACAAAATCAAAATGTACGGTCAGTTATTACTTTGTCTACCAGACTGCTTTTTAAAACCAACTTCCGCGTCATCAAACGACGAGGGATGATTCTCGGTCTCTCTTAAAAAGGATAACAATGAATGAAAATCTGGAAACCGTAAAGTGGAATTGCTACCAACATTCCGTCTTTTGAACTGCTGGTGAAAGTTTTAAATGGAACAATTCCCCCAACCTTTTTATAATTTAAATATCTATGCATATATCTTACTGTGAGTTTGTGGCATTTTTCCAGGTCTTGGCACTTCTGACATGACTCAATACTTGTTCCACTGTCTTCGTAGTTGCACTGCTTTCCTTTACATTTTACTGTCTGTCAAAAGAACAATTTGGCATGTAACTAACAAACTTTGGAAAAAAAAAAATCAGGCAGATCAGTGTTGGTGTAATAGGACATTAGGCGAGAGTACGTTTTATTGTTTAATATTGAGATTAGGTCAATGTATGTGATGAAGGGACGTCCCTCTCAAAATTATTATCCAAGGTTTGTTTCCCAGCAACAACACTGAATTGCCAAAAAGCACGAAACACTATCACACTCAGAAACAATTGCTCATATATTCTAACGACATACTAAAACATAGGCATACGTAGCATGCAAGAGTTATTTTTTGGCTTGGTGGGTTAAGATGGGATACTTTGAGTACCATATGTTTACATTTTGTATCAGAAAAAGAGCATAACTTTCAATTTAAGAGAAAGGAAAAAAAAGCCTAATTTACCTAGACTAGCATAGGCATTTTGTGGTCTATTGTCTCCATCGTCTAAATACTTCTAAGCAAAAATAAAATGCATCGGTGCCACGCTTACTGTTGTCTCCTTCGCAGCTGTTGTTTGGTCTTGTCACACAACGCCATCTATTTCCCATGAGAGAGAGAGCGCGTTGCGTGACGAGGCCAAGTAACGGTTACGAAAGGGACTACGCTTACTGCCGTTCCCCTAACAGAGAGAAAATCAAAACTATTCGCTTCAAAAATACAATTCCGCGTACTCTTGCTACGAAAAGCGAACTGAGACTCTGTTGTATCTCCAATATACCCTAACCAAAGGTCTATTGCCATCTCGAATAAGTGAAGATACATCGAACAAGTGAAAAAGATAACTGATATTTCAAATAGGACTCCTTGATTGGTTGATGTTCATGTTGTGCAATGATTGGGTATGTTCTCATTGGATCTTGGACGTTGTTTTCATGGTACGTACTGGAATGTAAGTTGTTTGGCGTGTGCGTTGTGGGTAAAGGAGCGGAAAAGACACGTTTTTCACTTAGAAATGACACAAAATGTTAAATGCGAGCCTTTCATATCCCGGTAAATATCGACATTAGTCAAGAGGTTCTTGCGAAGGCCACAAACCATTACTCTTTTCAAATAAGCCCAAAAGTTTTGCTTAATATCATTCTTTGTACACAGCCTCCGATTCCATGACTCCATTTGCAAGAAAACAATACTCAAACGTTGTGATTGGTGCAAGATATCCAAATGCTGTGACATGATTGGTACAAGATATATATACCCTAATGCGGCAATCTGTTACATACCCTTATGCAGCAATCTGATTGGTGCCAGACAAATAACCCTAATGCAGCGATCTGATTGGTGCAAGCAAAATACCACTCTACACGCATAACATAGTTATTAAAAAAAACATTTAAAAAGTCATATACTATAAGTATTTTCCTCCTTTCCCCCTCTTTTCCAATTACCATTATATCCCGTGAACATTCCCCGTCTTCCACCGTATAACAGTGGTAATAGAACCAATCGGCACATTCTATCTTCGGAGGTCCTTCAGCAACTCCTCCAAGGCAGGACCGCGAACTGTCACACCATCCACATGATGGATCTGTCACGCAATCAGCACAGCTTTCGTACTTTCCACAGAAGGAGTAAGTGCATCCAAGACCCTGCAAAAGAATCAATGTTTACGTGATAAACAATCTTAGACAAGATTAACCCTTTTACTCCCAAGATCTCGTTAGTAATTCTCCTTACTGACTGCAGTAAAATTCCTATGATTTTAGTTCTGAGAATTTGTTACTGGATCAACTGATAATCCCCTAATTGATTTCCCTTTATTCTCATTACTTGAAATGGTATGGATTTTGTAGGGAGAAATTCTCTCTTAGTCACTTATGGGTGTTAAAGGGTTATGCACATAAAATAATTTTGCCCAAGACTAAAACAAGAAAGTCCTCCGCACAATGCGCATATATCATCTTAAGTAGATACAAATTTAGTAAAAATAAATAAGTTGATGCGATATTTAAAAAAATAAATTCCATTTCAGTGAGACTTCCGCAGTTCTATGGGAATCGTTAACATCGACTTCAATAGGATTCAAGCCCTTTTTCAATCGTTTACTAATAAAAAATGCTCACCAAATAACCTGGGTAACATCTGCAGACATTAGGACCCAAGCATTCACCGTTACCAGAACAGTTATGTAAGTCATGGCAATGAAACTTGGAACAGTCTTCTCCGGTCCATCCGGGGTAACAGAAACAGGTGGCACCTATGCAGTCGCCATTATGAAAACAACTGTTTGGACAGTGAACCACTGTAAGAGAAGTTCAGAAACCCAATTCTAAGTCAGTTGCATGAGAAAAATAATATATCTTGAAGAACTGCTTTGTTTATGTCTGTCTTCTATTAACAGTTATCACAGGATATCCGTCAAAGCAGAAATGGTTTGATACGCCTACTGATGTGGAAAAAAAATTAGAGGATGGATCCAACGTCACCTACCTGGTCTCCTCACGCAAACGAACGGATTAAGCTGGTTACAATGGGACTCTGTAACATTCCCATAGCTATCAACAACAGAGCACATTCCGTTGTCCTGACCAGAACTGCCTCCAAGCTGCAACCAAAAAGTTGAAATTTACTGAATCATATCTAAGGAGGAATTTTCCTTCCTATGTTGTGCAAAATGCGATTGAATTTCAAACGCAGGAAATAAAACTTGAAATGAAGCCTGAGATTGGTTAAAATAATTACAATAATAATCGATTTTTAATATCAATGATAATGAAAAACTTATAATAATGGTAGAGGCTTAACTGTTTTCGATCATATTATGGTTTTCGTGGAGTTTTTATCCGCCACCAACAGTTTGTGAAGGGTAATATACAAAGGAGGCTCCACACTTATCTACGCTCGATTCTTGCCGCTGAATAAATTCCAGGGCTCATTCCCTGAACAACGGTTTGTTACCGGCCCCGATTTATCTTTGGAGATTATCTGTTCCTAGACACTCACAGATTTCCATGAGAACTTCTTTTTCAAAAGCTGTCCGCTCTTAAATCACATAATGATAATGGCCGCGGACGGATGTCTGAGCATCTCTCTTCACCAAGGAGTGGGGGAGCAACTACTCATTCATTCATCGATTTATTATTTTATGGAGCTTGTTTTTATTAATTAAAGATCACTTCAATGTTGTTGTTGCGATTTTACTTGTTTCTCCCTCACCTCTCTCACGAAACGCCTGCTCATAATCCACAAAGAAGGCAAAACATCAGGACGAACCAAGGATTCCTTTTGCCTCAAACTTTGGACGAGTCGTTTATCTTTGGCCGATAACATAGTTATGAGATTTCCTCCATAGTTCTTCAGAAGTGATGATTAGAGAAAGAAGCGAAGGTTATTATTGGAAACGTAAAATAATAGAAGGGAACCCTTTTTCCTTCCTTAGAGAATTTGAAAGTAGCATAATCTTATCATTGATTGTCCTTACGTGAGCCAGCCAAACAGCAGTGCAACAACCCCTTAATAAAAAGCTTAGCTAGCGAAAAACATACAACCTTGACTAAGCTAGAAGAGTAACTCGATGACACTGAGGAAGAGTAGAATGCTGATCAATTCTTACCTCGTATCTAACATGTGCTTACCCAACAATACTTCTCGGCTTCATGGAAAGTGAAAGAGCCTCCCTTATACAGGAAACACATCTCATCGTCTTTAATCCACTCAGGTGGGCATGACTCTGAAAAGCATCAAATTTTTTACTATCAACCTGATTAAAAATGTGGAATTGAACTAAGTTCACGAAGGGATAATAACAAAACCTTGATTCTATGTTTTCATTGTTTGTCATCTTTGGTTGTTGTCTCTTCTTTTCTGAGACGCTTGTTTTCCCTGGGCGATGGGTTCGGCTGCTTACCAGCCATCTTGTGGGGAATGATCCTCCACCGAAATTACTTGTTTTTTTCACTGCTGTAGCTGGTGCACTTTGTTATTGTTTCGGAAGTTAATACCCAAGTGGTCCGCTGTTTCAAAGCTATACTTTTGCGATAATTCTTAATCGGGAGTATCAATACTTAAGGAACTCTTTTAGAATCATCTTGATTGATTTAAATGGATCTAGATTGATTTGAAACATTAATCTATGGCTGGTTTTGAATAAGCTCCCCACTGAAATAAGTCTCCTCCCCCCCTCTCTTCGGCTATCATTAAAATTTTCGGGAAATAAGCTCCACGGAGGGGAGTGAGGTTCGACTTTGGTTATATGGAAGATATAAACAAATACTTAAAATGACTGATACTAATCGACGCAATGGATGATATTTACCAGAAATAACTCTACGAGGCAGCAACGCAATAAATGGCTGAAACACCACTGTTAATGAGAGACGGTAGTCTTTCTTATTATCCAAAATGAGGAAGGCGATCAAATCTGGCTTGCTCTCTCCCCACCAATTGAATGTGGCGTTAACAATAAATGAACTCCCTCGCATTGTTGTGCTTATCTGATAGCGGTTTTCGGGATTCTGTAAAACATTTCCATGGATTTCTGCTCCACCATTGCAAAGTATTGTTGCCCCATACTTGACACGGAGCCCAGATGCACTATTCTTGTACAACGTGTTATTCACAAATTGAAGACCTGTAACATCTTTTTTAGGGAAATCATACAGGAAAACATAGTGACCGATGTTCTTGTAGAAGAAATTTCCGCGAACAATCGCCAATAACCTTGTTATATTGCATACACTGTTTGCTTTGCCATTCCAATCTCGAGCCAAGTTGAGAGAGAAATAGTTATTGGTAACGTTAACGTTCAAAAAGGGCTCGGAATTTCCTTCCAGAATTAATGTCCCTCCATTATTTGACTCTAATGTGTTTGCATGAATTTGGCTTATTAGTTTTGGCTCGGTATGTGAATCTTCATGGAGGACACTGGAAAAAATAGCTCCATTTTTGTTCTCGGCCAAATAGTTATTGACTATTTTAAACACCTGATTTATAGCACTAAGATGAATGGCTCCAGATGGCTTCCCGTTGAAGACTGGACTCAGACCATTGTTTGTAATCTGACAACGCTCTATTTTGAGAATATGGCTTTTACTCCAGTTTGACACGTAACTTATTCCTTGTTCATCATTGCTACTGAAAACACTCTCAGACACTCGATGCATGACTTCAGGTGCTGAATAAAAAAAAAAAAAACAAAACAAAAAATTCGGGTTTAGAGAAAGATGTTTTTCGTCTTGTCACGAGCGTGGGACAAAGAAAAAATTCTGAAAAATTGCCATATTTCTTATTCTATTTACAAACATGACGCTATCGACATTGCAAATCCTAACAGTATGCAGGATGCGTGTCATATGAACCTCGTAATAGACCCCGCTCACCGTAGAGTCTGTGGCTTAGTGGTAGAGCATCGGAGCGCGGAAGCCGAAGGTCGTGACAAGACGAAAAACATCTTTTTCTATATCTTTACCGAGCTCAAAACTCACCATCCCTCTTATTCCATCATTCCGACCTCAACGAAGAACTACAACTAACGAGTTGACAGGTGAGAAACGTTCTAAATACTTCTTGTATCAGCATTATTTCATAATCACATTTTATCCTGGCACTATTACCGGTTTGGTTACGTGAACATATGAGTATTAGATAGACAACGAATGGCTTCTAAGAACATGAAAACCCCATGCAAAACGGATGGGTCACAAGATAATATATAATAACTTACAAAGACCGCATTGAATTAAGTCCATGTCATCTATGGAAACGTAGCCGTAGTACCGGAAAAACCCCAAGAAGATAATCGAGTAGTTAGATGACGTCTGGGGAAGCGTAATAACTTCTTTTTTCCAATAGTTCACGGTGTTGGCAGACCATAATATTGTCGACTTATTTCCATTCGATTCTTCAATCGAGATGGATAGGTTCCCCCATCCCTTATCCCAGAGTGTGTAGTAGAACACTAAGTAACAGTAGTTGCTCTCGTTGGAAATTGGTGGACTGGCGAAGGCTCCATAACCCATTCCAAAGTGAGAGGGTCCCAGCAGCATGTAAGTTCCTGAAATAGTAGTTAGAACAAACTTACGCACCTCTTATTCTTCTCCGATTTTATAGTAAGAGAGTAATAAGAGATCACAGATATTTGCGATACTCGTATAAGGAAGCACCTTGTTTTAATGGTGAAACTTAGAAATAATAAAGCATTCTTGAATATCTCACGATGCACTTGCTCCAATTGATGTGACCTATATCAGAAAGGACTTCATGATGAGAAAAAAGTTCACCGTTTTTAATAACCACAACCTTTTCATTAAGGATTGGTTAAATGGATATCTCAAATGGTTAAATCAGTGTGTGAATAACCTTATAGCAACAAAAAAAAATCACTGTCATCAATCATTTACCTCCCTTCCATAAATAGGTGTGGTCAGCCAATGATCCGTAAGACGACGAGAGGCTATGCAAGTTCCATTTTTGGGTTAGGGCAACGCCTCTATAGAGTGGCCTGGGATAATTTCTCCATCCACATAGACCTCTTTCAAATGTGCAAGGAATATCTAAGAGACATTTAACCATAAGATAAAAAGTTGCCTTGCTGTTTTAAAACTGTAAAGAAAACATGTTGGATAAGTCATTAAAAGTTCCATCTGAGTTTCTACATAACAATCAACACCAGATCGTATTACAAAACTAAATCAGGTTTTTCTAAATGAAGCTTCAAATCGACGCTGAAAAAAAAAAAAAACACCAAAAAAAAAAATGGAGAGCCATCACCAGACGTACGACAACTAACTTCACCAGCAATCTTTGAACGGTGAAACAATCGATAATTTTACAATGCATCTAAGCTTGTTCTACATTATAGTTCAAACGATAACGTACCCTTTCTTTCAACTGGTTCCACTTGTAAAATCATCTCACTTTGGCTCCAGCCTTCAAAGTCAACTTGAATATAATTCCACGGGATCACCCGTCTTGCCAACGGACCTAGATCTTCCAAGGAAAACCTTAATACTTCATCTGTAGAGTTAGAAATTGACACAAATAGTACAAATTTCATTACCAGCATCTGAATAGCAAGACCATAAGATCCTGGTGAATAAACGAAAACGGAGCAAGACATTCTTGTAAATGAATAAGTCCTAATTGATTTTTTAAAGTATAGGAATACTTCGCGATCCTTTATGTTCACTAGTTTTTCCGAACCACACACATGAACTTGTCCGTACGATAGACCATGGATCCAATCGCCGTTTGGTATTGTGAAACGCAATCCATACCTATTCTTTACCGATTTAACGCTCTCAATAGTAAGGTTTTGTCTAGTATTAACTATTTCAGCTCCACTGCCTCCGCAATTCACGAAAGAACTGTTCGTTATAAGAACCTCCTTTTCTGGAAACCATACTTTGATACCACCTGCTGTACAATTGAGAACAGTCAAAAAACTTAGATCTGGAACGTACTGAATCATTTCAATAGCAGCAACTTGCTGACCATGTATTTCACCGCAATGCTCAATCTTAAGGTATTGTAAATATGATGTAGGATGATGGAACGAGCTGTTAACTTCGCGGACAAATCTTATGTTTCCCCAGGGCTTTCCTTCACTGCAGTTCAATAGGACATGATTAGAAGAGTTGCAAGTGAGATTGTGAAAAGATAAAGAACATTCTTTGACATCTGCTTCACTGCCATCACAATTTAAAACTGCGCATGATGTCCAAACACTGGTACATTTTTCATGGGAAAAACTCATGGATGATGATGTTTGATAACCTAGATGTTCACAGATCACTTTTGCGTTGTTCGCTCCAAATGATGCTGTCTTGTTCAAGCAAACTGAGGTCCAATTTCCCTGATGAAGTATCTCTGCCCGACCTTGCCAGGGAAACTTACCGCCAACTAAACGTACCGATAATGACTTTTCAGTTTGGTTCTCTTTCCATCCAGAAAATAGTACTGGTGTATCCTTTGCTCCGCGCACAAAAAGCGAACCCAGAACCAACATACCGACACCCGGCTTAAACTGTAATTCAACGCCTGGGTCAACTGTAAGTGTAGCATTTGGCAAAACAGTGATATCTGACAGCACTATGAAAGGGCTCTGGTTTTTCTTTAGTTCAATACTATATAAGATACGTCCTCCCAAGTAATTTTCGGCAGGTACATTCAGTGTGTCGCGGGTGCTCGAATTTTTCACCACGTTCCCTGCACTGTTAAGGAAGGGACGAAAAGCGGCTAAGGTAAGTTCGTAATTGTCTTCAGCGTCAAATATTCTCTGCTTGATTTTAACCTCATCTTCATGACCCCAAAAGTTTAGCGGCACTGGCAGCATACTTCTGTGTGAAGCTGCATATGTATTCACACAAAGTTCTTTTGAGAAGCGGTTGCTGTTGAAGATGTTGTAGTTTATGACAATAACTCTATGAACCATAAGTCCTGATATGCTTACTTCACAGGGTAGCGACCGAGATGACACCTCTGTGTTGTTAGAAAGTGAATTTCTAAAGAAAATTAGCGTGGAAGGGTAAATATATTCACAATGAAGACGAACCATAAACAGTCCCTGATTAAACTGAAAAACATTGCCAAAAATCTCGATGTCCCTCTTCATGCCTCGCACCTCGATAACCCCGGAGTTCGGGCACCGATTATATTTGAAGACGTTCCTTCTTATAGTGGCATTCGAGGTAAACCATTCCCCAATGAAAACGGATCGTCCATAGTTTTCTCTAAAGACGTTTCCTTCAATCATAATTTCCCTTAAGATTCCTGTAATATATATCACGCCCTTCTCCTCACAAGTATTAACTAGGAAGTGATTTTTTCTTACAATGACTTCGCCTAGTGTGTTCACGATGACAAGAGCTTTAGTGTTATTAACAAAAACGTTACTTTCGAATTCCGATGGATGAATGTCGATATTTACTACAGGACCTTGGTTGTTAAGGAACGAGCAGTTCTTGAATACAACTCGTGAAATGCAAGGATAGTCACAGTAAAAAACTCGTGAGTACACAGACGTACCCAGGTTCCATGCAAAACGGGTTTCAGTTACAAAAAGTTTCGCTTTTGTGTAGTGGCCGCCCAAATAAAGTCCAGAACCGTCGTTATGTGTGATACTACTGTTTTTGATATGAACCGAATTTAGAATGTCTAAATCCACAAGTATAGCATTCCATGTTGACTTTGAAACCTTGCTTTTTTCAATATTAACGTTGCCCGGGAACCCTGACTTTGGAGGACCCCACCCTTTTTGAAGACCAACGATTTTGATTCCAATCTGATGTGTCATGAATTCACAATTAAATACAGTTAAACTGTTAAAACGCGAGAACGCCGTTTCCAGGCCGTTTCCTGGTGAATATCGAACTGCTGAATTTTCGACTTGAATGTTTCCTGAGTCTTCGCCTCTAAAATAAATTCCACCAGGAGCGCTATGGCTGAAACTACTCTCACTGATGATGAGGTTTGCTGATTTCATTGTCGTACCTTCACCGTCTGTAACTTACAGAAAGAAGGGAAAAAAATCACATAACATTGATACTAAGAAATATCAAGAGTAGTCCATCTACCTAGAGAAAATTATGTTTATTATCAGGATGACTGGCTCTCTAGTTCGATTTCTTTCACTTCTTGTCACAACCAAGGCAATATCAAGTTTCATGCCAAATTTTCATTTTCACTTTTTATCTCTGAAGGGCCATATGGCGGCGTGCTTTATCTTTTCTTCTCATGTGCAATTTTTGCCTGCCTCTAAACTAAAACAGCTACTCTAAAACGTACGTTTTCTCTCTTCATCAATCGAGATTTAGATTTACCATGAATCCTTAATACAGATTGAGGGAAGTGGCTTTTTCTTTAACTCTCCGAGTGCAGAGAGATGTATCCTTGAAACGAAACAAACGAGATCTGTAGAAATGTGCTTTAAACTTCACACAGTTTATCCTTCAAGTTTTTAGCCATTCAAAATGCAAATTGCATTAGTCGATTAAACTTTGATCCGTCATTACATCCAGGTATCCTAGGCAGTCGGTTTGGATTGGGTATAAAACAAACAAGCTAGATAATATATATAAAATGCAAAATAAAAGTGAGCAAATGTTAAATGCAAAACTTGAACCCACCTTTGATGAGAAACAGAAGAAGATGAATGGAGCTGTGGTAATCGTTTTGATGGAAGGAATTTTCCAGAAGGATTGAACTATTGTGTGTCATCCAAATAGGACGGTTTGACCACTGTACCGACTGTATATCCCAGAGTTTACTCGAGTTCTTATTTCGTGTGCTATAAATGTGGAAGGGTGCACTTGAATTTACGTCATGATGTATTAACTGCAAACCAATCGTGTAATTCTTTGAAACTGTTATAATCCTCTGGCAAGCTTCACTGCTCCTTGCTGTCACAGCCAGGTAATAAACTAAGCTGGAGTCATTAATAAAAGTCTCATTTTCAGAGCAAGTTTGAATACGTTTCTTTACAGTCTCATCAGCTATTGTGAGAACGTGTTTATTGAGGGAATTCCAGTTGAAGTGATATAAGAATCCGTATCCCTTTGTGTATATGACATTAACTCTCAAGAGGTTCACAAATGGAGTTTCCAAACGAATTCCATCCAGTTCAGTCTCCGATACTGTCGAGTTCATGATATCGTGTGAAGTCTTAAATGGATCTGAATACATCATTTGAAAACCAATTCCGGCAGAATTTCTCACAGATACCCCACTGATGTTGTGACGACTAAGATCGATTCTACAAGCAATACCAGGAATTCCAAGGTCCTCTCTGTAGGCAAAACCCGCATACTGTATGTCCACATTGCTGAGGAAGCTTTTCTTGGATGTTACTGTGAAATGTATACCAGCCCAGTAAGGAGTTTTGCAGCTGACATACAGAACATTTGCCGGGCATGATGATGACGAAGTCCAGTTGTTTCTATTACAATTTGTGATGTTGTCACCTTGATCTGCATCACATCGGACATTATGAAGGAACATGTTATCTTTTCCATTTGAGTCATTATGGTAAGATTTCACCCATTCGAATCCCAATTGCCTACACACTATTTTGTACTCATATTGATAGCTACGCATACAAACTGGTAGCCATGTGCTATTAAACCATATTTCGACTTTTCCTTCCCATGGACTAGGCCCTTCAACAAGTCTCAATTTGTCAGCGGAAGGAGTCTTTGGGATAAATTTAACCCTCTCTTTGCTGCTACCCCTTATAATTATCTGACCATGAACGAGGAAAAGTCCTTTCAAAGGAAATTTAATGGTTACTCCGTATTCAATGGTAAGCACGCCTTTCGGCTGTATAATGACATCTCCGATAACTTGGTAGGGGGAAAAATCGTTTTTTATAGTGACTGCTTCATCTAATATTCCAGCAATCTTATTGCCGCGAACGAAACAAGATGGTCTGAAGCCACTATGCACGTAAGCACTGGTGGAATTGCGAGATAACAGGAAGGGGTAGTATTGAATCCTTGGAAGCTCCACTCGATCCTCGAAGTCAAAAATTCTTTCTTTCACTTTGCATTCATCTTTTGTGCCCCACCAGTTTTTTCTGGCTAGAATTACACGATCCTGATCTTTAAAAAAGATGGCAAAATCATGGGGAAACAAAGGATTTTCAAATGAATTATGCTCGACAGTTATATTTCCTTCTGTTATAGCTATAACAGCTTGCGTTTTAGTACGAATGTAACTGCTGGAAAACGATTTGATTCCTTGATTCTCTAAAAACCAGTTGTTGTTGATGATAGCTTGCCGTTTTGTCGGAAGAGTATTATAATCTACAAGACAAGTATACTTTCCCTTGTTCTTTGTAAAGATGTTTGCCAGAATTTGTATTTGCACCGGAAAGGTGTTAAAGACCTTGCATACCGAATAGGAAAAATTCTTGTACGCAATCTTTATGGCAAACCCAATGTTTTCTTCAAATATATTATTTGCCAACACTGCTTTTGCCTCGTACCATTCTGGACCATCTACGAGTAAACCGAATTTCTGATTTTCTCTCACTACATTGCCGACAAATAAAAGTTCAATGCGTCTGTGAAGCGAATATACTTTCCAGTAGCAAGACATTGGACTTAACTTGCAACCACCCAGAGTATTATTCGAAATTGTGGAGTTTGATACAGTTATAGCATAGTTAACTTGGTAATTAGAGAATGCTGTGTTAATATAAAACCAGAAACCGTATTCATTGTTCTCCGAAACGTGACAGTTTTTAAGGTGAACTGATTGCAATCTAGAAGAAGCGCCATCAACGAACAAAAGACCATTTTTTTTGTTCGAATGAACAACACAGTGCTTCACTAATATTTTCCCCTCTTGTCTTTTAATGTTTAGGCCATCATATTGGTTACCAGTAGAATACCAAGAGTCTATGATTGCACTTGTAACCCCTTGCTCGATAATTAAACCATAGTTGTAGTTCTTAGAGGTAGAAACGTTCTTCAAATTTAGCCTTTCGGCGGTTAATTTTTCAAGATACATTCCGCTACGTGAATTTCGGTCAAACAAAGAAGAGGTCACTTGAAAGCTACTGGCAGTTACGTTCTCAAACCAAGCCCCATGCCATCCATTTTCAAGCGACCATACATTCGAAAGTTGTATCTTGCAATCTTCACTGAATTCCCTCATATTAATTCCGTGACCTGCTTTGTTTCGACTGAAATGTGTGTTGGAAACATTGATAGTGGAGTTCAGCTGGTGTCTAATCAACAATCCCCGGTCTAAATTATCTTCTATGCGACTCTCGGTCATTTGGAATGAAAATGTTCCTGTATTAATTTCGATTCCTGATGCTTTGTTTTTCGATGAATTGACAGATTCAAATTCCACAGGTCCTTTGATGGTATTTATTTCCACACCGTTGTTTCCATTAGTTTCAAACACCGATGACACAACATGGAGTCTACCTCGTGAGTTTTTCACTAGTAAACCGACACTGTTTCCGTAAACCGCCGTATTAGAAATCTTAGAAGGGCCAATAGCATCGTTAAGTTCAATCCCAGATTCAGAATTGTTGGAAAATTTACAATTTGAGATCAAAATTGATGGCTCCTGAACTGTAAACATAAGAAAAATAGAATTCACTTAATTTTAACGCCTTATTAGACTGCCCCCCTTCCCCCCTTTTTTTCTCCTGTTGAGGAGGTGGCAGAAGGGGAACGTTTGCCCCCTTTCCAAATTTTTTAATCATTCCAAGACTTCCAAAAATTCCGACATCACTTGTCACAAAATTTAAATAATTGGTGACCTCAAATTGGCAACTTTGGATTTCGGGAGTTGTTTAACAAATTACAGAAACAATGATGTAAAATACGTGTTATAAACACAATCCAGCAAACAGCAATCATCACGGAAATTTCAAGTTGAAAATCCAGTCAATTGATTCACCAAAACTTTTCAAATCAAACTTGGGAAAAATTGGGTTTTTTTGGAAAATTACAATATAGTGGTTTCAAAACTCTTTAAGTGTATCGAGGTCAAAGTCCTATTAGCCCACTAAATTACTGATAAAAACCGACCTAATGAGTCACTGTTCATCAGGCTAATTGACTAATTGGCGGGAGAGTATAACAGAGTAATACAATATTATCAACTGAGTTGATAACGTGAATTAGTCATCGTAAAAAATTTAAAAACTGACGTTTCAAGCGTTAGCCCTTCGTCAGAGCGAAGGGCTAACGCTCGAAACGGCAGCTTTGAAACTCTTTGCGGTTGCTAATTTACGCCATCAACTCAGTTGATAATACTTTATTACCCTAATACTAAGCCAGTTGACCAAAAGTGCGATTTTATCGATAAAAAAAAAGTGTTACCTGGATCCTCTACGACGATCATCTTCAAGCGTCCTCCCGACCAAAGGCCATATTTGGAAAAAAATATAATTTCCGAAACAGAACTAGCACTAATTGTTATTGTCTTTCCATTGTGGGTATCTGTAATTCTGCTGACTAACGTTTTGTTTTTTGCATTTCCATCTACAATATCAAGTTCAAATTCATTTCCTTTGATCAGCGTAAAATGCACAGTGAGTCTTCTTCCAGGTGACGCTTTGAGAATCTGAAGTTTGATGAAGTTTATGTTTAAAAGCAATCAAAATTTCTTTGTCAGATCGTAAGAGATTTTTTGACTCTCAGGGTGAGAAGAGGATTCGGAATTCACTCTGCGGGCCGATTTCGATTTTGGTTCGTATTCTTTAGCCTTTTGCATGTTTGTTTCAGTTCATTTATTACACCCATTTTGAAATCACTGGTGATCCCTGTAATCTGATTGACTCTAATTGGTACGATTTATTCACGAATCGCACCATTTTTTGCTTTAAATCGTATCTTTTCCCCAGCCAATGAGGAGCCACACTAAAAACAAAACAACCAATCAGATTTCAAGGCTTGTTTAAGGTAACCAATCAAATTGCAGGAAAATGAATGACAAAGAGTCTCATGTGGCAAATTTTGCAAATTTTTGTTTCCAAAACTCATATTGGTTTTCCAAATGAATAACATAATATAATCATTACATCGTAACCCGTTTAACTAATTGAAAACTTTATGCCATTCAGATTAGATCATCACATCAAAGATCAGATGCCAGTATCAGATTGTAACCCAAGTAACAAGTTAGATTTACTCTTAAACCTGTACAGATTGTTATACAAACTGTATCAAGTTTCACAAGGGGAAAGGCAGATGTAAAGTACATGTCGCGGGAAGGAGATGAGAGACAACTGTGATCGAACATGCTAATTAACACAATATACCAAACGAATAGAAAAATCGCTAACTGTATGTATAAATCGCTAAATTCATATGAATCCCACGTTTCAGTTCTTACCTGGCTGCATCTAGTCATCGAGACTTTTGCAACTGCATTCACAAGCAATGGGAAATAAATCTTCCGCGGAAAGACGGAACATAGATCCACTGCTGTGCGTGTGTAAACGAATCCATCTCCAGACCTTGTATTTACTATGGTGGCATTGTGCATAATAACTTTGCCAAATGAGTTCTCGATGTTTACACCCATCATTCTTGAACTCAGGATTGTGGAGTCGATAATTTCCATAGGTTTGGCAAGTTCTTGTACCTGCACTCCATAGGCGCAATTCTTTAAAGAAATGCCAAGCAAGGCAGGGGCCGCTTTCTTCGCTTTTATTCCGTCGAAAGCATTTTCTATGTCCACGTTCTCCAAAGACGAGTTTCCGTGCCCCTCATAGGAGTTTCCTGGTGCAAAGTAAATACCTCTCCAGAGGACCTTCTGAGCCAAGATAGGCAAGTGAGTGTCACACTCGATTCCGATGTCGTACTTAGGATCTGGCTCATTGGTTTAGTTTTTGATGGAACGGAAAAAAAATATGACTCAGCCAACTTTCAATAACTGATTGACATTGTTTCCTAGCGCAGATTTTGTTGTTATTACATGCAAGACGAACTATGACGGTTTTAAGCACTCAACCCAAATTCCGAGCTTAAGAACCTTACACCTTTTCTCTGACTTGTAACTTCCGTAAAATCAACAACAGTAAAAGTCTTAACAAAAAGAGAGCAGCACGATGACTTTCAATGTCTCGTAAAAGACCATAGAGAATGGACAGCCTTGTGACATCGGGTACAGCTATGAGTAGTTAACATTACAATCACAATCCCTGGTTGTATTTCGAATTAATCGTATCAATCTAAAAATGCAATGTTTCAACTTCTTCATTCTAAAAGTTACATTGACATAACGGTTTATTAACTTCTGATTCGAAATCCTTAAACCATTTTATCAAATTGACTTCCCAATCGATGAGGTCAGGCTACCCAGAGCAAAGCCAGGGTTAAATGACCGCTAGTAATGGAAGAAATTCTACCTAACATTAAACTTCCTTTTCACATAATGAAAGGGACCCATTCTCCAGGTTGTGTCACCTCGCCATAATATTTGTGGAAAAAGTGTCACATATCTTAATTATACCCTATCATTCAGGAAGTACAAGTTATACAAGCGGACCAAGAATCTAGACAATTTTGTGGTTCCTGGAAACTAGAGACCACTGGCAGAAGTTTTTTAACCGCCTTTAATACAGCTAGTATTCCCTGAACACAGACCTCTAAGGCAATGTACCAGCTGGTGACAAGAACTTGTTTACACCTACAGATTTGCACAGGATCGGGCAACGATTTGGTGCTATGTTATCCTATCGTTTTATCTGTTAGCTAGATGCTTCCACCAATCCCAGGAGCAATATGCCGCTGTCACACATGCTGGCGCTTGTAAACGACCAGTTTAGCCTGCAAAACCTTGGCACTGTCTAATTATATTTAGGTCTTAGGATTATGCGCAATGCCTAACCTACAACAATGTGACCATCTCAGATTCGATTTTTTTTCGCTAAAATGCTATCGAAGAGGAAAAGATGCGGTGAAATTGACGGCGAAGCGAATCAGAAGAGAGTTAAGAGTGGCAAAGTTTCAAGATGAAAATCCTAAGATTTCATTTTGGGAACTTTAGGGATGGATTATTCCTTTTAAAATCACGGCTGGAGAAAAGCTTATATTAATAGAGAACAAATTTCCTAATGCGAACCTAGGGTAAATATTTAGGTATCATAGCTTTTCGCAAGTTTGACGTCGGAATCCGATACGATACGCGTAGATTTCTTGTGAAATTCATGGAGAGGTGAAATATTTCGCCACCCGAAATTGACTGTAATTAAAGCGAACGTTGTGTGTGAAGTCTTACATACCGCAATGTAAATACCATTGTCCACATAGTGTCCTAACGTCGATTGCATCTACCCTTCCATGCATGGCCTATCAAATTACAATGTTTTGCCAGTTGATGTCACTAAACTTATGGAAAATGGAAAAACCCTCAAGATTCGACCGAATTATCCATGATCTACCCCCCAAATTTAAGTGGGAGTGAATGTCTATTTAGTCACCGGAAATCCATTGTAAGGGACAATAAAATTTCGATTAGCTCAGCCTATTGTGAGCACGCAGATTGTCAAATGAATTTCATTGTGTTAGTGTTCATAATTTTCCTTCCTGTGAAAACTCGTTCTTTGTAATATTCAGTAGAGTAGTTTGGTGGTTAAGGCGAGGTGTCTCTGTGGGGATGGGGTAAGTATTGTACATTAATCGACCGTACCACTCGCGGTAGAGAGAAAATTGACCTCGTACCCAATTCTCTTTCGCGGCCGTGTCGAATCTGCGTGTTCAAAGCATAGCCAGAAAGAAGCGAACTTGGAAATTCAGATAGAAAACGCTCGTTTCCAGCGAAATGCGCGCGAAGTTTTGGTATTGAGACATGTCCCAGGGTGCAGTGATCTTAGATCGTAAAGTGTGGCTGAGAAAAAATGCCAATCGGGAGTATTTTCGGGGCACAAACCACCTCGGCGTGGACTACGGTCGAAATCGGAGTGCGCAGCCTTGACTTCGTCTTTTGACATGGATAACAGTGATGGTAAAGCAAGCTTAAAACGGCAGAAATCGCCAGAAACTACGACCGATACACAGGGCATGAGCAAGTTTATTGATTTTACGTGTAAAATATTCATATTTCGAAATATTTATCGTTGTAAATCGACCATATTTAGTTCCTCATACTATTCCTTATAACGTGTTCAAATTTTCAACGGTTCCTCCCGTAACTTAACACCGAGTCACACAACGCGTGACACGTTCATGAATTCATCGTTGGCTTTTTCTCGAGACGCGAGCTTGGGCCGCCTGTGTTACCGACGTATCAAAACTGACCAATCACGACTGACTTAGGCCACTCGAGTCTCACAGCCAATTAAATCACGGCTAAACTAACCAATCTGTCTACGCGAACCGGACTTAGAACACTTCACTGACAACAACTCTCCACTTGACCCTGATGATGACTTCCGCTCACGTTGTCGAAACGTCATTAAATCGACATCATTCCTTCTCAGAACTACCCTCGCCCGGATGATCACACACACAAATTCTCGAGCAAGGAACAAACTGACGCTTAATCTGAAGGTCAAATTGTTCAGAAGATTGAAATGATGTTCTCTAGCGTAAGGTCGGAGATAGTACGTGTATTTACACAAAATTACCGGCCAAGATTTCCACACAGCCCCTACTTTACTATACATACATTTCTTGGATAAAGGTTGCCTTTGGGAATACGGCTTTGTTTCAGAACGGTATGTGGTTGTGCGGAAGTCTTTCTCTAATGTAGATGATTTCAACAAACTCCTAAAAGTGCTCCACCGGCAATTGTCAGCAATTGTGAATAAATTTAACAGTTCGAGGGGTTTCCACAATTGTAATTTTTTAGTTTGGGAGGTGTATGGACTGAAGATAATGACTCGGTCACTCAAAACGCCCAATTTTTGAACGCGGCTTCGACTGTTAAGTTTAAACTGAAATGGTTGAGGTTCCTGATGACCAATTTTCAAACACAAAACGGATTTTGTCAGAGGGAAAGTTAAAGTAACATTTGCCTTGTGTAAATATTTGGAAGGTAGTAAGATTTTTCAGTAAAGCGCTCTTAAAAATAGCTTTTGTGCATTTTCATGAGCAAAGGATATTACTTCTGCTTCTAAAATTCTTAGGATTGAAGGTACTTTTTTAACGTTTAAACATCCGTGCGTAATTAGCGATTATTGTGCCACACTAATTATTCAAACTTCAATCCTTAATGATTAAACAAAGAAGGTAGTAAAGAGGGGGGAGGAGGTCGTGGGGAGGTCGTGATCCAGTTTCACCTTGGAATTTTGAAAAAATTCACTCATCACGAATTAAAAACTGAGAGAAGACTTCAAACCTCCCTTCTTGTACGCGTGATTTCAGGGAAATTCTGATGTTTTCACGAAATGAAAGAAAGATTTCATGTATTACCTATCATTTCAAGAGGCAAATCACGCCTCACGTGTGTTCATAACTCCACGAGTCACGCTCGCCTTTCTGTAAAATTGACGAGTCAGGTAGCAATTTTGATCTTTATCACGCGTCGCGTTTAAACCCTTTGCTACCTTTCAACAGTAGAGACACGTTGCTTGGTTAATTTTAGCCCCCTATTACTGGAATATCTCTGTTACTTATCAGATGCGAATAGCCTTGCACACCTCCAAATCATGGCTTGGCGGGTGACTTAAATGGGCTTTTAGGCTATTATTTTCCAAATAAATCCACATACCCGTCCCTTTCACCAGACGGGTGTTCCCATGGTCAGTTACACTTGTCTTGTTGGGGGCAAAATTGGCATCTGGTCAATAAACACTTCCGGTGTCGAAAAACAGAAGTATTATTGAGTGATTTATCACAAATCCAAATATCCCGCTAAAATCCATTCCATTAATCGTTTCGCTGCCTAGATTTTCATTTTAGATCATAAAATAATCCTTAGTTTAGCCTGAGCCGTCCATAACGTATTTCCAGCCCTTCAAACTGCATAGTATTACATAAACAAGAGATAACTCACCACAAGGATTATAATAAGTCCAGGAATAGCGACAACGCCAAAGGCTCTCTTCATATCCAGTACATCGAACGGACTTCATGTATGCACGGCCACTGCCAGGGTGGAAGTAATACCGCTTTGCTCCGAGGAAGCCAAGCTCTCTGCAAGCCACTCGTGTATCTCTCATGTCCCAAAGATACTGGCCACAGACAGTGACCCACCTTCCCATCCATTCTAGCTCCAGACGGCCGTTGTCGTAGGAGGTTCCACCAACAAGCCGTATTCCTTTATTGTAAGGTATGGCTGAGTTCTTGCAAGAAGGTGCGTTTTTGCAAGGAACCGCTCGGAAAGTAATCCTGTGTGAAGGTGTCCCTTTTGCATTTAATGATCCATGAACGCGAATCCCCACAGATGGAAGAAAATTTACCTGAGTACCAGATTCTATGGCAAGAGTGGCATTCTCTGCGACAACTAAGTCACTGGTTACCCGGTATGGACCTTTTGCACGCGTGAGGGTCTGGTTACCAGTGATAGTGCCATAAATATATCTCCCATGGCCGTAAATTCCGTACTTGAAAAAGATAGCCAATATAATGCAGTACTTTGGTAACATCGTGACCAGCTCTGACCTAATTGTAACAGATATTAAATTAGATCCAAGAGATTATCATAATTTTTGATAAAATAAATTTCATTTGACCTGAGCATGAAAATCAAGTAATTAAGCAATGGTTCTCGGAGAAGAGCTGAAAAGAAGCCTGAAAAAAATTTCAGGCTCCGACGGTATTCGAACCGGTGCCTTCCAGATTCTAGATGGGGATATCACCACATACTAGTATTTAGGGGGCATGGGTTCGAAGCCCATTGAAGTTCAAGGTTCTTTTCTGTAATTGCTAAAATTGCAACTCACCAGCAGGGATCATTGCTTTACTTACATGTTGAAGTACAAGAATAAAAACAAATTTTCAAAGGCATATCGTAGTGCTGAGTTCATTTACTTGTATAGGACCATTTCGTAAGATAAGTTATGCTATAAATTAAAGAAAATACGCGCATAAGTAGATAAAAATGTAAAATTATGGCAACAAAAACAGAAAAACAACCAGAAAGTATGGCATTATAAACTTTGTTACTGTTTCGTACGAATCATGTACGAGGGGTGGTCGTAGGTTTAGGAATCAGAACAGCAAAGGAAGGGTAAAATCCTGACGTTAGTGGATTATCTGTTTTAAACGAATGTGCAGCTGAAAAACCCGGAAGATCTACGCAAAAGCCTAACCTCAAGATAAAAGCGAACCTTTAGAAAATTGTACATTGATCTCACAAAAACAGAATCCTCTAAAAATCACAATTGATGATGATTGAAGTTGCACCTTGCCAACCGAGCGATCATTTTTAATCAGCCACAAATTAAATCTGAACAGGGAACCCCCAGCATTCAATTGCATGACAAACGAATGATTGCAAGAAACCTCAGAATAAGCAAGGGGAATGTTAATATAGAACGTATGAAATGCGTCATGTCGAAAGCAAACAGCTCAGTTGTATCAACGATAAAAGCACTCAGGTAACCTCACGGTTTCTTTCAATCAGTTTACCTGGCCTGAATCGATATCTTTCTTTATTGCTCAGTATGATAAATAACAGGCCAAAACCTCAGCTCTTAATTCAACTTTTGTCACACAAGAATATCATAAACAAGCAGGCAGTATGGCATATGTTGCCAAAATATGTAATGGTGAATGTTTTACAGTCCATGAACATTTTGTGAAGCCATGCTGTTGACTGAATTTGACCTGCCTGGGCTAAGCGGCATTTTCGTATCGAATCTAATGACGCTTCCTATGTAAAACACTAACTCTAACTTATGTTACAAAATATCATCCGTAATTCGCTTGCACTAAAGGTAGCCGGATATTTTCCCGTAGTTTGTAATACTATCAACAGTACCTTAACAAGTTGAAGAATTATGCACATGAATGGTTCCCAGCTGGATTTTAAATCATAGAGTTGGATGTGTGAGCCTCGTGCATTCACAGTAAGACGAAAATAATTAAATAACGTTTGTAAAGTACTTACAACAACTATCGCACTACTCTACCGATAGCACGTAAGATAGTAGCACGATCAATTCCTAAGTTAAACTTTTTCTTGGTAACCTCTTCGAAAAATAATCTAGTATTGACAACAGAAGCATGGGAGAGAAGTTATCTCAGTAAACACAATAAGAGCAATGCGTGGAAAACCGAGCTGTCTCACAAAAAGACTCCAGCTTGACGTTTTTGCGTTTTACTCTTTGTTGTGTAGTTTTAGAAAGAGTTTCCTTCCAGTCGGCAATAATCTTAAAGGAAGATTTCTTAGAAATTGCGCGCGTCATTGCCTTTTCTACAAGATATCAAGGGTCATCCAATGGCGTCATGTAGTTCTAGGAATCGAGATTACTACGAAGCGATGAAAATAAACACACAAGAACAGAAACATTTGAACGATAAATGAACAGCTCGATTTTAAAACCATTTTCATGTCTTTGGAGAATTTGTTTGCCGGGTTTATTGCTCTTGTAGTCACAAAACACGAGTAGCACCCCTGCAGCCCTCTTTCAAAATGCTGCTTCCTCGAATCATACTTTTCAAGTTTTCGTCAAAATGTAGACAGATAGACTTCCAGGAAACCGTGAAATTTCAAATTTTAAGACTGAATGTAACTGGACTAAAGGGTACTATACATATTTTCATCGAAATGATTTTTAGCCAGCCGAAGAAAAATCAAAAGAATTTCACAACAAAAGAAATTATTAAAAAGAATTATTGAAAATAAAAAGCTCCCTTATTCTTGGCTCCTAGACCAACAACAAAAATGCTAATCCATCGCTTCCTAAGATGTCTTCAGCGAATATTTCATCCTCAAGCAACTGTTTACGATTCTCTCTGTGCCTGTATATCTCACCTTCCTACTAAAACGAATGTAAACTGTAAGGTTACAACCAGTGTACAAGGCTGGCAATTTTGGACATCGAACAATCCTAAGCGGTTTGAACAAATTCATTTGCACTCACATAAAAATGTAATGGCTCCTTTCTAGCAGCTTTGGCTTTACCTTTAGCACATTGCTAATTTTTAACGAAGGTGTATTGTAGCGAGGAAAGATAAACAGGGAGTAAATTCTAAAATTAATTGAGTGTTAATCACGAGACCCTCACACGATTACATGTGGACACAATAACAGAAGACGGTTCTTTAAGAAAGATTTACGAACTACAAAGAGTCTCAAATTTTGATGGAAAACTTTTGAGCCTACACAGATCAGTATAATAGCATAGTGGTACGTTTCTCGAGCTCGTCTTACTTGTCCCCAAATCTGAGATATTTAGCAAGATTGAACTTCCTCTTCTCTTTCATTTCATGCGAACTTGTAGTATGGGACTTGTTTTTATATTGTCCTCTACTTTGCTAAAACCCCATTCACATCTAGACATAAACATGTTTGGAAGCTGTTTTGTTCATCATAGCTTAAATTTGTCTTCTACATAGACGCTGCTAAAACCAATGTTTCGGCGACTTCGAATTTAGCACGTTGAAGAATTCAATGTACTGACTACTTGAAAGACTTATGGAAAATTGAGTTTTTCAGTTGCCTGTTTCTGATTTTCTTTAAGTTAAAACCGTTTTAATTAAGCATGTTTTGCTGGTGTAAATAGGCTACAAGTCTTCACAAATAAAAATTCTTGGATCTTAAAGGAATCATGATATTTGATGTCAGTTTTATGCAGTAAATCGGTCATCGTGCTTGCCAAAATTCATCCCAACATATACATGCCTGGTTTTTCATTTATTACAGCGCACAGAACTCTTGCAACAAATCAGTCGAGGTAAAATTTTATAGTTCTCTTCACTTACTACAAGGTAACAAGGAAAGCAGGCATTAATACTTTTACAACCCCTTTTACAAACATTTAAATTGAATCCAGAATACACATAGTTCATGCGCCATTTTGCTGGTTATCTATGAGATAAATACACAAACAGTCACATCATATGGCATTATGAACACATCTGAAATAGTTTTGTATTCTGCTCATGTATCTCTTAGTACTACTCATTTGGGAAAGTGCATGTTCAAGATTTTTCGAAGGGGCAGCAAGCAGCATGGAATATGGAGGAAATACCTTTGCGAACACCTTTCTTCGGCGTCTGCCTTCTTCATAGACTCTCAAGACACTCAAACCTCTAAAATGAATTCGTGAGCTTTCATGCTCGAGCTTTAAACGAACTAATACTAGCATTGTTGATATCAAAGAAGAAAATACCAGTCCCTGAATAGCTTTATTCAAGTAACACCTAGGGAAGTTTCCCTCGCCGAGTACAGAAACGAGTATGAAAGGTCTGTCAATATGCTTACCAATGCTTACATTTTTGCCTTGTTTACTACTTGAAGAAAACGGCTTTGAAGAAAACGGCTTTGGACGGTAATTTCGATGCAACCACATCAAATAGTATGAATAAATGTGATCTCAATAAGGACTACTGTTTCAATGTGTCTTTTGAACTCATTCCGTGAAGTTCTATCAATTGATTCCACGAATTTTGAATACAACTTTGCACAATCCCCTTCCACTGTTCCTTCAATAATTTCTTTATTTTCGTGAGTTAGAACCACAACTTACAATGCTTCTCAATTGCATCAGATGTAAACAAATATTATTCTGAAATGAACAAGGTGACATCATTTTCCGCAATTTCAAAACTCAACAACTTGAGGCATAATTTTCCGGTGACTGTAGACACCACACATCTGCAGTAAATGTAGGGTAGTTCATTTAGCAATCATTGGCGCGCTATTTTTTCCCCTTACATCTGATTTGAATATACTACGACAATGTTTTAAAAGGGTAATGCAATTTTTCTCATTAGAAAAGTATATTTCTGGGATCTGTAGTTCTTGAGAAACGAATGACCTTGTGTATCGATTCCCGGAAACGTCCTTTTTTCTGAGAGCAATTGATGTGTCTCGTTTGTTTGCAAAGACGACAAACAACGAGAAACGCATATTCGAAGCCATCGAACAATGTGCTCTTAGTGCAGTGGTTACGCTAAATTCATGTTCGCTTTTGATTCAAAACCAAAACTGGAGCAGTCGACTCGCTACAAACCCTGACATCGTTCAGTTTCCTCCCAAAAACTATAGACGACAAGTGCTTTTTCACAAAATCTGTCAGATCTCGGGAATGTATTCGAACTCAGTATTCAGAAACGTTTTTTAATCATAAAACTTCTGAATGACTGCCCCGTTTTTATCTTTTACTTAATACATGGAATACTTTTTTTTCGTGGGTCAACTTGAGGCCTAAATTAAATAAATTTTCACGTTACTTTCACGGTTTGTTCTGTACGCTGATCATTCTTGCATTACATGACTTAGTCAACGAACACCAAACACTGCAACCTCACAACTTTGCACCATAAAAGTTATGCTGGAGGCAGAGCAACATTCACTCTATCGCTGTTCCTTTCGAACCTCGTTGTATGATAGAAAATACACATGGACGAAATTGAACTGAATTACTTCGTTGCTATAGGAAGCTTTCTTTAAGTTTCTACGTGCCACGCGACTAGT